TGCACGGCCCCAATTTTGGGATAACCTCCTCTACTACCCCAATTTATACAGCGACGTCCGGTTCGTGTGCGATCCGGGATTTAACGTAGGTTTGGCTTTCATCCGCGCTGGCTTTTCTTAAAGGTACTAAAAGGGCAAGGGACGCATAAACGCCTCCTGGAGGCAATAAAAAAATAGCTAAAAGCCGGAGCTAACCTTTAAAAGCTAAAAGCGGGCGTTAAATGTTTGTAAATAAAAACGAAAAACTTCGACAACTCACCCAGAATCAGGAACTGCTTTGGAAAAAAGCTTAAGAGCGGATCCGAATAGTCATTTCTGCAGCGTCATACAAGTTCCACGCACAAGTGGTTTTTCGGATGTCCGCTCACCTTGAGTTCACTAATTCGGTTCGCAATGACACTATTAGTATGCCAATGAGCTCAGGATATTTTGCAGAAAGACAGCTATCGACAAGCCAGCTTCCTTGCCTGGGATGAAAGCTACCCGGTACTGCAAAGGTAAGCTTGTAAAGAACTAGTAGGTCTTAAAAAGTACTCGACTCTCGCTTGACGTAGAATTATCTAATTGGAATGATACTTACATCAGCCGAATGCCTCTGAAAGTGCGAGCCTGCAAACATTTTTTCCATGCATGTGTTTTTTTAACCACGCAACCCAAAACAATTTTTTTCTTAGCCTAAGAAACCTCATTTTTTAGGGACGTCCCGCAGGTCGATCCATATTTTTCCATTGCAGAGTCCTCGAGTCCGAAAACGACGCCCAGCTCTTTGTGGCCATCATCGACATGGTGCAGGTAGACATGATGCTAAAAGGTTTGGCATTGCCTTTTTCTAGACCTCACGCTACTATGAAATCATGGGAAAAGAGGATTTGCGGGCGCGGCTTGCAGTCCCCGAACTGACGCGCCGGTTCGTGCGCAACCTGGTCGTATCCCAGTTTCACGAGGCCGAAAATCGGTCGGTTGAGTACTGCCATGAAGTAGAGTCACGAATTAAGTAATATAAGAACCAAGTAAGGTACTTGAACAACTTGGACCAAAAAATAGCCCGTGGCCAGCTCAACTCAAGAAAAATCGTTAATATAAAAATATTTTAGCCTGAAATGCCGGGTAACTGATCTATGGGTTCTGAAGCATTAAACTTTTCGACTCTGTAAAAGTAAAACTCTTTAAATTTTTGACGCGCAGATACAGATTTTGCTGAGCTTTTCGACGAAAGCAAGCAATTTGCGCTATTCGAATAATTAACTTTGTTCCCTTGTTGTAAACGATTTTGATTATCTCTGGGGTTTTTCACAGCTTTACTAGTCTAACAAGGAAGGAAGGAAAAACATGACAATAGTGTTCTACCCAGGTTTGCCACTTTCAGGATGTGTGTCCACATGCGTCGCGGCGATTTTGGTGGCACTCACATTGCATCGACAAGCAATTATACGGCCGCGGCCATCAGGGAGGTGCTTTGGAAAGGTGCAGTCGGGACATCATGTGCGGTCCATCATGGGCTTTGACTGAATTCCGAATACCTGCAGAAATATTAAGCATGTGTAGTGAAATATTGAGCAAGTACTTGTGAGGCATACCTAATTTGGCTAACGTGTAATACCATGTCTCGGCAAACGATAAATAAAAGGGATGTTTTTTTTCAGAGCCCGGCAACTTCAGCGTGACGATATTTTCTGATGAGCAGGATTTCGTGGAAGACATGGTTGCAAAGCACTTGGAGTACGAAGGTTTGTCAGCAAATACTTTACGGTTGCAACAACCAGGGATGTTCATTTTGGGTCCTGTCCGCGTCCGTCGGGCCCGCGACGGAGGTCCGTCCGCAATTCCGTAATTTCCTAATGCGGAGGGGCTGGGACGGGTCCTGGACGGCCGGCTCGGTCGCACTGCAGGCTGGTCGGTCGGAGCCGCCGCGATGCAAATGACCGGAGGCGCATACCAAATGATTGCTAGCAAACTAACATACATATTTAACCTACTTTTGCCTTTTCTTAATCTACATACATTTTTTACTTGGGAAAGAACGCGAAAACTGTCATTTCATCAATTATCATGTGTGTCATGTATCACGAGGCGGCTAGACTCTAGTTTACCCCCCCGCCACAACTTTTCAGCCATACGTCCTATTGATGCGCGGAGTATCTCAAATGTTCGCCGTGGTCGAATTACTATAAATACCATGTTTCCTTATATCAAAAATTTTTATAACAATTATAAGTCTGGGTATATAAGTCATGTTTTCTTTAGTTAATTTTTGGTGTTCCAAAGTGAGTTTTCGTATCTCGGCTATCTTTTGTCCTACAGAGCTGTCAATGGTACCAAAATGTAGCTCTTGCTCTAGAGAATAAGCCTACAATGCATTTGAGTCAAAAAAAATAGCGGAAAATAAAAATATTTGAGTTTTAGACTCCTGGTACATTGAAGCATAGCGGCTTAATCTTTTCAAATTTCAAAATCTTGTAAAAAATTTTCTAGCAATTTTTGCCGCAAGAATACAACTTTTTTATAGTAATTCGACTACGGCCAACATTTTGAGATACTCCGCGCATTAATAGGGCGTATGGCTGAAAAGTTAAGGCTGGAGGGGGGGTAAACTAGAGTCTTACCCACGAGGCTGTGTCCAACTTACGTTGCAATGGAATAGAATATTCCTTTGCAGAAATCACGCATTAATTTGTCAATTTAGACCTGAGATCCCGAATGTACCTGCCCCCAGCCCGGACATTTCGATACCCGTTTCCTAAGCATTACACCTGGGCGTTCTTCGGAAGTCACTGTACCCATATCGTATTGACTGGTACGTTCTACTCCAAAAAAAAATCGGAAAAGGTCGTGCACTGCCTAGGGAAAGTGAGGGTGTCTGGGAAAGGGAAAGGCCTATTGCGAGAGTTTTTCACTTGTTGCCATCGCGTTTTGGGCAGAATTATGCGCAAACGCAAATGCAAATCACGGTTTTCGACCCCTTGGTCCTGCGCCGCACACTCCGCGCGCCGGTGCAACTGGCCAAATTCGAGGATTTTCGATTTTTTAGTAGTATGAAAATCAGCGTTCGCCGGCCCTACAAAAGCTGCTTTACTTTATAAACCTATTTTTTATAATAATTTTGAGCACGCCATCGGAAAGAATAGGGTTGATTTCCCCAAGTGACGGAGAACGAATTCTCGCGTTTGCGATTTCTACGACAAATTTTCCAGCCTCCCAGTCTACATTCGGCATCATCGCTGCGTATACTGCTGACGAGTCGGTGAAGGTGTACGTCAGCCGTCACTACACCCCGGACGTCAACCCAACGCCCATGCTCTTGAAGCACTGGCAACCCTTGGACGCCTAGCCCTACTATATATATATATATATATATAAAAAAATAGTGTCTGTGTGTGCGCGTGTGTGCATTTGCATGCAACTTCCGTCATCGTATCCGGAGAATATCTCCGAGGGGAAGGGTTTTAAGCTACGTATGATACGTCATTAGGTGCGTAACGGCCCCGAGATGACTGCACGCACGCATCAGCTTTTGCAAATTATGCTATTTTTTACATTAAAATTGGGTTTTTGTTGAAAAATCGGGCAGCCTTCTTTGTTAGGAAATAATTAACATACGCCGGAAGTGTCTGCGGCCTATATATAACCCGATAGATTGGAATTTTTCATTTCTCTCATCGGAAATCGGAAGACGTATGCAGAGCCAAGAATCTGATGGGGGTTAGACGGGGCCAGGGTTGAAAAGTCGCGACGCGGCTTTTTAACCCGGGGTTGAATGATAATTTTGTTAATTATGTAATTTTTTATTGTTTTGGCCCCTGGTATTTTTGTAGTATTACATATATAAATAATGTTTGTTGAAAAACATGCTCATATTGACCTACAACCGCCCAAAAGCCGAGATAGAGAGAAGAAAACGTAAAATGAGTGTTTTAGAAAGCCAAAGCCGTCGCTTTTTTTATGCTTATGAGTGTAGCTGCAAGATTTACCGGGCTGAGATGAAAAAATTCACATCAAGTTATGGCATTTAGGAGGCCGAAATTGATAATTTTTCATGATATACATCCTAGCGTCGTTGAGCGGGCGACGTATGTATGTAGTACGCCTTGCTCAATTTTTGAAGCGCTTTCTTCAATTTCTCGTCCCAAAACTCGGTCTGCACCTAGACACGTTTCCTTAATAGGGTATCCAAAGTCCTGCATGCAAATAGTGATTTTGTCGCATCTTTTATTAGACATTTCGGGTTTACCAATACAATTCCTTGATGTTGATTCAGGCCACGGAAACTTCGGGACGAGGAAATTCGGTATTCTCAAACTTCGATATACTGAAAATTTGAGTTTTTGAAAGTTCGTGATTCTGAAAATTCGATATTCTTATTTTCACGACTTTGACAGATTCTCCTCTTAAACAGGCTCCCATTATGCAGAACATTTGTCTCGAAAGATTTTTCGTTTTTTAGACACCTTCAAACGTACCTCTAAACGTACCCTGATATCTAATAGCAGCGCGTTCCTAGTGATTTTGGTGGAAATCCGGAAGCAGTCCGTGAAGCCCTACGGGTTCGACCGAAACTTTCGTACCTTTAAAAAATGAACAGATTATAGAAAAGTCGATGAGCGTTTTATTTTGGCGCGGATTGGCTGTTGCGGAAATGAGTCAATCGTTCATGGACAAGACAACATGGGATCCGGGTGAAAGCCCGAATTTTATGCCCGTTTAGCAATTTTACTATAGTTGAATGATACAACTGCTCCGTTCGCAAGTACTTAGATTTTTACTGTGAGCAAGGTTTTAGTTATCCCTTCTTTTCCAGCGTTCGCTTACCGTAAGGAGTTTTCACTCAACTTGGAGTTTCGTTTCGGGACCAAGTGCATCTTGTGCAGAATTTTTTGCCGATTCTGAAGCCGTTTTCAAAATGTCCAAAACTTTTTCGGTTTAATTTTTACCAAAAATGTATTTTTAAATAAACGTCTGTAGCAGATTTGGAAAACGGATTCGGAATCAGCGAAAAATTCTGCACAAAATGCACTTGGTCCCGAACCGAAACTCCAAGTTGAGTAAAAACACTTTACCGTTAGTGTTGCTAGAGTGATGCGAGTGAAGCTTTTTGGTTTGACAATAAGATGGAAGAGACAGGTGGGGAAACCACACGATTTTGAGCATTATGTCACATCATAGTTTCGGATACCCAGGCTGACGTTGAGGGTTGCACTTTGCGTCGCGACGTTTCTGCTTGTTTGCGGGTGTTGCTTATTTTACCGACGATCCGGTGAGAACTTACTTTCCGGCACTTTCAACGCGAAACCGTCTCTGACTGCTCTGACTGACACTGCTGAAAACGCAACTGACTTTCAGGCTCCACAACCTGCAAGCTATCCGCCGAGAATTCTGGCTCGGACGAGCGCTCAGAGACGTGCTCCGACAAGAGCTCCGACACTGGCACGGACGCCAGCATAGACACGAGCTCAGAAACCCAAGCATCGAGTTCCGGGGACGAAAAGGTCATCCTTGGTGAGTATATGGTCGGCAAAACGCGGAAATCCAGAGCGCAAAAGCGGAATCGGAAACTGACACTTACCCACACACACTTTACACTTTTTACAACATTCGAAAGCCCTCGAAAAGGCGAGAAAACATGTGGCTTTCGTTTTACAAACTTATTGTTAGCTCGCGCTCGATATTAAACGAGTTCTTAGAAACAGCCCCGGCCTGTTCCGATGAGCAAGCAATTGATATGCGGATTTTTCATAAGATCCGCTGTTTGTGATGCATTTTGTTCCCAAACTTAAATTAAACTCTGTACACTCGCCTTACCGAGAGCCTTCGATAGATAGCTTAATTGTAAAAATCGGGCACTTCCGCGGCCCGCTAGAGGGGTAGATTTTTTTGGGACAACCCGGGATTACATGAATTTTTCAGAGAAGGTCGTGTGGAACTACTATCGTCCTAGCATCTCGCTACGCCATCTGATCCCTGATACTGAACCGGGGCCAAACAACTCAGCATCTGAGCCAACGGACCGCAACGGCCAGCGCATGATCGTTCTCGGTAAGCCACTCTTCTTTGCTTAATCGGAGGTGGTAACTTATTTTAGGGCGTTACACGCTATAACTTGGACATTCCAGACGGGTCATACACTCCCGGTGACTTTGCCGCACGCCCTCATCTGTATACGGTTGCAATCGATATAGGCGGAAACCTGACCGTCAGCGAGCTGTTGCAGCTGCAGGAAAGTCAGTTTTTTGAAGAGCATTTAACCGCTCTCAAAAACCCACCACATACGTCGATTGGAGGTTGTTTTCTAACAGAACACAAGCCAATTGATTTGTTGCCTTGGTAGATGCCTTAATCATATACTTTTCTCTGACGGAAAGCCTCTACAAAAATCTATTCATGTACGTCGATTCGAGGGATAACGATTTTTTCGAAATAATGGACAAGGATAACAACACCCAAATACGACTCATGCCTAAGTATGATTCCATAGCTCGTTCTTCCCTTGGAATAGGCCCCTAATAGCCTTTTTTCAGGAGCGCCTACACACGCCTGGGAAATCTCTTCGTCCCACGGGACCCCGAATTCCATCAACGGCTCTGGGCCTGTTCCCGGAAACTGGAATGCTTGAATCGTTGGGCTTTCTCATTTTCCGTTTGTGCAGCGCGGCAGAGCATTCTGATGGCCTCTACCTTAGTCAGGGGCCGGTTTCTCATGGCCATGTAGCGACTAAAAAATTGCTAAAAGTTGCTAAAAATTCGGGTGTCGAAAGCCGAAGCGTCGCACATCTCGTTGAAGTGTAAAAGATCGGTTACAATTGTTCTATACAGAACCGAAATTTGAAAAATGACACACCGTTTTGAGCTACAACCAATTCAGTTGCCGACATACGCTAGAAATTGTTGGGTGATTTAGTGAAGAATCTGCGTAACCTTACCGAACCACCAGTTATGCTCCCGGAAGATTTCTACTGGTTGGCCGTAGTGCGCGATCTGCAGCACCAATATCGCGGACTCCCTTTCCTCTTTGCGAGAACGTTACTTGGCAAGTTTTTCGGGCTTTAAGCTTGGCTAGCGGGGCTTACATCGCATTAGCTTTGCAAGCCTGGTGCTTTTTACACACCCGCTTGGATTACGGGTCTGTTTACAGGTTTACCTTTATTTCGGAAAGTCGTATTCAGAAAATTCCTAGGCCCGAAGAATCTGAGCTCAGAAAAGTAGGCATCCGGCTCCCAAGAATAGCCCAATCTTTGCTGGTATTTGCGGGGTTCCGATTTTCGATACTCCGGGTTTCGGCAATCCGGTTTTCCAAATTCCAATTTTCCAAGCTTCGAGACTCCGAATTTTGGGAATCTGATTTTTTGGAATTGGGATTTTCGGTTTTGCGGGAATAGTATTTTCCGGGATCCTGTTTGCATGATTCTCATCGGAAATCGTCTAGTTTAAGGCTGGCGTCGTGAATGCGCCGTTATCCCCCACACAACGGACATAGACATCGCTATATTTGAGGATGAATATCCGATGGCGCTCGTGGAAGACGCCATTAATATGACAGGAAAGCCTGTCTCACTCGCACGCATCCTCGGACGCGTACGTTTTTTTGCGTAGTATGCTTTAATTATTTAATGTTTTATGACAGAGAGACACATCGGTTTCGGTTTCAGTAAGCCTAAACATGTAATGCTCATTTACAGCCGGGCGACAGCTACGAGGCGACGCTGTGCGTCGAGACGGCGCACAATCTCCGATTATCAATTGACATGTTCACGATGTATCGTAGTCGAAACAGCCAACATTGTTATAATTCGCTTGTTTATGGCGATCCAGGCTACGAGAAATACCTGGAAGAGTTACCATGGTGATAAATTTTAATTGAATACCGGGCGTCAGTCGTATCGTAGAAATGGCAAAAATCGATGTACCGGAGGACGTAATCGAAAAAACCCGATTTTCCAGGATTGACAGAATTCTCTGTGCGGCCGTTTTGTACGGCCACGTTTTCCATGTACCCTGCGATCCTGATGCAGTATTGGTGGTATGAGCGAAAAATTATTCACGTCTAAAATACTTTTTCTGAAGCAATAATTTACGAGAAAGCTATTAAGCGCATCATAGATCCTTTGCTCTCTCGCGGAGAAAGCGGAGCGGGCTCCCCAAGCAAAATGACCGGAAGTGGCCGTTATTTAGATGCAGGGGACGTTCCTAATGTTTTGAAATGCGTTGTAAAGTGACGCCTGGAAAAAAATATATTTATGAAGATTGTCGCTAATTCGCCGTTTCAAGGGCTTTTGAATGGTGTAACTATCATTCGGATCTGATACTCCTCCGTCGAGTTGAGAAGGGTTGTTTTTATTGGGACACCCTGTAGTTTAGTACAGAAAAAAGCAGATAATAAATCCACGTTTCTGCACGATAAAAAACCATCTGCTATGGTGAACATAAGAACGAAACGTACTAATTCGTTTAGGCGGCGTATGGGCAAAACTGGCGCGCCGATCGTCCGTCGGCCGGGTATGGTTACGAGTCGAAGTTCGTCGCAAATGGAAGGTTTTTGCCGTCGGAACTGTGAGGGCGCCTAGCATCTTCACGTTCAATTTGTCATTTAGCAGCGAAGTCTACCGCAACTTCTGATGCCCTGGAGGACCCGAGGATCCCTAAAGAAATTTTTGATGATTTACATATGCGGGCAACAGCATTGTAGCCTTCAATAAAAAAGTAGCAGAAGACATACTTCCAAAAACCGATGCATGCATTTTAGCGTAATACAGTCCTGCCCCGAAACCGAACGAACGGACGTGGCGCCAAGACAAACTAAAAAAAAACACTTTGTAACAACTTGAAAACCCACGTTTTCAACAGGCCCGGGGCCCCCGCGCTGGTTTATTTTTAATCAGACGGGCTGATCCGATTTATTTTATGCGCTTTGACAAAGGAGTAGCCTACTCGAATTTTCGATATATGAAGGTATTCCGATTCGGAACGGCCTGCCTTACATAGTAACGGATGAAAACAGCAAGCGTCTAATAAGTATACCAGACCAGGCCGAACGCCCCAGACCCGAGCTGAATTAATTTTTTTTGGCGGCCCGAAGAGTCCAGATGAGCCTACGCTGTACCCGACTGGTAGTCAATATTTTTTGATGCAATAGCTATTGCCAAAGTTGCTAATTCGCCGTTTCAAGGGCTTTCGAATGGTGTAACTATCATTCGGATCTGATACTCCTCCGTCGAGTTGAAAAGGGTTGTTTTTATTGGGACACCCTGTAGTTTAGTACAGAAAAAAGCAGATAATAAATCCACGTTTCTGCACGATAAAAAACCATCTGCTATGGTGAACATAAGAACGAAACGTACTAATTCGTTTAGGCGGCGTATGGGCAAAACTGGCGCGCCGATCGTCCGTCGGCCGGGTATGGTTACGAGTCGAAGTTCGTCGCAAATGGAAGGTTTTTGCCGTCGGAACTGTGAGGGCGCCTAGCATCTTCACGTTCAATTTGTCATTTAGCAGCGAAGTCTACCGCAACTTCTGATGCCCTGGAGGACCCGAGGATCCCTAAAGAAATTTTTGATGATTTACATATGCGGGCAATAGCATTGTAGCCTTCAATAAAAAAGTAGCAGACGACATACCTCCAAAAACCGATGCATGCATTTTGGCGTACTACAGTCCTATCCCGAAACCGAACGAACGGACGTGGCGCCAAGCCAAACTAAAAAAACACAATTTGAAACAGTTTGAAAAGACGCGTTTTCAACGGGCCCGGGGCCCCCGTGCTGGTTTTATTTTTATGCAGACGGGATAATCCGATTTATTTTATGCGCTTTGACAAAGGAGTAGCCTACTCGAATTTTCGAGATATGAAGGTATTCCGAATCGGAACGGCCTTCCTTACATAGTAACGGATGAAAAAGCAAGCGTCTCATAAGTATACCAGACCAGGCCGAACGCCTCAGACCCGAGCTGAATTAATTTTTTTTGGCGGCCCGAAGAGTCCAGATGAGCCTACGCTGTACCCGACTGGTAGTCAATATTTTTTGATGCAATAGCTATTGCCAAAGTTCTATCTTTGGGCCGCGTATGCTGAGAAAGGGTTGAATGTATGAGCTGGCGAAGACTACTCATTTTCGTCTCTACAAGCCGTTGCCTTCACCGGTGCTGATTTATTGTTGATCGGGCCAAAATGCTTGCCAACACGGAAACACTCAAAAGCATGGTATGCTTTGCTTAATAAGTCATTTTTATAGCGCTTCTCTGGTTAAACTGGCGAATCTTTATGCCGCAGATTTTTAGCTTTACAACTTTTCAACCTTAATGAGCGTCAAGCTGTTGATTTTTTGGAGATTTGAGATTTGATGACTTTAGAGATTCGTGGCGGCGGGTACCTCTCTTCTCGCCATTGTTGCAATTGGTTATTTTGTCTCAATTCAGGATCGCGGATCCAGTCATTATTTAAAGGGTAGGTGTTGAGGTACCTTACTGTTGGCGGGCGCTGTTAGCTCTAAGAAAATTAAATTTTTTACCTATTTAGTTTGCCTAGGTAATAGGTCTTTTTTTTGTTTATATTCGATTATCTATGTAATTTTTTAAAAATAGGAAATTTGCAAAAATTTAACCTAAAATTTTCGCAAAATTTGATATTTTTGGTCATTTTATACATTTCTCGGAATGCCTCAACATTTTTAATGTTTTATTTGCTTTTTATCTTTAAAAAATATGCAAAATCCGACAAAAACTGTTTTTACTTCATGGTGATGCCGTATAGGATTACTCGGAGAATTTGGTTACCCCGCTAAACCGCCCCCGTTAAAAGTCCAGCACCGGTATGGATTCGTCACTAATTCTTCACGTTTTGCGTTGTATAAAAATACAGTTTTTCAAAGCGTAACTTTTTAGCCGTGCCTTTGCCTGATAAAGCACCGTTGTTTGACACGTGCCCAAAGCATCGGTACCGTCATGACGATCCTGAAATTTTGAAGTTGCTCGGGAGCACGACTGAGGAGCGTGAGTCAAACAGGTTGAAAACCTATGTGTATTTAGCGGCTTGCTCCCGGGAAGAAGGCCCAACATATCTAGAAGGTGGAAAAATCTTCCACAACCTTTATTATCCATGGACTGACGATTTCAACTGCACAGCCAGGTATTTTTAACGCCAGGGAATGTCTCAGCACTTCCAGATGCGCCTTGTATGACACCGTCTGGATCAACAAGTACGGGCCTGAGTGCGTGGTCGGCGACAACTGCACGACGTTTGAGTGCGATATCATCGATGTAAAGTGCCGGGGGCTAGACGGAAATCTGACACACATCGACTTGCACACGCAAATTTTCGAACATAGGTATTTGTTTCAAACGTAACTGGCAAGCTAATCTCTATTCTTTGCGCTTATAAAAATTACTGTGTTTTATATTCATTAAAAATTACAAGTTGCCACGATTACAATTATAGTGAAGACAAATTAAAAAATTAAATTACTTTTTGATCGCTAAAGGCTGTAAATAAATTTCTGACACAAAAAGTGGAAAATTTTCGGCAATCCTGTATTTTTTTACCGACTTTTATAACATCTTAAGTCGGCCGAAGTCTGAAATTATGCCGGAAAATGCCCTTAGTTCATGCATAAATAATTTTAAACTTGCTCAGGTTTGGATTATCTGCTTCTCAGCCAATTTTAATGTATGTTTTCAGCCGAGATCGCCCAGCCATTTTCGGCGAACGCTATCGAGCGGGCAAATCACCAAAAATAGACCCGAAAACGCGCTTCCACCCCAGTGTTCACATCATTGTGCTCGATTCGGCTGGACGCTTCCCGGCCTTGAGGTGGGCCTGAGTTACAAGCCTTGTAGTGACAATTCTCTATTCAAAGCCTTACTAAAAATCTAACGCATTTTTCCACACCCCTTTAGACAACTCAACAAGACCATCAGCTACTTGAAAAACGAGTTCCAAGCGGTGGACTTCACGGCGATGAGCCGAATCGGTTACGCCAGCCGCTCAAATGCCTATGGCGCATTCTTTGGTACGTTCGTATTAGCTTATTTTCATTTTGACTAAAAAATTAAGTCGACATTCACTTTGTCGAAATTTCATTTGTTTTTCAAATAGCGTTTTGCCGAAATCCATTTTTTTGTAATATCATTTTTTCGACATTTCATTTTCTCGACGTGGCACTTTTTCGGAAGTTCATTTTATCGAAATTCCAATTTGTCGAAACCAAATTTTATCAAAATTTCGATTTTTCGAGATTCCAATGCTTTTTTGCCTTGTTTATTCATCTTAAAAACTCGCAAATCGAAATTTTGGCGCATGGAAATTTCGACAAAATGATCCTTAGGCGAAGAGAGATTTCGACAAAACGATCCTTAGGCGAAGAGAAATTTCGACAAAATGATCCTTAGGCGAAGGGAAATTTCGACAAAATGATCCTTAGGCGAAGAGAAATTTCGACAAAATGATCCTTAGGCGAAGAGAAATTTCGACAAATGATCCTTAGGCGAAGAGAAATTTCGACAAAATGATTCTTGGGCGAAGAGAAATTTCGACAAAATGACATCTCGACAAAAATGTCGATTTATGTTTTGATTTTCAGGAGACCTCGATACGGCGGTAGATCGCTCGATGTATGGTGGGTCGAAGCTGAATGCAACCATCGATACGGAAATTTGTAAAAAGGGTCTGGATGAGAGGGCTTACATCCAGTTTGAGTACGAGGTAGGGCTAGGCAAAGGCACAACATTACGTTCAGGATGCTGGGTACCGAACCATGTACGCCGAAGATTACTTCACTGCCACCTGGACTTACAATGATTGTGCTGGAATCTCGAAGCAACCGGCTACTCACCACTTGAGGTATGGTTTATGTTTCGGCTTGGGCTTAGGCGTATGCTTAGGATTGGGGTGCGGCTTAGGCCAAGGCATACGCCAGGCTTAGGCTGAGGATTAGGCTTATGCTAGGCTTAGGCTTGGGCTGAAGCTCAAACTTATGCTATGCTTAGGCTTAGGCTTAGCTTATGCCTAGGCTTGCTTGAGCTTGGGCGTAGGCTTAGGCTTGCGCATAGGCCCAGGCTTAGGCTTCGGCTTAGACTTGGCTTAGGCTGAGGCGTATGCTTAGGCTTGGGCGTAGGCTTAAGGTTAGGTTTGGGCTTAAGCCTAGGCGTAGGCTTAGGCTGAGGCAAATTTTGGGCTGAGGCTTAGCTTAGGCTTAGCTTAGGCTTGGGCTTAGGCTGGACCTTATCAGTTGCCACCAAAATCCGATTCTTTCAGACCATTCCAGCTGCTGACTTTCTTGACGGAGGATGTATGGGGTCCTGAGTGCGTTTTTCAGCCGGGGTTACGATCAAAAAACTTCACCACCATTTCAAAAAGATCTATCGAACTTAGGCTTCTAAAAGATTCTGGATATGAGTACCAGGACCAGGAGCTACTCCGCGCTCACCTACGCAATAAGACGAGGTGCGGAACCAGCCACCAACACACCATCGACTACACCTCGAAATTCATCCGCTCTTATCCGGGTCAGCACAGTATTTTTGGGGAGCATCACCGATCATACCTTTTTAGCCTTTTTTAGTGATAACCATATTGAGCTCAAAAACCTAATGCCATTAAGGGCAACCAAAAACGTCAATCAGCTGGCTGGACGAAGCGCATGATAGCGAGAAAGAATGGAAACACTCGGACAAATACTATCATCAAATGTTGGTGGAAAACAAGGAGCTGGTAAGCTACAAAGAGTAATGTTTCAACCGGAAAGCAAATTAAAAGCATCTTCTACGATTTTTGGAAAGCTTTAGATATATTTTAAGCAGAATAACTTTTAAACAAGTTCGAAAAGTCGAACATTTGGCGAATTTGGGCAGAAAAATCAATTTTCTGCCTAAAATTGGTTAAAATTCCTATGTTATTATTTTTATGCTCAAAAATAATTAAAAACAATGTGGAAATCCGTACGCTATTTGTATAAAGAAATTCGGGCTTTCAACACAAAAAAAGCCGGTTTTCCACGTGCATCCTTGCCTTAAGCTTTTCTAAAACTATTTTTTTAACTCTTACTTTTCGTTTTTTTTCAGCTCACCGATTCAATCGTCATTTTCCTCGGCGACCACGGGCAGCGTTTCGGGGCGGTGACTTAACCTAGAAACAAAATTTTAAAAACCAACCTACAGGTCGCCGCTACTGAACAAGGTATATTCGAGGGGAAGAACCCGTTGCTCCTGATTTCGCTACCGGAAAGGTTACGGTAAGTGCTCATCTGAATGCCACACCTTCTTACTAGAAAAACAAAAATGGCAGAGCAGCTGGTGAAAAATAAAGACGAACTGCTTAGCCATCACGATTTGTATGCTACGCTTGTGGATATTATCCGGGTATTGCTATTAAGAAGATTTTTAGTGAATTTTTTTAGTATCAGCCTACCACCAACTTCACGGACACGAGATTCAAGAAGATCGAAGGTAACGTGTAGTATTTCTATTGTTGAGAGGGGTAAATTTTTTCAGAATCTTGTATCTGAATTAGAACGGTAGATTCATAATTACGATATTTTGGGTTACGGTAGATTCCAGATACCCAATTTTTGTTGATTTAATTTAAAACCCCGAAAAAATTGAAATTTTTGTCAAAAATCGACCTTTGGACATCGACGGGGTTCCGGTAGCTTCCTAATTACGGTATTGGCAGCTATGGTAGCTTTAAAATGACTGTTTTGGTCTTAATTCCCTTCAAAACGCCAAAAAAACGGCATTTGTGCACGTTCCCGCGTTATGGTAGCTTCCTAATCACGGTAATTAAGGTTACGATAGCTTCAAAATTACCGGGATAATTTCGATGGAGATATTTTCTTGAGGTCTGTTTCTATAGTTTCCAGCAGTAAAAAAATTAGTCCGAGTAACAGCCCGAAAACTGAAAATCCAGCCCTTCCCTTCCCCCCGCTAACAGTTCATTACCGAGGAAACCAATATGTCTACAGGAACCCTCGGGAATTCGCTGCTTCGGTCTCTAGACCCCACCATGCCGAGATCTTGTAAATACCTACCGATCCCTGCCGAATATTGCATCTGCGATTACGGAGCGTATCGCGTTCTGGAGAGGTAGGGTTTTAATAAATACCTTTCTTTTGCTTTTTTTACAGCAATGACAGCATGTGGACCGAGTTACCGAAAATGATAGAAAAAGACGCCGACGTGTATCTGTCAAAAAATGCCCTAGCCGAAAAATGCGATGCTATTAGAATAGCTAATGTAGGCCGTTCCCTGCCAAAATTCTAGGGTACTGGGCTGTTAGCGGGGGAAGGGGGGTGGCGGTTAACAGGATCAACTCATTTTCAATTTTGCCGCTGTGACCTGTTAATAATCTATAAGGTGATTTTATGATGTTTTAAGTGGTTTTTTATTGCTAAAAATTGATTAAACAATTTGAGACTTGTTACGTTTAAAAAATTTTGACTTTTTTGATAATTTAACATAAATTTTTCATAAGAAGCGAAAAATTGTCTAAGGTTTTTTAATTTTTATGTACTTTTTGCGTTTTAAAATTCTTTAAAATGCTGCAAAAATTGGTATGCATTTTGTTGTCGGACCGTGTGGGTTTACTGTGGAAAATGGGGCGAGCCCCCGCTAACAGTCCAGTACCGATAATCATACGAGGGATACCAACCCAATCCTTGTGCTTTTTAGGTTACCTCAATCACAGTGAAAATCGATGCACGTAACGCTACGCTTTACAAAGTGGCTTTTTTCACCACAAATCAGGCCGCGTTCCAGGTCAACCTGGCCCGCTACTTTGAAAACAACCTTTAGGTCACGTATGAATTGCAAAACGGAACGCTTCGCATGAATCCCCAGGAATTTATCCGCCTGAATCGGTCGTATAAAACACTTTTTTACAACCCGGTTTAGGTACGGTAATGCGGCCGCTTGCATATTACAGAGTCTACCGAATTTTCGCCAAGTCTGCAACTGCAAAGATCAGCAATGAGATAGTTTCTTCACGATACAGATTTTTTGTTGTAATTATGTTGGTAACTCGGGTGTTTTCCAAAATAAAACCTATAACTCGCAGGCACATGCAAAACACAACACTCAAATTGGTACTGATGCATTAGCGGGGGGGGGGTAGCGGTGGCAACCAAGGTTTCTTTTTCCTGGTTTATCTATCAAGAATTGTGTGTTCTTATAAAAATTGTGATTTTCGTCGTTTTTCATCGCTAAAAAGTTATGAAAATATTTGAAAAATTCTGAAATCGGAACATTTTGCATTTTTGGTGGTTTTTCATACATTTTTGACTAAAGTTGTATGAAAAATTTTGAATCTTGTAAAAAGTTTTAGAACCATTTTAGAAAAACATTTTTATGTGATTTTATATCCGAAATCTAAAAATTTTTTGAAAAGCTATAAAATTGATTTATATTTTGTCATACTGGGAAACATTACTGGGGAAATTTGGCTTACCCCCCTGCTAACAGTCAAGTACCCGGTATTCCTCAAAACTGCATCACACACGTCAAACTGCGAGCTTTTGACTTGTCATAACTTTTGTGCCTCTCCGATGAAAAGACCTTGCCGTTTCCAATAGATGATAGTATCCAAGCGGAATAGGACTGTCATGACAGACCGCCCGACACATGTGCGGAATTAATTTTGCTGCACCTAAACATTGATCGATTTCTTCAACTAGACATGTTGAGGCAATACTTTTCGGTAAGTTATACTATTTTGGCTAGAAGGTTTGAATACAGTCTCTTTTTCAGCTCCCCAAGGTGCTGCTCAAACGCAAGGTCTTCTACGCAGTTTTCTTGCTCCTGGTCATCGGCTGCATTTTGCAATTTCCAAGGAGGCCCGCGACGAGTCGACGGAGTATGCCTTCAAGAAGAAGTAATCTACCTCCTGAAGAACCACAGAACACTACAGTTACAGCCGATTACAGCCTGAGCACGAGCAGTTCTGGTAAGGGCTTTCAGCACTGTGCATTAAAAAAAGTTTTTAGTAAAAATTAAAAGCATAATAAGCTCTGAAGCTACCCCAAAGTGGAACTACTACCGCCCAAGTGTTCCCTTACGAGACTTGATTCCGGATAGCGGACCGAACATGTCGTCTACGCCGGCTGTATCCGGAAACATGATTATACTTGGTAAGCAAGAGGGTACTAGTATTAGGTTAAAAACATTAAAAACGTCTTGATCTCTTATTTTTAGTTGAAGGTCGGCGATTTCGGGGCAAAAAAAAATCTATATTTTTTTTGCAAATTTTGGAGTCTTGCAAACGCTCCTATTTTTAGCAGGTGGAAACTAGTTTTTGTTTTGCCGGCTTCTTTTCTTGTTAAAGATAAATATTGTATTTTCACAAGGTTTTTCGTAATCTTTGATCGCTAGAAAGCTACAAAAAATATTTTAACAATTTTTGAAAATTGCTCTTTGATCATTTTTCATAAATTTTGGGCCAAAAACACGAAATTTTTCATAGGTTTTACGAGCATTTTCGATCTAAAAACTATGTAAAATTTTATAAAATAGTTTTTATAATATTTTGTGATAGGACCGTCGGGGAATACTGGGAAAATAAGTGCCCCTTAAAAAATCCAGTACCGGTACACGGTCGGTTGCTAGACTCATCGCATTGCAGACTCACAAAAATTATACTGTTTTGCTCTTGGTTTTTTTACTTTTTACGCTAGGAAAACGCACATTACTGTACTGTACACATACAGACCAAATTTCCAGTTGGGGCTTACACCGCCGCCGACTTTGCCGCTCGTCCTCATCTTTATAGTGTAGCGGTCGAGGTCAAGGAGAACCAAACCCTAGACGAGCTCGCAACCATGTCTGAGAGTACGTATTTGATTCTTCCCGATTTGATAGGCTTATGCAATTTTTCAGCTAGCACCTATGCTGAGGTCTTCTATTTCTCAAACTCGGCCTCAAACGACTTTTTCGAAATCGTCAAATCCGACAACGCCTTCGAACTTCGCCTCATGCCCAAGTTTGTTTGATCGTTACCATTATATCGTGTTTTAAAGCGCACGTTCAGGGAGTGGCGGTGTATTCGTCCCAACGTGTACACCCTATGGACCCCCGGCCGCGGTAAAAATCTTGGCTTTTTTCCAGAAAAACGTCCCTGAACGTGCCCTTTAAAGGTTGCCAACGTTAAAAGCTTTTCCAGCCCACGAAAAAAGCCATATCGCCCAGATCGCATAGATCAAAGAAAAGTTAAAAACGACGCCTTACTGGGCACGTTCAGGGACGTTTTCTGGTAAAAAGCAACGATTTTTGCCGCGGCCGGGGGTCGAACCCGGGCCTCCCGCTCGGGAGGCGCGGATGGATACCAGTCAGCCACAGCTCCAAATCAGCGAGGGGAATGAGGGCGCCCCAGGCCGCAAAGGAGGGAAATTGCCTCCCACTGTAAGGGCAGGCAGTGCGCGCGGTCCCTACGTCCATAGGGTGTATACGTTGGACAGAGTCTACGGCCCCTCCCTGAACGTGCCCTTTAAGGGAGCATCGAAGCGCCAAAATTTTGATTAGGGCCGGCAAAGAAAAGATCTTTTGAAGATTTTCAATTTCTATAAATAAGCTAAGTACTAAATAGTTTGAATTTTTAGAAGCGCCTACACGCTGGTGAACAACATCTACGTTCCGCGGGACGCGATTTTTCACGCCCGACTCTGGGCCGGCTCTCGAATGTTTGAGTGTCTAAATCGTAGGCTGCTATGATTTGCTATCATAATATCGAAAATGATCGCGAAAAATTTCATTATGTCGAAATTCTGAATGTCGAAGTTTTCATAAGCTCATTTCCCGGTAAACCACTGGAATCTATCCTAAAAAAATTTCGAAATATGAAATTTCGACATTATGAAATTTCGACATTATGATTTTCGACATCACGAATTTCCAAATCAATAGTTGCGAAATTTTGAAAGAAGCTCGGCTGCTGCTAAATAAAAAATAGATGCTTTAGTGACAAACCTTCGAAATCCAACGGAGCCTCCAAATCTAATCCCGGAAGACGTCTACTGGCTGTCCGTCATGCGCGATCTGCATTTCGAGTACCGGGCACTGCCATTCTTGATTAGTGGTACTTTACTTGGTAAAGTTCTCGTACCGTCAGCCATTATACCTATTCGACAGGTTGGCGTCGTGAATGCGCCGTAATTCCGCACACGACGGACATGGACATCGCCATATTCGAGGATGAATTTCCCATGGCTCTCGTCGAAGACTCGATTAATATGACCGGAAAGCCGCTGCAGCTCGCGAGGATAATTGGCAGGGTTAGAATTGGACTTTTTAGGGCCTAAAAGCTTGAGATTAGGCTTCGTTCTTATTTACAGTAAATTTTTTCTTCTGCAAGGAAATTCGGCAGGGGCCCAGGCCTATCTTGGGCAGAATTTCGAGCTGATTCCGAACCCAGTGCCAAAAACCGTTCGTCGATGCTTTTGAAAGAGTTATGCGACTTTTCGTAAAAGCTCAAAATGGCCAACTCTAGACCCTCACAGAAAATCGGATAAAAAGACCTTGATGAAAATATTGCGCGCGCCGCACTCAGAAACATACGCAAAACAACAATTTTACGAACATTTACGCAATTTTTAAATTTCGACACAAAATAGTGCCTGCGATAAAGTTTGTAGTTTAAGGTTTGAAGTGTGGCCATTTTCAGCTCTTTTTTGTCAACAAAAACAATCATAACTTGTTGAAAATCATCGATTAGCAATTTTTTTGAAAACGAGGTCGGGAGCAGAGCAAAATTCTGCACAAAATAGGCATAGTCCCAGCCCCGAAAACCCAAAATCACGAAAAAATCATTCCTTATTAGCCATTTCAGCCGGGCGACAGCTACGAGGCGACGTTTTGGGCAAAGACGCGGCGCGGCAAGTGGTTCACAATCGACATGTTCACGATGTATCGCGATCTGGAGAAGCGTAATTGCTATACAACCCTTGTTTACGACAGGCCTGACTACCAGAAGTATCGAAACGAGTATCCTTGGTACGTTAATTCTACGAGGTTTCTTTCAAACTGTCGAGATTTCATAATGTCAAAATTCAGAATTTCGAAATTTACATAAGGGGGAAATACATTTTTCCGGGGAAAACGCCCTGAATCATATGCAAAAAAATGTCGACATTCTAAATTGCGGCATTATGAAATTTCGACTTTATGAAATTTCGACATTATAGATTTTCGACATTATGATATCAAATCAATCCTAAATTCTAAAATTCCTTCGCAGGTTTGAAGCGGAATTTTGTACGGCAAATCTTCACGGTCACGTCTTCCACGTACCGTGCGATCCGGACCGCATTTTGGAGGTTGGTTATCGAGACGTTAATAAAAAAAAATACGTTTATGAAAACTTAAACGAAAATAAAAATAAAAACTTCAGGCCGATTATGGAGTACATTGGCGCGTCGATCGCCACACCAAGGGTTATTTCTACGAGGGCAAACTGGTGGCGAACGGCAATTTCTCACTGGAAGGGTAAAGATCTACAGGGATGCATTTTATTTACGTTTCAGCGAGACGCTTTTCCGAACTTTCTGATTTCTGGCGATTGCGATGATTCGTTTTTGTATTATTGCGTTTGCGTAATTACGCTTTTTGATGGTTTTTTTAGGTTCTGGTTGCGAAATAAAGTGGTAATAATGCCTGGAAACGTAACAGTAAATTTTTTAACATAAGTTCTAATCAAATGTAATGAGGTTCGAAGCGAAAAACCATCGAAAGCTGTATAAACTTTTTTTTAAATCGTGAATCCTGTGGAAGAATTGTATAAAAATTTATAAAATTTGTATCTTTAGAAAACGTAAAAAATAATTTAGAAGACTTTCGTTTACTTCAATTGGAAAAATTGGATACTAAAGAAAAAGTTTCTCCCCGACCCCTCGCCCCCCCCGTTAATGGAAAAGCACCCAAAAATCGATTTATTCGCAGTACACAAACAATACACAAGCAAGATGACGCCGACAAGAATATTCATTACAAAAACAGAAAGAGGGCTGTTGGGATCAGCGAATGGCCGTAGCTGAACATTTGAAGAATTGTCGGCTCGCCATCAGAAGAAGCGCACCAGCTCCGCGCTGAAAGGAAGGGATTTCGAAAACCCTAAAAATCAGGCCCATACCCTTTCGTGCCATAGTTGCCGTTCCAGACGAGGTTGGGCCCGTAGCGGTAGCCCTTGCTAGGTCGATCAGCGGTCCAATTCTTGCCATAGTCAGCCTGACGTGTTTTTGAATAACGGATCGATGCTGGGCTATTTGGTTCTTTTGCATTATCCGGGGACTCAAATTTTTTCTAAAGATCGAACTTTTCAAATATAAATAGTGGAAGTGTTTCTAAATAGTTTTTACAATACCTAAGCGTGAAAACTTTACAAATTTATATGAAAAATAACAAAACATCGATTTTTCGACCAAAAACGACCTGTTTTGGACAAAAAATTTCACTTTTTCATGGTTTTAGATATTTTTATATTTATATTAAATGATATAGGTAATAAAAGGTATCAAAAATAGCAAATTTTCGACCGAAAGTCTCAAAACTTGTACCAAAATTTTTACTTTTTTCAGTTTTCCGATAGTTTTTCTTGTTCAGATATAGTTTTATGTTACTAAAAACACTATTTAAACACTATTTATCAACCAACTCGCATTTCTAGACTTTTACAAACAAGTACGCCCCCCCGATAATGCAAAAGAGCCGACAATTTATACCTCCAAAATTGGGTCCGGATTGCAGGGCACGTGGAAGACGTAGCCGTGCAGGTTGGCCGTGCAGAAGTCCGCCTCAAACCTATAGGAAATTTTGGCTCCCGGGGTTTTAGCCTGTAGTGATCTCTGCGGCGCCGCGTCGCGCCACCACCCCCGAAAATGCAAAAGAACCAAAAATTTAATGAAATTACACACCACGGATACTCGTCTCGGAATTTCCTGTATGCGGGCGGGCCGTAGACGATCGTCGTGTAGCAGCAGCGTTTCGCCGGGTCGCGATACATCGTGAACAGGTCGATGTTGAACATCGTGCCGCGCTGCGTCATTGCCAAAAACGTCGCCTCGTAGCTGTCGCCTGGCTGGAAATTGACTTATTTGAGAGAGCGATATGCTAGATATTTGAGATATGCTAGCAAGATACCTTCCCGATGACGCGGTGCAGACGGAGGCGCTCTCCCCTCATCTTGATGGCGTCTTCAATTAATGCCATCGGGAATTCATCTTCAAATGTGGCGATATCCATGTCGGTAGTGTGAGGAATTAACGCGCATTCGCGACGCCAACCTGAAAAATATCGATAACGTTCGAGACAGCTAACATTCATACCCAGTAAAGTACCGCTAATCAAGAATGGTAGTGCCCGGTACTCGAAGTGCAGATCGCGCACGACGGACAGCCAATAGACGTCTTCCGGGATCATAATTGGTGGCTCGGTCGTGTCCCGAAGGTTTGTCACTATATTAGGTGGCCCTTAAGGTAGACCTCCCGAACCCCCCCCCCCCCATTTACCCCCATACTTGTGGGGGTTGGATGGGTCATAGGGGGGTTGCGAGGGGGGTAGGGTGGGGGTTGGGCGGGGTGTTCGAACGGGGGTTTTCAGGGGTGTTGAAAAAAAAGTTAAAAAAGGCTGAAACGATTTTAAACCTTAAAAACATTAACTTAAAATAGCCAGAATTTTGCCCAATGGGGGTCTTTGGGGGTTGGAATGGGGGGTTCGAGGGGGTCCATTGGGGGTTGGCAGGGTGTCTGTTGGGGGTTTTGGGGGTGTTGCATGGGGTCAAATGGGGTCTTTGGGGTAAATGAGGGGGGTTCGGGAGGTCTACCTTAAGGTATAACCCCACAATTCAGACATCCAATCATCCTAGATCCTGCCCAGAGTCGAGCGTGGAATGCGTCGTCCCGTGGCACGAAGGTATTCCACTCTTTGGTGTAGGCACTCCTAAGATACCCTGGCATTAATAGAGCTTCGAAGCGTACTTTGGCATGAGCCGGAGGTCGGAGATGTTCTCGGGGCGGAAGATCTCGAAGAAGTCGTTTGAAGGGGAGTTGATGAAGAAGAGCAGCTCGGCATACGGGCTTGCTAAAGAAGCAAATATGAGAGTGAGAGAGAGAGAGAGAGAGAGGGAGGGAGGGAGGGAGAGAGAGAGGTAGAGAGAGCGCGGGAGAGAGCGGGAGATAGAGAGAGAGAGAGAGAGAGAGAGAGAGAGAGAGACAGAGAGGGTGTGCAAGGGACTTACACTCCTTGACCTTCTTCAAGTCGTCGATCGTCTGGTCCTCCCCCACCTCGACGGCCACCACAAACAGTTCGGGCTGCCCCGCAAAGAGTTCTCGAGTGTATGGACCGTCTGAAAAACGAGATGAAAAAAAGCACGCGAAAACTTGCCAAGGATGATCAGCTTCGGTGTGCGCGTCCGGTCCTCCTCCGAAATCAGGTCTCGGAGAGGAACATTCGGACGGTAGTAGTTCATCTTCGAGGAGTTCAGGGCAAGATCTGACGTTGGGCCAACTGGAATTACGGTATCAAGGCTCTCTCACTCACTCTCTCTCCTCCTCCTCCCCCCCCCCCCCCCCCCCTTCTCTCTCTTCTCTCTCTCTCTCTTTCTATCTCTCTCGTCTCTGCTTTAACATCATCATTCGCCATAAAAACCAACCAGCTGCCCGCTGTCGCAAGTGCACAAGGTAGCCGACGGCGCCGAGCAGGATGAGCGCATAGAAAAGGCGCCGTTTTAGCACGAGGTTCGGTATCTGAATATGTGCTACTATATGAATGGCAGTAATTACCATAAGGAGACGCTCGGCCTCAGAGCAGCCAAACATCAATGTCGATCTTGCCAGTAATAGAATTCTCAGGCAATGACGCCAAGATGATGCTAATAAAAATTTGGGCTAGCTAGGCTTTCGGATGCAAATTTTACTTAGATATGCGAATTTGTAAAAACCAATCGGAGGCGTGTACCAAATGATTTTGAATTCCAACCCCTCCTCCTCAACAGCCAACTCTCATCGCCGTTTGATTGCCATTTTTTTCTTTGCCGTCAAAGCGACTGATTCACTAGCTCGATCATCACTTCACACACGTTATTCTTGTGAAGCTGCAACCCATTTCCTTATTCGAAAAACATCATCGCGGTCTAGAGAGCCGGTTAGCCTCTCGGGTCCTCGGGTCCACCCGAAATCCGGTCGGCATCTTCTCGCGAAATCGATCGGAATTCCAGTAGCGGACGCGACCGGATTCCACGTGAAAATCGACCGGATTGCGGGTGGACGCACGGTAAATCAGTTGGAAATCCACCGAATCCGCCCGGTTTCCACTCAATTTCCACTTGCCGCCTCGCGTGCGGCACGCGTTGCGTCGTGTTTCCACTCGATTTCCTGTGCGTCCACCCGAAATCCAGCCAATTTCCATGCGTTCCGCCCCAAATTCATGTGGAATACAACCGGATTTTGGGTGGACCCAAGGACCTGAGCTCGTTGTCAAGTATCCTGATGAACCGTAACTCAAAATTTATAAAAAGTTGGAAAATTGGCCATCTACAGGGTGGCCAGAAAAAAAAATGCCAAGGAAATCTACCGCCTACCTAGCGGTCCGCAGTCGATTCCGATTTTTACGATTTAGGTACCTATCGAAAGCTCTCGAAAAAGCAAGTCCAGCACCATACCCCGCTCCTCAAATTTTTTAATTTTTGCTTGCATTTACTAATATTTTTTGTGAAAAATGCGGATATGCTGATGCTATTCTGACCCAAAGGTTTTTCCCAAAAATCACAATTTAGGGCTTTTTAGGCCTTTCCTGGCAACCCAACGACAGCTTTTTGGAAGCCATTTGCCAAGAACACAGCTTAGATCGCGCTTAAACCGGTTAAATTCAGCCTTTGAAAAGCGCGTCATTTTTGAGTGAAAAAGGCCGAAAATCGAGCAAAAATTCGGACATTGCCAAAATCGGTAAGACGTGCTGGACTCGCCTTTCCGAGAGTTTTTGATAGATACCTAAATCGTAAAAATTCAAGGGCTTTTGAATGGTGTAGCTATCATTCCGATGCGATACTTCTACATCGCGTTAAAGGGTGTTTTTATTGGGACACCCTGTACATCCCAAAAGTATCGTGCAGGTAAGGCATATTCAGTGCATTTCTTGAGCCATCCAAGCGCTCAACTCCATTTATTGGCCGTACACAAAAGAGATACGAAAAAGGAGACCATACAAAAATGTTACTATTACAACCGGAGACACACTATTAGGAATTGTTAGGGTGAGCTGCTGGAGGACTGGATGAGGACGGTTAGAACCGGATGAAGGTCGAGCTGAAATGAGAGGGTATGGGCATGATAGAGCGAGAGAGAGAGAGAGAGAGAGAGAGAGAGAGAGAGAGAGAGAGAATTAAGTGATAGAGAGGGGGAGAGAGAGAGTGAGCGGATAGAGTGGTCGATAGGGGGGAGAGATGGGGAAAGCGAGAGAGGGGGGAGAGATAGAGATAGCGAGAGGGCGAGAGAGAGGGAGAAGGATCGAGAGAGAAATAGGGTGAAAGCGAAAGAGAGAGAGGGAGAGAGGGAGAGAGATAGAGCGAAAGCGATAGAGAGATAGAGAGAGAGAACGAAAGCGAAAGCGAAAGAGAGAGATCCGATTCTTACTCATTTATCCGGAAATTGTCGTTGGGGACGACGTTGTGCCCGTAGCTGTAGACCTTTGTCGGCCGGTCGACGGTCCAGTTCTTGCCATAATCAGCCTGAAATGTTCATTCTACATAGTGTCGAAAATTAGCATGGTAAAATTTATAACGTCAAACTTTGCTAATATCGAGCAGTCAGAACCTCGAAATTTCATTCTACGGTTCTTTTGCATTATCGGGGGGGCGGCGGACTTTTTCGCATTCTTTCGCTTTTTCGCACGCTTTTTCGCATTAATCTAGAAATGCCTAAACCGAATAGGATGCATTCTTATAATGCTTTTAGTAACAAAAACTTTGTTTTTAACAAAACATTATCTAAAACTTTCCAAAAATGCTTCCAAAAAGTCGAAATTTTGGTTAAATAAGGCCGTTTTTGGGTGGAAATCCATATCTTTTTTGTATTCTTTAATGACATTTTTGAAACTTTTTAAGTTTCTGGATAGTAACGAACAGCTGAGAAAGACTTCAGCTATTTATATTGAAAAAAGGGTTGCTAAGAAAAATTTGTAAAATTTTTGGTAAGCCTCCCAGCCGGCACGCAACTTGTGTATCTCGCTGCTCCCGGTTTATTTACAGGTGTTTAAAGTATACCAAAATGTTCGTCTTGCTGTGGCGAGAATTTTCGTATACTTTACACACCTGTAGATGCACAGGGAGCCGAGAACGATAGGTGGGAGTCGGCTGGAGGGGGGGGTATCTGGAGTTTAGCCAAATTTTTACGCTTAGAAATCATAAAACCTCGTAGCAAGACCGAATTCGGCATCTGACAAGAACACGTTTTCCAACATTTCCAACCTCCAGAAGCGCGTCCGGATTGCAGGGCACGTGGAAGACGTAGCCGTGCAGGTTGGCCGTGCAGAAGTCGGCCTCAAACCTGAGGGGAAAACCGGAGAATTGAAATACCCGCTACGCAACATACCACGGATACTCTTCGCGGTACTTTGCGTGCTCGGATTTGCTCTGCGAAATGATGAGTGTGGTGTAGCACTTGCGCTGTTTTGGGTCACGATACATCGTGAACATGTCGATTGTGAACGACTTGCCGCGCCCCGTCTTTGCCCAAAACGTCGCCTCGTAGCTGTCGCCCGGCTGAAATGCGGCTGTGGTTCAGTTTACGCCCCCCCAGTCGACCCCCACCTCCCGTATCTCGGCTCCCTGTTCATCTACAGGTGTGTAAAGCATACCAAAATGTTCGTCTTGCTGTGGCGAGTATTTTGGTATACTTTACACACCTGTAGATGAACAGGGAGCCGAGATACGGTAGGTGAGGGGCTGGGGGTAGCTGGAGACTTACCCAAGGTTAAGCCTAATTCTAAACCTCGCATACCCAGCCAATGATTCTCGCGAGTTGCAGCGGCTTTCCGGTCATATTAATCGAGTCCTCGACGAGAGCCATCGGGAACTCATCCTCAAACGTGGCAAGGTCCATGTCCCCCGTATGCGGAATTACGGCACACTCACGACGCCAACCTGGAAAACATTGATAATGCCACAGGTAATTGGACCCTTGTACCCAGTAAAGTACCACCATTCAAGAATGGTAGTGCCCGGTACTCGAAGTGCAGGTCGCGCACGACGGACAGCCAGTAGACGTCTTCCGGGATGATATTCGGCGGCTCGGCCGTGTTCCGAATGATTGTCACTATATTCGGTTGATCCTTTTAAGGTATAACCCCACAATTCAGACATCCAATCATCCTAGATCCTGCCCAGAGTCGAGCGTGGAATGCGACGTCCCGTGGAACGAAGGTATTCCACTCTTTGGTGTAGGCACTCCTGAAACGTTCGCGCATTGATAGAGTTGCGTAACGTACTTTGGCATGAGCCGGAGGTCGGAGATGTTCTCGGGGCGGAAGATCTCGAAGAAGTCGTTTGAGGGGGAGTTGATGAAGAAGAGCAGCTGGGCGTACGGGCTTGCTAAAGAGGGACAGCTGACTTAAGAGAGAGAGAGAGAGAGAGAGAGAGAGAGAGAGAGAGAAAGAGAGGGAGAGAGAAAAAGAGAGCGTCAGAAACTTACACTCCTTGATCTTCTTCAAGTCGTCGGTCGTCTGGCCCTGCTCCACCTGGACGGCCACCATAAACAGCTCGGGTTGCGCCGCAAAGAGTTCCGGTGTGTACGGACCGTCTAAAAGGGTTTAGATAACGATCAATTAAAATTTTATTATCGCGAAACTCTATTAGGGTACTGTTCGTTAGCGGGAGGAGGGCTTATTCAAAAATTTTGAACAAATAAACACAGACAAAATCCTTTCGAGGATTTTTAGAGTACTTCAATGGAAAAATTATGGAAATTAAATAGATAGAAATGCAATAGAAATAAATAGCCCCCGCCAGCAAACCAGAACCGGAGCAACAAAAGCTCACCAAGAATGATCATCTTCGGCTGACGGGTCGACGTGGAGTTAGGCTTAGTCGCCGGGATCAAGTCGCGGAGAGGAACGCTCGGGCGGTAGTAGTTCCACCTGCCATCTGAATCGCAATTCTACATTTTTGACCATGATTCTGACGGCTGATCTCCAGATACCCCCGCCCCCCCAGCTGGGCACCGCATACCGTATCTCGGTTCCCGGTTCATCTATAGGTGTGTCAAGTATACAAAAATAGTCGCGAGACCAAGACGAACATTTTGGTATACTTTACACACCTGTAGATCACCAGGGAGCCGAGATACCAAAGTTGCGGGCCGGCTAGGGGGGGGGGGGGGGGTAAACTGGACTCTTACCTTTTGACCATGGTTCTGACCCTCTTCAACTCCTCGAAGATACCAGATGCCGGCGACGGCAAAGAGCAGTAGAATGGCGTAGAGGGCGTGGCGCTTCAGTCCAGGCCTCGGCATCTGAAGCAAAACCAATAAAAACTGCGACGATTGGTACTGGGCTGTTAGCGGGGGGGATATTTTAAAGGTGAAAAAGCTGTTTTTTTTTGCTTCTCCTCCCTCAATAGCGTGGCGTTTTTCACCGTTTTTTCATTGAAAACAAACGATACAAAGTGTGCCACTTGAAAGCATTTTTGTGATGTTTTGACCATCTTTGCGTAAAAAAAACAAAGCACACTTTTCAGAATTTGTTCTAATTATTAGGTCAGCCAAGCGCTCACAAATTTGACTTCATACCGTCAGAAAAGTGGTTCGCATGACGCTCCAACTGGGGGCAACCGGATGCAGGGCTGAGGACCGCCACGAATAAATTACACGGGGATCGGCTAAGCCATTCTCCCCATTTATGCCTAATAATTATGCAAATTTCGGCAAAAGGTGCAAATACTGATTTCAGGGCAGTTTCCTGTCGTAAATAGTGTAATCGTAGCCGGATTCGTGGTTTAGAGCAAATTTTGGTTTTATGATGACTGAAAACTTGCAGAGACGCTTCCCAATTGACGAGAGGGGAAAGTGAGTCAATAGTCCAGTCACGGAAAATTCAACATCGCACGGCGGCATGATAATTCAACTGGTTTCCTGATTTTTTTACGGAATTTTTGCATGGCGAATATATAGGAAGGGTTTCTAAACGGATTTTTGTTATTCCAAATGTTTGCTACTTTAATTCACGTTTATTAGATAACCAGCCCGTGTTCTTCTTTGCTGGAACCGATCGGTAAGACCCCAGATACCTCCCACAGCCGGCCCCCAACTTTTGTATCTCGGCCCCCTGTTCATCTACAGGTGTGTTAAGTATACCAAAACGGTCGTCCTGCTCTGGCGAGTATTTTGGTATCAACTATAATAATTTTCTTGACGCGTCTGTCTGTCTGTCCGTCTGTCCGAAGCCGAATTCAACTCGAAGGGGAAAAGAGCTAGAGCTTAGCTCTCTTCGGATTCGGATAGAGCGTGGTCAGAAACCCCCAAACTGATAAAAAAATTATGAAAAACTTTTAGTTTAAATTATTAAAATTAACTTTGAAAGTTTTTTCCTTAGTAAAAGGGGTGGGGGACGGAGGTTGGGGTGATTTTGGACATAGTGAGCCAGGTCGCGCGCGTTTCGTGGATGAAAATTTTCACGGGGAATTTCATTTCTTTTTTTCTCGCATTCCATCCGGTCGGTCGTTATTTTCGTTTTTTTAAAGGATTTCGACTAGGGGAGGTATCTTAAGCCATCAGGAAGGTATTTAGGTAGTTTTTGAAAGGGATTTCAGCCATGGGGGGTATCTGAAGCGGTTAACGTAGGTATTGATGGAAGTAGGGAAGGATGTGGTGGAGTAGGACATGTAGGGTAGCCCGAAGGCCAGATGATTGCAGTCGCGAAGCGACTGTAACCATCTGGTACCTTACAGACCTGTAGATCAACAGAGAGCCAAGATACGGTAGCTGGGGGTCGAATGGGGAGGGGGGGGGAGGGGGTATCTAGAGTTCAGCTAACCGATCTCCATTTCCGTGCTTTAGTGTGAAAAACGTTATTGTAAAATGGAAGCATCTTTATTCTCGAATAATTTTTCGGATAGTTAGGATAATATTCGATCACGTTTCACCTCTGTGCATCTCAACGACTTTCTGGGCCCTAAAAAATGCCATAATTTGCATACATGGACCGTGATTACGTAAAAACACATGTGCACTGCCAGGCCGACGAGGCCGATCGAAAACAACAGCAGCAATAGGCCGATCACGTAAAATCCGCACTCGACGCGGCTGATAAATTCGAAATAGGAGCGTCCTGGAATTTGCGCTAAAGTCAAAAAATATCGATACTTACGCGCTTCCATTAGTGCTCTTCGCGTTAAGGTCTGACGTTTTTCTAAAGCATTCCTTATTATACTTTTTATGTGATGCCGGTTAAAACCGAAAATTTTAACTATTTTTCCACTATAAAATATATCTGAAGATAGATTAAGTATTCGCAAACGAATTTTTTACACCTACTAGTGTCCTCCACGCCCGGCAACCGCTTCTCTTTTTGGAAAAACTCATAAATGCTGATCTCGTCGGGGTTTCCATCTAAAAACGTTTCAATACGTTGAAAAACACTATTTATATTAAATGTATAAATTTATTGAAAAATTATTACCCAGGGAAGGGTGAACGTCCGAAATCGACGTCGTCGGGATATCCGGGTAGTGGGGGTACACTGTAAGAAAGATTAAAAATGTAAAAACCTAACCTAGAAATAAAACAAATTCTAAAAACTACGGTTTAAATAAAGACATACAATGTTAATTTAACTTTTTAAATTTTGTCAAAGCTCTAAGAAAATTTGAAAACATTCGAAAAACTGGAAAGTGCCCCCTCAACGAACGTACCTTTATCAGCCTTCGACATCACTTCTTTTCAAACAAAATTAGCGACGTAAGGAGTAGCGTAGCGTAATAGCACCTTTCTACGTAGTATAAACTGCTATTCCAGAGATTTCTTGCTGACGTCCCGGCCAGCCGCTCGGTATTTTTGCACCTGGGCCCCTGAACGCTAATTAGAAGGGTAAAATCGGCGGGGCCGGAAATCGCGAGCCGTCTCCGAGGTGACCATCGAGCTGCAAAGGACGAAAAGTGCAACTACAGAGCGCGGCACCTAGGCGATAAGCACGCCTCTCATCGGCCGAACCCCTTGCATGTGGGAATTTTTTAAACTATTTTTTTTGCTGTATCGGTTCGCCCCGATTTTCTTCTATCAGTCTAGATATGCCTAATAGGGTACTAGAACGTGTTTAAATAGTTTTTTAGTCAAATTTAGAGATGATCAAATTGGAACACCTATTTCGAAAACTTAAAAAAGTTAATTTTCGTCAAAATCAGCAAATTTTGGCCGAAAAAGTTTATATTCTGTATCTATATCGAAAATTCTACATGTTTGTCCATTTATGAATAGAAGTCAATCAATTAGGAACAATTCCTCTAATAAGATTAGCAAAATTTGGTAGTAACGGAAATGAAAAACTTACGTTTTAATGCCAAACACTTAAAATTCTTCTTTGCATTTATTTGTTAACCGCTTCTCCGTAAAAAACCAAATCAAAAAGTGCTCTAGAACTGATAAAAACTCAGCGCTTGCGTTTTACCGAGTTTTTCCAACAATTTTTGTGCAAGTGGCTTTATTCGGCGCACAAAATACCAAGACAAACACACACACATATATAAATATCCCATAATTACAACATTTTCCAAAACAGCGATGATACCCGACGTTTTTGTGTGTATGGTGACACCGGTTTTTTTTCTCCCACAAAACAATAGACGAGCGATGGCAGAATTCCTATAAAAGTGATGGCAACAATTATATGGGGATGGGGATAAATAAGCGGATATAGGCGACGGATAGCTGCAGGGCAACGTGATATTTTAAAAACACACACACATAAAATGGGGGAACAGATGAGATATCGGGGGGTATACGGTAGCTAGACAATATTTACACAAGAGTCGGCACGTTTTTCGGCAAGTTTCGTAGGTGAGCTTCGTGGCTGATCCAAGTAGAGCCGTAGGGCTGTTGATGATCATGAGCACGATCTTTAGTAGGTGCCCGGCTCTAGAAAAAAATATTAACGTATAAGATATATACAAAATGAAAATCTACGGAAAGCCATTAAATCAATAAAATTTTTGAAATTCAACAATATAAAATTAAATAAAAATTTTAAGTCCAAAACATACCGAAAAATTCGGCCATCAGGTCCTCATCGTCCTGCAGCGGCTGCTGCTCGGCCTCGACTTGGGCGGAAGGCGGGTTTTCGGCAGCTGCGGGAGTTGGAGCTGGAGAGCCATTCCCTTCGTTTACTAAAATTTTTAAATTAAATAAAAAAAAATTAAATTAGTTGGTTTTACGGACCTTTCCCATTATCGGTGGGGGAAAAAATTTAAATCACTGATTTTTCTTAGCAATCCAGGACTGGCAAGCGTAAAAGTAAGCTTTTTCATAGCCGTTTTCGTAAATTTAACTATATTTAAAGCAAAAAAATTGCAAAAAAAAACATGAAAATTCGTGATTTTTATCGAAAATCGGCGATTTTCAAAAAATTTATGTTTATTTTGACCAAAAGCGATATAGTGAAAAAAAAACGGAAAAACTAAGAAATTCGAAATTATGAAAGTCGAAAAACAATATATCGTAATTTTAACAAAATGGCTTGCAAGTTTTAAGCACAAACCTAAAAAAAATGAAAACACTAAACGATACCTTGGCCCTGGTTGGCGAACTTTTGGCGCATCCCGTCGATGACGGCCAGCGCGTCGTGGTGAGCGACTTGGCGCTGGTTGGGCTGCTCGGCCTTCGTCGGACCCGGCTCCAGCACCTGGTAGATGTGGCCGGCGGCGGGCGGGATGCCGCCCGCGAGGGGGCGTAGGCGCACGATTTGGCTCTGTCCCTAAAAAGACATGAATTAGCGTCTAATACACTCTTTAAAATCGCTAAATCTCATCGAAACTCACCAGCTTGCGGCGCTGCAGGATGTTGGGCGGCTGGAAGGTGCGGGCGGCTTGTTGCTGCTGTTGCTGAGGCTGTGGCTGCTCTTGGGCCATCGTCATCGTCACGCGTTGCGGCTGTGGCTGCTGCTGAGTCAGCTGGTACTGACCCTGTTGCGGAAGTTGGGCCTGTTGGTAGGCCGGTAGCTTGGCCGGGATTGGGCAGGAAGCTGAAAAAAATAGAATTATTACTTTCAGAAAAATAGCCATAAAAAATTCTTCAAATTTCATGGAACTATCGAGTTTCTTTCACTTTTTACAAGTTATAAAACTTTAAAACTTAATAAAAGAAATTAAAAAGCACGAACCTGGCCCCGGGGCCGGACGTTTCCCGACGACGATCGACTGTTGATGACCACTAGTACTAGCCGCAGCGTTGCCGCACTGTACGGGGTACTGCTGCTGAACTTGTTGAGGCTCAGGGGCCGGCTGTGACTGCTGCTGCTGAGCCGGGCGAGCAGCGCGGGCAAACAGGCGCTTCTGCCCATTCTGTGTGGCCGTCGCGTCTTGTAGTTGGGGGATGGCGCGGCTGCGTGACGGGGGCATGCGCGGCATGCTTGAGCTGTTCGGGTACATCTTGATCAGGTCTGGAAAATAAGGACATTTTCTAAAATTATAAAACTATATATTTAAAATTCTATCTGAAAATAGCTAAATATAGTTTTTGCTGAAAATTATGAAAAAGGCTAGCATTTTTCATCTTTTCTATTGTTTTCATTTATTTATTCCTATTTTTAAAATTAAACCATAAAATTAACGCACCGCTCGAGAACAGAACCTTCTGAGAGGGCGTCTGGCGCTGCGGGGCCGCGGCCTGCTGGGGAGCTGCGCGGAATCCGGGCGGTGGCTGTTGAGGGCGAGCGTTCACCGGGGCCGGCTGAAATTTACAATTTATAAATATTACTTGTGCATGAAATCCACAAAACATAAAAGTTCTAAAACACACCTGGACTGCTTGCTGCTGCTGTTGGACCGGGGCGCGCATTTGCTGAGGCTGCACGTACACAGGGGCGCCCTGGGGTCCCGGCGGTTTCGGCTGCTGCTGCGGGTTATGGTGGTACTGCTGCTGGGGCAGAGTTCTCGGGATGGACTGAGCATATTGAGGAGCCGTGTGCGGCGGCAAGTGGACGGCCTGAAAATTAGGATTTTAATAAAATTAAACTTTCTATAGTCAATACTATTCTGAACATAAACATTACAAACCCCGACTAGCAAAATCCAAAAATATCATTTTTCAAACGAAAATGGCCAATTTTCGACCAATATTTTGGGTTCACAAATCATTTTCAAAGCCTTCTAGATAGTTTTCGTATCTGAAAAATATACAAATTCTGATTTATAAAACACTAATAAAAACTTAATAAAATGTCTATATTCCATTATGCTGGCGTTGAAAACGAACCTGTCGCACCGGCCCGGGCTGCTGCATGCGCATCGGCATCATCATCGGGGCCTGGGCGGTCGACACGTTCGGGTGGTGTTGAACAACGTATTGCTGATGTTGTGCTCCCGGATGCCCTCCGTACATTGAAGCGCCTTGCTGGCCCGGCTGGCTCATCGGAGGGTAGTAGGGCACGTTTTGGGGGTGTTGGATTTGCGGGCTCATCGGCTGCTGATGCAGCTGCTGTGGCTGGCCATAGAACTGGGGGCTCGGGTAGCTGCACACGGGCTGCGTGGAGTTCGGCACGCTGCTGGGCACGGTGGTCTGCACGCTGTTCTGCGCCGCGTTGACCGGCGACATGGCGGCGTAGTCGTGCTCCTTGGGGAAGCCGCGCTGCTCCATGTTTTTGGAGTATCGCCGCTGGGGCGACGGTTTCGGGATGATCGGGTCGCCGTGCGGGGAGGTGATCCGGACGACCTGGTTGCCGCGCATTGTGTGTATCACCTCGTACGAGCGGAATTTTGTAGGGGCCGGCGGGGGGGAGCGGCAGCAGAATTTTCATGAGACTTCTTGGCCGCTTTAGCTCCGCCTTTTCCAGCGTGAGGCTGAGGTTTTGGCTGTTGCTCTTGCTGAGGAGCGGCTTCCGCGGATTGTTGTTGAGCAGGCTGAGCAGCAGCTTCTTCCTGGGGCCGCGAGCTTTGTTGTTCGCCCACTTGCTGCTGTTTGGACGGCGAGGCTTTAGGGCTTGACGTCTGAAAATCGACAATGTAAAAATTGATAAATGGAAAACCAAGGGCAATAAAAATTGGGTTTTTTCAGTCAAAATCAGCTATGGAAGCCTAGAAATTCTAAATTTCTATACGCTTTTTTAAATAAAAAAAGAATAATGATGTTATTACGAACCTCAACCGGAAATACCGGGGATGCCGCCGATGTGGTCGGGCTGCCTTGATCGGTGGAGCTTTCTGGCTGTTGGCTGGACATCATTGGAGCCTGGGGCTGTTGTTGGGGATGATTCGACGTGAAGGGGCACGCAGACGAAACCTAAAATAACAGAAAAAATCTTTTGACATTTCACTAAATAGCAATTAACTGAACTAATCCACAAAACTGTAGTATATTAATAAAAACTACAGAATAATAAAATTCACATCATAGATGTACTCAACTACTAAATATCGATAAGTAACTAAATAAGTAAGGATGATGCACAAACCTGGGGCGCAAATCCGGGTGGCACTGTTGAAGTTCCCGCGTTGCTGTAGCCATTTCCCGGGTGGTGCGGCTGCTGATTCTGCCTCGAAACCGCTGGCTGTTGCCCCGGCTTGTTTGGAACCTAAATTAAAATAGATAAATCTCATCTAATAATAAATAAAAACAAACTCTAGATCTTTTTCAGATAAATAAAATCATACCATTATCGGGCGCGTCGGCGAGATGTACTCAATGTGGAACCCTTCCGGCACCGGGTTAAATGAAGGGGAGGCTTGCGGTGGTTGCTGTGGCTCGACGGGAAAGTGGTCTGCGGTCGAAGGCTAAATTTAATGAGATTGAATGCATATTCTTTGTCATTAACCTCCGCCGGAAACCCGTGTCCCATCGAGAAGTCGTACGGCGTGGGCGACATGTGCATCGGCTGGTGCGACATTCCGGGATGGCTGTACATGGACGTCGGTGGGTAGTGATGCCCGCCGAACGGTTGCGCGTAGTACGGGTCGAAGCCGTATTCATGGGGAGCCGGGTAGCCGTAGGGTGGGGACTGGTCGAAGTTTTGGTCGTAGTTCACCACCGGGAACCCGTCCAGACTCCACGGGCTTGACGACAGCGGCGGCGACGAGTTGTAGGAGGGTGAGGGCCTGGAAAAGAATGGTATTAAACTTAAAAACTAGAAGGTAAAGTATATTATTTTTCGACAAAAACTGGTAGATTCTGTGCATGAATTTTTTTAAACGACCAAACACTTCAAACTGCCAACTAGTTTTCAAAATAACACCAAATCTGATAAATTACAGCAAAAAAAACTATTCTTTTTTGATTGCGCTTTTTTTGCCTAGGCATTTTCTTTGGGTGCCTTATTTCCTCCAGATTTCTTCACGACCAGATTTTTAGTCCCTTTTTATAGCGTTTTTATCGAAATTCAAGTCCTAAGGAAAAGTAGAACACTACTATAAAAAATCGGAAACAATGTAGAATTTTTAAACTATATGCAACAAAAATAAAATTTAACAATTTTGAAATTTTCGGTGGCAATCAGGCTGTTTACGTTCCGGAATTCGCACCGATTCAACGTCGTTTCCATTTGCGCGGCTCCTTGTGGCGGCTGTATACCGGCTGGTGCGGCTTCCAACTGCTCGTTCTCCCAGCGCTCACGAGTGTCAAAATCGCTGAGCATCTTTTGGATCGAGCGACTAAAAAGTGAGTGTAAGTTAGGGAGTACTAATTGTAAGCAACGAACGGAAGGAAAGTAAACAACTAAAAGATAACCCTAGTAAATTTAATTAAAAACAACCGCCGGTTACTAACTTAAAGCAAAGAAAAAGATAGGTACTAATTTAAATTTAGCAAGTTAAAGTAAGTAAAATAAACCAAATCAGTTAACAGCAACCACTGACTAATTTAACTAAAACTAAAGCAAAAAAAAAATCAAAACCAAGTCCAGAAAAGTGAGTGGGAAATCTTTAATTTCTAGCAAGTAGTTTCCGAATCACGATTGTGAAATGGGACTTCCTAGTGGGTCCCGCCCATCTGGTGGGCGGATCCGCTTATCATACACCACCGTAGTGGTCGAAAATAGAGGCGCATTAAAAGTTGTCCTAGGAGGACGGTAAAGGCTAAATCTTATCATCTTTAGGTCACTAGGTCAAGTTTTGTCAGTTCTATTAATGTAAACGTCAACATACAAAAACCCTCACTTTTTTAAGTCTCAATAGTTTGTAAGTTCTATTAATGTGAAGGTAAATACACTAAAACATTACGTTACTAACGTGCTCAGATCACATTTTGTAAATACCAAGTTAGAAAAATCTCGTATGCCTTATGACACTAGTTCAAATTTTGTAAGTTCTATTAATGTAAAGGTAAAAACACTAAAACACTACTTTTCTTAGGCCGTTAGATCACATTTTGTAAATGCCAATTTACAAAAAACCTCGGAGCTATTGATGTTTGGGGGGCATCTTTTTTTGGGGGCTTTTTCTGGCCTAAGCTTGTCTCAAAGCCTAAGCTAACCAAGCCAAGCCAAACCTAAGCCGAGCCTAGGCTTAAGCCCAAGCCTAAGCTAATCCTAAGCTAGCTCTAGGCTAAGTCTAAGCTAAGGCTAGGCGAAACCTAATGTAAGCCTACACTAAGCCTAAGCTAAGCCAAAACCAAGCCTTGGTCTAAGCTAAGCTTAAGCCTAAACCAAGCCTAGGCATAAGCTAAGTCTAAGCCAAGCGTACGCAAAGTTAAAGCTAAGCCTAAGCTTAGACCCAGGCCACCAAAAAAAAAAATGCCCCCCAAACATCAATACCTCCAAAACCTCACATTTCCTCAAGACCAATCTTATTGGCCGTGTCGTTGCGGGTGATGAGGACGTTGGCCTCGCGTAGTGTGTCGACCTAGAAAGACTAAAATAGTTGACACCAAAAGGCACTACCTTCCCGACGACTCGGTTACCGCGCAGACCATGGGATTGATTGACCTCCACGCGCAAAGCCTCGAGTTCGCTGGCGAGCTGGAAAAGTAGAAATTTTACTGGTTTAACAGCTAGATCGTCCTAAAAATGCCAAATAGCTCTCCACCGACCTGCCGACCCCGTATGATATCGCCGGGGCTAAACGAAGTCTCGACCTTTTCGGGTTTGCGGCCTTTCTGGGATGGTGCCGTTTCCGGTGGCGGTTCGGCCGTGGCTTCTTGTATTGCTGGTTTTTGGGGCGTCTCCACCTCCATCACTTGCTGGGATCGATTCTGGAATAGCCAGATTTAGCGAATCAAAAACGACGAAAAACCACATAGGAGAGGTTTCTAGGGCTTACGAAGCCGATTTCGACGATTTCAGTAAGTCGGGGAGCAACGATCTTGCAAAAATGAAATGTCTGTGAAGTCAATCTTTGGCGTGCACGTTTTCCAACGTTTTTATTTCTTAGTTTTCATTTCCATAGAAGATGAGCTAGAAAATCGTTAGCTCTTTGCAGAAAATAAAAAACAAAGGACGTGTTTTTCCCCGCCTGAAAAAAAACAAATTACACCGCCGGTGGACAGTTCTGCGTGCATAGGAGCGTCGCGTACTGCGTGCTTCGAAATCGAACTTTTATATAAAAGTTAGAGGTTTTTGTTTTTTTTTTGCTTGTGCTTTACACTCGTAGTTTTATTTCGATGAAAGGAAACGGTCTGCAGGGGGTTTTGAACCCTCGTCGAGAAACTAGCGTCCAGGGGACTGCTACCTTCTATTAATTATCGTTTTCAGCATTTCTCAGCAAAACTATGAATTTGGGCGGGGTCATCGAGGCCGATAAAAGGTCAGTAAATGGCGCGATGATGTCAAAAGTGCGCATAGCTGTGGGCGACGAAGCGCAGATGCGGGAGCGCTCGCAGCTGCTCTACGAACGTTCTAAGGTAATTCCCCTATTCTCGACGAAAAACCGATACAACGCCCAGTAATTCTAATCAAAGAAAATGAAAAGAGCTGTAGCAACTCAAGAGGCGAAAAACGCAGATGGTTTTGCCAACGCTATAACGTAATTCCCCCAATTCAGGGTCCAACGCCGATAATTTGTCCAATAATTCTTGCGCAAACGTCTGGCAACCGGTTTCTAAATAAAATGTGGTTGAACACGAGTCTAAAAACAAAGCCAAAAACTCATCTGGTAAAAAAGATGTATAAAAACTAGCTAAAAAGTAATGTGACCCCCGAAACGTGAAAATCAGTCTAAAAACCCTATCAAAACTCCGAATCCGAACTTATGCCCCGTTTTCTCTATCTATAAAACCTTCTCCGTGTCCCAGCCGGTACTCCAATAGCTATAAGTAACGTGTTTCTTTTAGAGGTCCTGTGAAAATGCCACCGGTCGTGCGCACCTCACCCCAGAAAACGGCTTCCACGCGGAGGAACGAGCACAAACGGATCGACAAGGTAAGCTTTCGTTTTTAGCGTTGATTTTACGCTTTTTTTAGGTACGTCGCGAGCGGGTGCTGCTGAACGACACACTAAATCGCGTCCACAACACCCAGCAGACCAGAACCGAGGTAAATTAAACCTTTTTAAAACGAAAAATTGTTTGAGAGCCTCGTCATCAGGGACGCCATCCACACGCTACGCGCTCAACGCCAGGAAGCCGAGATGATTCGACAGCATCGGTAGTTTTTATGTGATTTTTGGTACAAAATTGCCTTTTTTTAGCGAATACCTTCAAGGCAAGCTGGCTCGATACACGCTCAAATATGGCCCTCATCCCTTGATGTCTAAGACCGGATTCTCGTGAGTTTTTGTTCGTTTTCTTGAAATTTGAAGCCTTTTCTTTTCTAGCCCCTAAACTGCTCATTACTTTGTTTTCAGTGCTCCCAACGTCCTCAACGGCACCAGACCCGGATTGCCGCAACAGCCACCTGCCGCAAACCCTAGCTGGAAACTCAGTGAGAAAGATCCTGCATGGGTTGTCTTCCCGTCGTACGCAATGGCCAATCGTTCTTTCACAGCAGATCGCTACATCCCGCAGACGCCAGAGTCGTCGGCGTCAACTGACAAGGAACCTTCTCGAGGTATATTAAGCTCATATTTTTATCAAAGGTACTTGACTGTTGGCGGGGGGAGGGGTAATTTTTGTTTTTACGCCAATACCTACCTTTTGATATACTTTTAACTTTACCTTTTGTTTATAGTGCTTTAGCAGTTTTTGATAGCTAAAAAGTTATAAAACATATTTTTAATTTTGAGAATTCGAAAATTTTAGCGGTTTTTAGTCATTTTTTATACATTTCTGACCAAAAAGTCAAAAATGTTCGAGAATTTCTAAGTTTTCTGAGCTTTTTATATCGAAAAACTGTATAAAATACGATCGAAATAGCTTCTATTGCATTAGAGCGCAGTACGGGTTACTTGGAAAAATTGTATATCGTTTAACGTTGTAAATTTAGTAGGAATACGAATTCTAGATTAACGAAATTCTTGGTAAGACTCCAGATAACCCCCCAGCCGGCACCCAACTTTTGTATCTCGACTCCCTGTTCATCTACAGGTGTGTAAAGTATACCAAAATGTTCGTCTTGCTGTGGCGAGTATTTTGGTATACTTTACACACCTGTAGATGAACAGGGAGCCGAGATACGGTAGGTGGGGGTCGGCTGGGCGGGGGGTTATCTGGAGTTTAGCCAAATTCTTTTTTGCAGCATCTACACCTGGCTTTGCCGAGAAACATCCAATGCTCTGTGGGCTATTAGCCTCACCAACGCCGTGGTACGCGGGGCCAGAACCGAGCACGCATGATGCAAAAGAGGATGTGCTTGACGAGGCCACCTTCATGAAGGCGATCAAGCTGGTCGAGGAGCGCATCACGAGTACCGAGCAGTTCAACAACGGCACATTCACAAGCTCGGCCAAGTCGAAAGTGCCCGATCAGCCATCGCGCGCGCTCGAAGATTCATGGCTGGATCGGGCCTGTGCATCCGTGGCCAAGGGCGAAGTCGAATTTGATGATGGCGTCTTCGACTTCTTTGATGGTAGAGATTTTTTTCTTAGAAAAAAGTGGTTGTTTTTCTATAGGCTTACGTACGTAATTTAATAATATTTTTAGTTTGTTTAGTCATATTCTAAATTTAAAACGTTTTAAATTTTGCTCGAAAATTGAGATTTTATCGCGAAAATCGATACTTTTTAATTTTTTTTCATAGTTTTTTTGTCGCGCTTTTACGTTTAATAATAACAAAATTAAAAATACTTTTTCTTTTAATATTAGAACAAATAGATCTTGAGAAAATCCGAATTCTCCTTAACTACTAAACACGCGTTCACCTATTAAATTTTTTAGACGACGAGCCGAACGGCTCGAAATCACCGAGTGACCTGAAGGTTCCAACCTGATGCAGCGGTCAAGTTAATGTAAAAGATCCTCAAATTTTGTGAATTCCCAACAATTTTCTAACCTACGCTCATTTCTTCTGTATATCCTGTGTATTTTTTTCGAGTGGCCAATCCTCCCAAGTGGCGAAATTATGTGAATTACCTTTTTTATGTCGATCCGCACAGTCGTGTTTGTGTATTTTTTGACGCTGTATTTTCCTTTGTGTTTTGAGATTCGTATTTGAGCCGGATATTTTATAACACGGGATAACAGTAGTAGTAATCTACTAAAATATACCTCAATTTCAGAGCCTTGTGTGGAAGGTTATAGCGTTTTTAGTGTTTAGAGGAAACAAAATACCTGGATTTTTTGCGTGTTTGCGTGCGTTTTTTCCTAGGCTTGAAAAATCACAGGTATTTATTACAGTGTCTATGGTATAACAGCTATAGAGATTCGGGCGGGCGTAGAATCTGAGGGAATGATAGGTGTTGATTATAAGAAAGGGAAAGTTGGCAAGGAGCAGGACTTGTAAAATCTAGGATATGTTTTTCTAGCTTTTTTCGGTTCTTTAGGATTCCCGGGGGGAAAGTATTCCCGGGGGAAACAAATTTTTTCCTGGTTTTCCCGGTTGACCTAGTAATCAAATATAAAGTGTTTTCGAATTGTTTTTAGTAAGTTTCAAGTATATTTAAAGCAGAATAACTTTCAGAAAAATTTAGAAAAATGTTTGAAAAAGTCGAAAATTTGGTCATTTTGGGTCTATTTTTCGACCTAATTTTTAATTTTTTACATTTTTTTGGTTAAAATGTGTGTAGTTTTTATGCACAGGAATAGTTAAAAACAGTTTAGAAACGCATCCGCAATTTATACAAAAATCTAGGCTTTCGCCGAAAAAAATTTGTTTTCCCCCGGGAATACTTTCCCCGGGAATCCTAAAGAACCCTTTTTTCGTATATACATATGTAGTAGCAAGTTTTGATCATTATGTAGGTATTAATTTTCCGTGAACAGCGTTGTAGGGTAGTTATTATAGAGAAAAATGGGATTTTTTGAAATGTCACTAGTTTCTTTCTGGGATCGAGAGTCCTATTTTGGTGTTATCAGTTTTAAAAACGCTAGGTTGCGGCTACAACCTTGTCCTCGGCCACCAATTCTGGTGCAGGCGATAGAGAAGCCTCATGCTCGGTGTCTTGCTCATGGCGCGCTAAAATTGGGCTTATTCTTCGAATCAAACTCGGAGATCCTAACCTCGATCCCTGGCGGCTGCGCATTCGCCTTCAGTGCTCTAAGAAATGGCCTTTAGTTTTTATTGTAGGTTTTAGTTTTCAAACCTTTCTTTCTAGCTTGTAACTTACCGTTAGCATATACTTGACCAACTCCTCCCCGGTGCCCTTGGCCAGCTGCTCGTTCTGGAGCCGATTTAGCTGCCAAAAATGTACGCATCGCATCTTGGCGCACCCGTCACGCACCTCATCGTAGGCGACTAACATAGACAAAATTGCAGGAAAAACTACATTTTATCTTACGCTGATGCTTGCACTTTTCAAAGGTATCTATAGCTAGGCCAAGCTCCACATCTTCCATTTCCGGGTCCACATCTTCCTCTGTGGTTCCCTAAAATTCTTAATTTTCGGATGGATAGCTCTTATTACCTTCTTTTTCGCCGCGCGTTCAGCCGCGTAGCTTCCGACGACGATGCGGCAACTTTTTTTGAAAAGCTTCGTTCCCGACGTCGTATCAGAGTTGCGCTTTTTGGGGTTCGGCGCGCCGGGGGAGTAGGAGGGGCCCCGGGAGGTTACGCTTCGGTCTGAAAATTAGGCGATACTGAGCTTTTTTTAGAATTAGCTATCTTTTTAAGTTTATTGTAAAGTGGCAAGATCGTAGCTCAAATTACAAACCTTCCTCCCTGCCCCGCTTCCGGCTCGCCGACGAGTTTTGGCGGCTGCGCGAGTCCTAGATTTTTTCGTTGTTTTGAGTTTTCATGCTCACCTCCTCGTCCTCCTCTGAATCGTCCCCATCCTCATAATCCTCCTCATCCTCGACCCCGTGCGGAACAAGCTCACTTCTGCGCTCCGTCGGCAATTTGCCCTCAAAACGACGCAGCTCGTCGGGGAGTCGCATCTCTTTGCGGTATTGCTCGTAGGACCTAGATTTAAATTTCAGATTTTTTTATCTTTTTGTTTTGGCTTTTCCCAGCCTTTTTTTAAGCGGGTCCACTTACTTAAATGGTAGTTTAATTCCATGATCGCGGCACTTTTGCTCGAGATAAAGGATCGTTTTGATCCCGTGTAAGAGAACGTCTCTCTAAAAATTTTTGTATTTCCGCTAAAGCTTTTTATCTAAAAACCTTGACAAATTTGTGCTTGCGGCTCAGCTCGGGGTTGATCCGGAAGACGTGGCCCTTCAGGATGGCGATGATGTCGTTTTGCTGAAGGTTTTTAGTTTTTAGAAAAGTAGATCTGGGCTGATTTTTGCGCTAAAAATTACCTCGCTAGCGCGCTGACGCTCGTGCGCGTTACGTGAGGCGCGAGACGGGCTGAGGTCAGAGTCCACGCGTAACGCCGGCATCTTGGAAGATTTATTTAGACTTAGAATTTGTTATTTATTGAATTTGTCAAGAAAATAATGACAGGTAGAGAAGCATAGAAATTTAGAAAATACTTAGAAATAGAAGGAATGCCTAACTCTTTAGAGCGTTAAGTCCCAAAGAAAATCCCTACAGGATAAGCGCGTTCCTGGCTAACCTGCCCACCTGGTTAGGGGCTTGCTTCCGCGCTAACCTGGCCATTAGCCGGGGATTAGAGATCGGCGGTTAATTGCTGTGCCCCGACCCCGGATGGTTCCGCGATTGCATTCAAGTTTCGATCGGAATTCGTTGGATTTTAATGTTAACCGATCTCGGGCTGGCTATAAATATACGAAACGTAGTGAGCCAAAAAACGTGTTTTTAATAATATTTATAGCCTTAATTAGTCGGTTTTATGGTTCAAACAGTGCCAGTAATCCGGATTTTCCAAAATTTCCGGATTTTGCGGAGGAACAATTTAGTTTTGACGTAGCAGCAGTATGAAATTGAAAACGTTCGTAACGTAATCGATGTGCTGTGCGTAGTTTTACAAGATTTACATTGTAAAGTTCCGGACTTTTGGCAGCCGAATCGTTTCAACATTTTCAAATTAACGTAGAACAATACAGTTTCACTTGCGAGCAAGTAGTTTAGGATATTAGAGTAGCAGAAACAAGTGCAATGACGATAGACATAAAAACAGATTGCGCAGATGGCGTTACATCATGTTTTTAGAAATTAAAAATTTGCTGGAATCATAATTCAAGGAAGCGTCCGGATTCCGGGATTTTGGAAGTTTCTGTATGAACAACGTGTTAAGGTATCTAATCGATACCTGCCGGCGCAAACACGGCCGCTGCCGGGCTAACCATTCTTTTTTGGCGGTAACCAGGTCGTCGCCCGACGGCAGACGCCCAGAGCATAATGTCCGTGGCGTGCAGGTTGTGCTTCGTAGCCCCCGAAACACAGATGCCCCAGATGGGCGGCCTGCGAAAGATGCGAGGGAAACTTCGGAAAAATGTAGAATTTTCAAGGTCCTTGAGCCTGAGAATTCCAGGAAGTCCGATTGAAGCCAGAGAACCGGCCGATTCGTGCAAATTTTTCACACGGAAAAGTCGTAATATATTTATAAAAAAAATTGATACGAAAAAGTGGGTTTCCCTTGATAACCCCCCGATAATACGAAAGCTCCAAAAAGTTGACTCTCTCTCTCGCTCTGTCTCTCTCTCCCTCTCACTTTCTCTCTCTCTCTCTCGGGCGCGCTCTCTCTCTGTCTCTCCCTTTCTCGCTCTATCTCTCTCTCCCTCTCTCTCCCTCTCTCTCTCTATCTCTTTCTCTCTTCATGGTCAAATGCAAATATGACATCTTCGAAAACCCATTTATTCTCATCCTCCCTTGTAAAAGCTCAAGCACAATCTTCGTGGATCGGTGCACGGACACGAACGTGGAGGTGAGCCGATTGATTGGCGACCGGGGGGAAATTACAACGAAAATTCATATAGGAAATCGTTCAAAAAATGGGGCACGTCGGTCGCTGCACCATACGGTCGTTCGGCTCGCATTGGAAGGCTTGCTGAAAAAGCATTGATCACGGCTACCCATGCGTAGTACGGTAGTACGCTCCGCTACGCAGTGGGCGACCGCACGCGTTGTGTATTGCTATGATTACAGCATTTCAAATGTCTACCTTGTAAAACAGGATATTTCGACACTTTTCGACAAAAACCCCTACCGCGAACGCCTCCATGTTGGCGAACATGGCGTTGATGCGGATGCGGTTGGCCGAATGCGGGTCCCACTCGCCCCGATCCTCGAACCACTGGTGCTGTGTCTTGTCGTAGCTCTCGCACAGCGTGACGGCCTGCGCGTAGAAGAACAGCTGCTCGCGCCTCACGTCGTCGAAGACCACGCTCTGCGAAGGGTCTTGTGGCGTTTTCGGGTGAATTGGCCTACCAACAGCGACGCCTCGCCACCCTGGCCTGTACGGAGCAGCTCCTTCCTGAACGCCTAGAAAACGTCGTTCGGCAACAAAGTGACGGGGCGACCTTCCATGCGATATGCATCCCGATGAAGTCGGAGCGGTCCTCGGCCATCGTTGCCGCGCCCGAATGGCACTCCTAGAAAAACACGGTCGTTTTCCTGCGGATCTTGAGCCTTATCGGGGGCGGAAATAACGGGCTTGAAATTGTGTTAAAAGCGGAGTTAGATTTGGTCGCCCCCCCCGCTAACAGCCCAGAACCACCGTACCCCCTCCTTCCACAGCATACACGCGCGCGACGTCCGTTCGGCGGTGCACTCCTCGGTGGGCCTGTTCAGGTAGGGCCTTCTCTTAAAGTCCATGAGGTCAGATTAATCGATATTCGCCTACATCGTAGTCTTCGGCGAAGGGTACGGCGTGGACCAACTCGTGCGCCACAGCGAAGCCCATTGTGGCGTACTAAAGGGAAAGAGAGTAAGAAAGCGCAAGGAGAGAGGGAGCGAGAGAGAGAAAGATAGAGAGAGAGAGAGAGAGAGAGAGAGAGAGAGAGAGAATGGGCATGAGAGCGAGAGGGTGAGCATCAGAATAAGAGAGAGAGCGAGCCCGACCGCAATCGCCAGATCGAGATTCGGCTGGGCGAGCCAGGGCGCAATCTCGGCAGCCGAGATCGACGCGAACTTGTACATGTAGTGACTGCCTAAAAAATTGGACGTTTTCTATTTCTTGATCAGCTACGCACGCATCTCATCGACGGTCAGAGCAAAGATGCGCGAGTCCGAGGCGAGCTTGTCCACGAGCGGCTCGGCGATCGTCTGCACGAAGTACATGGATTCCACCGGCCATTGACCTCCGGCCTAGAAAAAAAAAGTTATTTATAAAAAGGTTTAATTTTTACGGTTTAGGCATTTACGGTTTGGGTTTAGCTTTTTGAAAACCGCCTGAGAAAAAAAACGTTTACTCGTCGATAAAACAACATCAAAAAATCGTACAAACGTATGAAAAATGGCCAAAAACGGTCAAAATTTTAGAATTTTTAAAAGCGTTTAAAATATTTTTTTTACAACTTTCTTAGAATCAAAAAGTGCTAAAAACGACAGAAATAGGGTATCTATTATCAATAAGCGAAAAAACAACGAGTTTCGAACCAACCAAATGCTCGCTCAGCTGCTTGTCCAAGCTGTCCGCCAGCTCTTTCATTTTGTCGAGCTGCGCCATCGAGTCGTCGATCATCGAGTAGAACACGATGGACTAAATCATATTTTTTCAATTTTTCAGTTCTCAGTAAAAAAACGTTATTTCGCCTTAAAATGATTAAAAAAATAAAAATTCAAAAATCTGCCCTTTTTCGCGATTTTTTTATACATTTCTGACAAAAAAAGAGAAAAATTATTATATTTTTCATCTTCATAATTTTTGTACCAGATTTTGATGGCTAAAAACGGCATGAATATACCCGTTTGAACGCCTCCACCGTCCGGGCGTGCAGCTCCTCGTAGCCGGGCTCGCGGCCCACTTTCTGAAAAGGATCAGGAAGTCCGAGAAATGAGCATCAGCCGAGTCATAATTTGCATAAATTGTCGCTTCGCATTATCGAAAAAATACCTCAAGCAACTCGAGGCCGACGGCGCGCAACTTCTCCGCCAACTCCTGGAACTTTCCCGGCTTTCGGGTCCAGAAATACCCCTAAAGTTGCCGGAATTCTCTAGATTTTTCGTAGAAGCACGCTACCAAAAACTGTTCCAGGTAGCCGATCCGCCTGCGCAGCGCCTTGACCCGGTCGAGATACTGGAATAGCATGGAGGTGTGTGAACTTGTGGCCAGTGTTCACTGTATACTCCCGTAATTTTTGGCAATTTTGACTAATTTTGGGTATTTTCGCAATTTTTTTTTCGACATTTTTAATCCGCCATACGATAGAGCGTCAATAAATACGCTAACAATTTTAATAACAGTCCAAAAAAGTAATATAGTTTAATTTCAGAAAAAACAGTCGGTAGCAAAAAACGCGACCACCCCCACCTGCATACTGTACCCAAGCGACTCGATCCAAGGGTCCGCGTCCTCGTGGCGACGCCACCGCTTCTCCATGTCCTTGTCTACCTAAAAATAGACAATGTTCTTTTTAGTGTTAAAAAATTAGGGAAATAGATTTTTAAATTGATGAAAGGTCGAAATTCGGTGCCGGCTTCTTAGCAGGGGGGATTTTTAGCCGGGGAAAGCTAGTTTTTCCAAGTAACCCGTTACGTTATTATAACAAAGTAAAAAATATTTTGATAGCATTTTACGCAGTTTTTAGATATACGAAAAGCTTATACATTATTATTAAAGATCACGCAATTTTCAAAAATTTCTCATTTTTTGCCAAAACGTATGAAAAATCACCAAAAAGGTAAAAATTTTGAATTTTCAAAATTTTCAAAGCTTTTTTAATAACTTTCTGGCGTCAAAAGCCCGCTAAAAGTACTATAAAAATATAGAAAATCGAAAGTGGTTTCCCGCCGCAAAACACCCCCCACCCCCGTTAACAGTCCAGTACCGACTTTCTCTAGAAAATAGATAAAAATAGAAACACGTGCCAAACTGTTTTTTTTTGCGTTTTTGAAGCATAAAGCTATCCCCCCGTTAATGCCAAAGATCCCAGAAGCTTGCCGACCTGCATGCGTGCCCTGTTTCGCGCCAAATCCCTGCTGTTTCTGCTGTTGTCGTGCTCCCTCATCCAGACGGGCAGCCCTGCACCCAGTTGGGACACGGGTATTTGGCCATAAAATCGGCCCCGTCGCACCGTCGCATTTGGATCGTCTAGACAACATTTTCGGGTGCTTTCGCATTATCGGGGGGTGGGGGTTTCTAGCAGTCGAAAATGCCTAGCAACCCAATAATCGTTGTTTAAAGAATTTTTTAGCGAAATTTAACATTATTTCGATCGAAAAACTATCTTAAAACTAAAAAATTCAAAAATTTTTGTTAAAATCGGCCATTTTTGTGTCTTTTTCCTAAACATTTCGCAAGTTTCGGTCTTTGAGCGCAGAGTTTTGGCCTTTTTTGTAGAGAACAATTTAGGAAATGTGGCACTATTTTTATCATAAAAATTAGTTACGAAGGAAAAGCCGATTTTCTACTGAGACCCCCCCCGATAATGCCAAAGAACCCCTTTCGGGCCCGCGCAAAGGCCCACGTACTCGCATATTGGCCCTGGAACGTCTCGAACGAGCTCATGTTGGACGGGCACACCTAAAAAAAAGGGTCCTTATACCTGCTAATTTGAAATTTTTATTAATTTTTTTTGTATTGTCGTCGATCTAATACTAGGCTGTAAAACTGGCTCAAAGTTGTTATAAGGCCCTAGAGAATCACAGGTCAAAATTTGGACCCCCGCGTAGCGACCAGAACCCAGTTTCGGACAAAAAAAAAGAGGCTCTAGCCAACCAAACAAACGAACATGGCGGAAAAAGTCGTCGCACGGGCCGGTCATTGGGTCCCGGAATTCGAGGATGAACGTTTTGAAGAAGTCCGGCTTCATGTAGTGGGCCTTGGGTGCGGCGCCATTCTGAGGCGAGACGACCGAGATGAGCTGGATGCTGCAAAACAAAATATCTCTCCGTAGCTGATGATTAGCGGGGGGGGCAACCTAGTTTTACCCTAAAAAAGCCGGAAAACAGTTCGAGATTCATAATAATTTCTACAAAGTTTTTACATCTGAACTGGAAAAACAATTAAATTGGCATAAATCTCAGTGAAAATTGATCGTAGAAACACAGAAAATGAGCCCCCCCCCCACGCTAATGGATCAGCACCCATATTTCGGCACCAGGAAGAGAAAAATGTTACCTCGCCACGGTGAGCAGCAGCCACGCGGAAAGCATTTGCAAGAAAAGGCTAATTTAGCAGCATTACGGATCGCAAGAACTCATGTAAATTCGAATATGCAAATTTTGGGTTACTTCCACCTAAAAAGTTATCGACCGGCAATAATTCGCTAAACTTTTTCAAACCTGCTGCTTTCTAACTTTGTCAAATTTTTGATGCAAATTACGACTCTCTGAACAGATTCGATGTATTGAATTGGGCTCAAGTCTAGGAAACCCCCCCAGCCACAACTTTTCAGCCATGCATCCTATTAATGCGCCGAGTATCTCAAAATGTTCGCCGTGGTCGAATTACTATAGAAAAGTTGTTTCTATACACCAAAAATTGTTAGAAAAATTTTTATAACAATTATAAGTCTGGGTTTTCTTTAATTAATTTTTCCCGGTCTAAAGTGAGTTTTCGTATCTCGGCTATCTTTTGTCCTACCGAGCTGTCAATGGAATCAAAATGTAGCTCTTGCTCTGTGGAATAAGGCTACAGTACATTTGAGTCGAAAAAAATAGCGGAAAATAAAAATATTTGAGTTTTAGACTCCTGGTACATTGAAGCACAGCGGCTTAATCTTTTCAACTTTCAAAATCTTGTAAAAAAATTTCTAGCAATTTTTGCCGCAAGAAAACATTTTTTTTATAGTAATTCGACCACGGCGAACATTTTGAGATACCCGGCGCATTAATAGGACGTATGGCTGAAAAGTTACGGCTGGGGGGGGGGTTTCCTAGACTCTTACCTTGAATTGAATTCCAAATATCGTAACAATATTTATTCGATCAGAAAGAGGCAAGTAATAACTTTCGGTGCAAATCTAAAATGTACAAATCGACAGCAATGAATGGAACTGGAAATTGAATAAAAAACCTCTACATTCCGGTCTAACAGAAAAATCATTCCATAACAATTTTCGAAATTAGAATACCCGAAGGACCCGATCGACACATCGAAACCCATCAAAACCGGTAAGAAATGGGGGCCAGAGCAAAGCAGGTTCTGGTGTGTTAGCGGGGGAGGGAAGCTCTCTACTTTAGGCTAGCCTCGGTAACAACCATACGCAATATTTTCGTCGAATTTTTAGTGGTTTCGAATAGCATTTTAAAAAGCTCTTAACAGATTTTTTAGCACTTCTTAGGAAAAGTCAAGCAGTTTTTGTAAAAACTTGTATCTCAAAAAGCGTAAAATGTTATGGAAATCATTTCGATTTGATTACAGAGGGAATATTGGAAAAATGGGGCTCCCCCGCTAACGACTCAGCACCGCACATCACAAGAAATAGCGATGAAAAAGGAAAAAATGGGAGAAAGAAGAAAACTAGCATAAATCACGGTTTCGGACCGGACGCCCATCGATAGCCGAGAGCGTAGCTGTTTTGCTCACGCCAGAGTTTCACCGCGGGTCTCTGCGACGGTGGCGGGGCCAGTGGGGGTAATGGGGCCGGGGCCAACGAGGCCGCCGGGACCACCGGGGCCACTGGTACGGAAGGGGCCAATGGGAACACTCTGGGCATTGGCCTCATCGGGATCAGACGGGGCGGAGAATCCGTATCCACATCGTCAAAATTCTCAATCATCTCCAGGTCTTCGCCGTCGGACTCGTTGCCGCGACTTGCAGGTGTAGGCTTTCCAGGCGGGCTGAAAAGGGGCGAATTTTTGTTAGTTCTTTAGGATTTCCGGCTTTCACCTCCCACTAACGATCCAGTACCCGAAATTTTCCCATCTTTCCAAATCTAATCCAGAGCCAAAAAATTCCAAACCAGAAACGTTTAAAAGGTTTTAGACACCGCCTAAAAATGTAGTTTTTTTTGTCTAAAAATCTTTTTTGATGCTTGTAAGTTTCATCAATATTCAAGTTAAAAACTTGTAAAGGTTTTGCGTTTAAAAATCATAAACAACAGCTTAGAAGCGCTTCCTCTTTTTGATTTCGAAAACTACTAAATTTTTTCGTAAAATTCACGATTTCTATTTCGTAAAAAAGTACCTCCTATTCACGACCACTTCTTCGACGATTTCGCACTTAATCCCGGAATTTCCGGTGCACTCGCTGTCCCCAAGCAGCTCCTCCGGGACCGGCGAATTTGCGATCACATCGTCGAAATTCAAAATCATCTCGAGATCTTCGCCGTCCGACTCGTTGTCGTGACTTCCGGTTGCAGGCTTGGCAGGCGTTCTGAAAATCAATCAAAAATCTTCACCCAAACTTCCGTAAAAAGTACCTGTTTCCGACGATCACTCTTTCGATACTCTCCGGAGAGTCACTAGCCAGATTGAATTCGTCGGTCTGTTCGCTGACGCCAGGAATATCGTCATCATCAATTGGGAAAGGTTTCGAGTCCTAAAAAGTTGTTTAATATTTGTATTGTCCAGATTTGTAGATTAAATCTTTTTAATATTTTTAAACGTACGGTCGGGGTGGCTTCTCGGATACTAGGTGCACGCCTCGGTGGGGTGCGTTGTCGGAGTTGGCCTCGGAAAAGCGGAAGCACGCGATTTTCGACTCCCTGGGCTGTCCTTGCCGATGTAGTTGGTGCTGAAAATTACAGGTCACGCTCCTTGCACAACTGATACAACAAATGCATTGTAAGCCTCTTTTTCAGGAAGTAAAGCCGCAAAATACCTACCTGGTTTCGACATGTCCGCCGCCTTTTTGTAGCACATCAGCGGGTGGTCCTTGCGTGTCTTGATCCAGTGGTCGCATTGCGCTCGGATATGGCGCGGATCCATCGACTGCGGCAAGTCCAACGCCTCGATAACCGGCAGTTCCGGCAGGGTGTAGTTGGCCGGGTCGAAGTCGGGCGCCACTACCTAAATCCAATGAAATAAAAGTGTGTTTTATTATTTAATAGCATCTAGATCACGCTGATCGTTTGATAAAATCAAGTTAAATACTTGCGAATTCGTTTAAAACCAAGATTTTCGCAAAAAACCCACGTTTCCATCACCCACAATCCGGGCGATTTCGACCGCGTCCAGGTCGTCGATCAGCTTCCGGAGCCCGCCCTCCCCGGCGTATTTTGGAGCTTCAGCTGTAAACACGTGTTTTAGCGGATCTTTTGATGGCAAATACCTCTGATGACGGAGGCGACGAGAAAAATCGGCAGAAAACGGGCGAGCTGCCGGATGCGATGCCGGACAGCCCTGGGGAGCCGCATTTTTTGATGAATATGTACGTCGTAGAGGCGCAGGACGACCGCTCTAGAGGATGGTTGCGGAAATTGAGCACGAGCACTTACTTTACATTCTCCCGAACCGTGAGGCGAGCTTGGTAAAAAGCTGGGCAGACGATTGGCCGATCATGCTTCACAATGCAATCGTCCGGTTCGTCGTCTATAAAAAATATGATTAATTTCTAGCCACTTTCTCACCACTGTCATTTGGATCATGAGTGTAGCGACACGGGTAGGTTCTCCCGGTTATTTTAGCAGCATGTTCGCCCTCAAAATCGCCAAGCTCCCGGAGCGCCTTTAGCTTATCCTGAACGCAAGTTGGTTATATTTAATAGCGAATATGATTACTTGAAAATCAAACATCGACACGTATGTCTGCTCGAGTACGCATGCCTGGTGAATATGGCGCATTCGGAGGTGATTGCCATACACGCAGCCGCTTGAAGCGAACGTGGCTGTGCACTAAAATGGAGCTACATGTGATTTTGTTAAACAGTAAAAATAACAACTACAACTTTTGTGAAAGACTTCTAAGGCTAGTAAAATGGAAAAAATAATGGGAAGAAAAAGAAAACCCCAAAAAAACAGCTGAATTTTTGCCAAAATTTATAGAGATCTTTATGAAGTTACCAGGAAAACAGTTTAGCTTCAAAACAAATCTATGGTCAATTGTTCGGTATGGCACTGTTAGCGGGGGGGAGCGCTAATATTTCTTTTTTCCTCCTAGTCTCCCTGCTAATTCAAATATAATGCATTTTTCGATGCTTTTTCAGCAACTTTTGATATTTTTATTTGCTAGCATTTTTTTAAAAATTTTGACAATTTTTACTGGAAAATGCTAATAATGTCAAAAAGTTTATTTCAATAGTTCAACCCAATTTCATGCTTTTTAAAAATGCGTGGCAAATAGCTCACCCCCTTATACGCACAACTAAACGAAGAGCTGCCATCAAACTTGGCCCCCGGACATTTCAGCCCTTGCGTGAGCAGCAGCCGGTGTTGATAGAAGTTCTCCAGGGTTAGGGGCTGAAAACATCGGATTTAGCTCAAGAAAAACTCTTACCAGCGCGCAACCGGCGCACCGCTTCGTCACGGCGTACGCGAAGTTGTTACCGGGCAATCCGGGCTGAAAAAAATCGGTTAAATAGCAAAATCGAAGTCCTACCAAGAATTCCGGCTTGGCGTCGAGTTTCTTAGAAATTGTGGCCTCATCGTGAGGGCTAGTGGAAGATTGAGCAGGCAAAAATTTATCGGGAAGATCGGTCATCAGCTCGTCCCAGTCTATCTCGCAGATTCCTGGGATTTCACCGGCTGCAGGTTGGATTGGTACGGGCCTAAACGATTATAAAATCCATGAAAAATAAAATCACTTGGGTTCCACGAGAAGCGTGGCGTCGGCCAGACATCCGGCTGCTGCAGCCTCGCGCTCCCGCTTCTTGAAGCATTTGAACTCCCCGGACTGGCAGTGCTTGTTGTGGCAGCAAAATTCGGGCTCCTGAAGTGGTAAAAATCATCTGAGATTAAGATTTTACATTATCCTCTCTAAACACATTACATTATCCTCTCTGAAGAATCACCTCTCTGAATTCAAAAATGACAAATCTTCTGTAGTTTTGTAAAAATTAAATTAGTTGCTCCAAATTTTTAAATTAATACAAAAATTTCGGTCGCCTTTAAGACATTGAATTTTGAATTGAATTAGGAAATGAAGTACGATAAAAAATTAACATTATGCAAGTTCGGAATTATGAAATTTCAGGTGTAGCGTCTTCAAGACCTACCAGCTCCAGCCCGTCTTCTAGCTGTTCGTCAGCTTCATCACTGCTAGTGGAGCATCGATCGATTCCGTATATTCCACCCGGACTGTTCGTTGCCTCGCGACTAAAGCAAGTTAATTATGAAATTTAACAAAATACTAAACCTGGTAGAAGACCGCTGATGCGCCGGAAGTGCGCATGAAGAAGACACGGGCTCTAGCCGCGAAGAGGGGGCGGCGCGCTTCTCGACTGAATCAGAATTCAGGGAATGATCAGGAAAAACCCACAATATTCGCGATTCTTCGTCATCCAAAGAAACTCTTTCGGGAATTCGACTGTTGGTGTCTCCATCGTATCGTCGACGAGCTAAAATGAAGAGAATTAGCGGAATTAAACGAAAAACAATAAACCTCTAGCTCAGCCGCCGCGATTTCATCAGGGTACGGCTCCTGCAAGCGCGCCATTAGCTTGACGAGTGCGACCTGGTGCTGAGGAGGAAGCCCGAAGAAATACTGCGTTAGGCCAGCATCACGTTCCAGCCGCGCTGGCGTTTTTCTAGGAAAATGAAAATTAGGACAAGAGACTTGAAGACACTTTTTCGACGTGATTTCATCGGGAACTGGTGTTCGTTGCTTCCGAGGCGGACGGTGAGCTGGGCAGACGCGGCACTTGAAGCCAGTTCGCATCACAGCGCAAAGGCATCTCTTGGAACCCCTGCCTCCGCGCTTTCTCTGAACAGGTAAATTTAACAAATTTTTCGAATTCGCGACATAATCCCGACAGTCATTCGACAGACCTTCCTAATTCGGACAACCCTAATACCGACCGCCATAATCCCGACAACCAAAATGCCGACATATTCTTGGCGCTATTGCGATTGCTAGCTGTTACTTTCTGTTAAACAGCTATTTCTGTGTCGGGACTTTGTCGGGATTTTGGGCTGTCGGGATCCTGGCTGTCGGCATTTTGACAATCGGATTTTGGTTTTCGGGAGCATAACTGCCGGGATTTTCGCCATCGGGAAATTGGCCGTCGGGATTTACTACTAACCTTAATCCATTTTCGCCTTTAATTTTAAACTTATTTCAACGTAATGAAATTTCGGCATTTTTAAATGTCGACATTATCTAAGTGTCAGCATTATGAAAACAAATAAAAAAAAAACCGACTCACCGGAATCGGGGGGATCAGCTGTTGCTCAACCCCGTCCACCTTCTCCAGCGGCTCATCCAGTCTTGACGGCTTTTCCTCGGCTGAAAGATCGTCCCAAATTTCTGGCTCCATCCTGGCCATTTTAGCTGCTGGCTCTTGACCATCTCCAGTATGACCCGGCCGAGGATATCCAAAATCCTTGATCGTGTCGCAGGCCTCGCCCAGCTCCCTGATCAGCTTCGAGCTGCTGGGGCCGCTGAAGTCGCGCTCGATCTCGGCCCTGCACCGATCGTAGCGGACCGCCGAATTCAGCCGATGTAGCCATCTGCGCAACTCCCGCTTCTTGACGCGCTCGTCGACCAGCTTGTTTAGGTGGGCGAGGATGCGGACCGTCATGCTTTGACGGCCCGTCGGGGGTGGAGGTGCTTCCGGTGGTTCCGGTGACGGTGTTCGAGGTGGCGGAGGATGCATCGGGCAATATTTTGCACTAAACGATTTGCATTAACTTTGCTGAAGATTCACTACGCCGAAAATCATGACACCAAACTTCAAAATGCCAATTTTGACGTTACAAAACCGACATTATGAAATTCGGCGTGATGAAGCACGGCATATGACAATAAACCAACCTGAAGCCGTTTTGAATTGACGCGCAAAGGCAGCGCATCCTTCTCGGCTTTCGGCCGCCGGGCATCTGAAAAACAGTTCCTTTCTAAATGTCGAAATTCATAATGGCAGGCAAAATTCATTGCGTCGAAATGTCATACGGCCGAAAGTTAACTGAACAAATCTACCAAATGGTATGCAAAAAAGGGCGGCATAATTAACTTTCGACAAGATGAATTTTGATATTATGATAGCGAATTACTGTAGAGGATGTATCCTTACAAATTAAGATTTGTTTTAATCAGTTAGTCAAAAACTCCAGTTTTTAGGAGAAATTAGTTACTTTAAAATCTCGAAATTCATAATTTCGAAATGCCACGACGTAAGGAAACCCTTATAGGAACAAAAGGAGTATACGAAGGTGAATGAGAGGATTTTGAATGAGCATTCAAAAGCTTTGAAATGGCATAGCATACAATAAAAACTTTCTTTTGCGTTGCTCATATCATACCCAGCCCCCATTTCTCCGTCTCTCCCACTCTGGCGCCTGAGAGATGGCTGGGGGTACGCCCGGCGGGGCAACGAATAGCGCGCCGATGCCCAATGCCGAGGTCGTTCTCTCAAAAAGCACATGCAAGTGGCCCGAAGAACCGAAATTCAGCATATAAGAAGTAGGGAAGACTTTTATTACAGACTGCCCGCAATCAAATTCAAATAGTTCAAGCGTAAAATTAACAACGTGAAATTTTGCAAATTATGCTCAAAGATCGTAACAAAAACATTTTCAATATTCCATATCGTCTCGGGCCGTAGATTTTCTGGCCCGGGCCGATGGCTTTCTGGCCGGGGTTTTGGGTCCGGTTGTTGGCGCCTTCCAGGCGGTATCGGCGTCGCTTTCGTCAGAATTACCTAGAGAAATGGCAAATTTTTGGAAATAAAATATCGAAAAATGCAATAAAATAAATCGATATTTTAATTAGCATAATTACGCGAGAAAAATCACCTTTCACGTGCGAGGAGCGTTTGCGCGGCTTGGGCGCACAACCATGACTTTCCGCCATTTTCTTCGTGAGCTGCGTGCTGCGCCTCAAATCGCGTTCTTTCGGGGCGGGAAGCGGCTTGCGGACTCTAGACGGTCCGGGAGCCTTGACTTTCTGGGATTCGCCGCCCTTTTTGCGTTCTTCTTCCTAAAATGGGAGAATATTAAAATAAAGTCGGCCATATTTAAAGTAATAAATTATTTGGAAAACTAAAAAATCTCAAAATTTGCAGAAAACTCGATATTTTGTATTTTTTAACAAAAAATGTTCAAAAACAGCCACTTGAGAATAGTAAAAAGCAGTCTACAGTGTAAAAACACTTCCACTAACTCTATTAAAAAATTTTACGGACCCCCTCCGATATTGCAAAAAACCCAAGAAAACGCCTACCATGGCCTGCACGGTCTGCTTGTCGTAGTAGGCGGCCGTGTCGGCTTCGACTTGACGGAGGGCGTAGCGTTCGATGGGCAACATTCGAGTGATCAACTCCCGGAAGAGCATCTGGTCCTGGCTGAGCTCCTCGAGCTGCGTGTCCCGCACCGAGCCGGCTGTCAGCGCGAATTCGGCCTAAAAAACTATTTAGGAATCTTTGAACCTTTCGTAAAATTTAAAAATTTGGACAAAAAAACGTTGCGTTTTGAAATCACAAAGAAGCGAAAACTTTCTTTCCTAAAAAAAAAGAAAAAATTCTCAAAGATAGATTTTGATTTACCGTTTCCGCCTTCGCCTCGTCGCGCGCAATCTTCAAATTGGTCGTGTCCTGCTCTTCTTCGACGGCAGCCATCTCCTAGAAATAGAAAATTAAGCGAGTTAAATCCCACTAAAAACTTAAGAAGCCAAGAATCAACTTCAATAAAACAAAAAAGCCATTAACCAACCTTTTCAAAGGCCTTCGCATCCTGCGGCACATCCACACAGATCGGAAGATCATCTTCGGCGAGGTCGTCCTTGAACAAATCGCGCAGGTTGCTGGACTGCTTGAAGAAGTCGGGCGTGAAGCCGCCCTCGTCGATGGCCATCTCGCCTACATTTAAAAGTAAAGCAAATCGCAGTAAATCTACCCAATCTCCGCTTCTGCATGGCCTTCTTCAGGATGTTTTCCTCGATGGTACGATCCGAAATCATGCGGTAAATTGTGACGTGTCGTGTTTGGCCAATCTGAATGTGGATATTGTAGCGGAAACTCCAGCCTACAAACTTCAAATTAATTTGAACCTATGATAAATGCAAAAAAAAACTTGAATTTTAGGCGCAAACGGAAGAGAAAATGTATGAAAAATGCAAAACAGGTTCAAGTAAATTTTAAAAATCTTCAAAATGTTTTCCGTAAGTTTCCAACGACCAAAATCCACTAAAAATAACGTAAAAATGAATAACATATTATAAATCGATAGGTCAATGCGGAAAAATAAAAATTAGTCCCCCCGCTAACAGAACAGTTAAAAAGAAACCGACCCGATGACAACGATCCTGTGCTTGCGCGTCCATCGTCGGGTTCCAGTCCGAGTCGTAGAAGATGACGGTGTCGGCGCCGGTCAAATTAATGCCGACACCACCAGCCCGCGTCGACAGGATGAAGCAGAAGATCTTGGGGTCCGTGTTGAACCGCTCCATCATGGCGTGGCGCTGCTCGATGCCGGTGGCGCCGTCAAGGCGGAAGTAGTGGTAGCAGTGGAAGGACAGGAATTCTTGGAGGATATCAAGCATTCCTGAACGATCATTGGTGTGTCTATTCGTCAAAACTTACGAGCCATTTGGGTGAAGATGAGCACACGGTGGCCTTCGGAATGTAGGCGTTGGAGGAGGTTTTTCAGGACTTGGAGTTTTCCTGGAAAAAAACGTACTAAAACGAAGCAAATAAAAAAATTGAGTAAGAAACTTTTTTTTAATTTGTTCAAAAACCCCACTCCATTAACCTTATTATCAATTTAAATATATCAAAAAAATTTCATACAATTTTTCAAAACCAAAAATTTCCAAATTTCAAAAACCCATTACTGAACTATATTTAAAGTGCAAAATACCATTTATAACCTCAGGAAAAACATTTGAACAAAATAAAAAAACTTTAAATGTAATAATTTTGGCAGCCCTTTTCACAAACTAACAAAAATCAATTTAATAAAAATTAAAATAGGAAATATCGGGTTTAGAAAAATTCTATTTTAGAAAACATAATTTGAAGAAGCATCATAAGCCGCTGAAAGTACAGTACCACAATCGAATTCGATCAGCCGGGTATCGGGCAGCTGCATTTGCTGATCGCCCAGCATCCGTGCGCTGCGCTTGTCGAGTGTTCGATAGACTTCCGCGCAATAATTACTAAAAAAATATAATATTTTTCCGGAAAGCTACAAACTCCATTTGAAGATCCTCGCTCCTGTGGCACGAGCGGCGGCCCTGGCCGACGTCCAGCCTCCTCTCCAACGAAACGGCAGCCGGGAGATAGATGGAATACCTAAAAACGTTACTTTACAAGTCAAAGCCCAGCACTTGATTTAAAGTCTCCCAAAACAAACCTTGGCAAACTCGAAAATGGGCGCAACAGAGCCTTCTCGACGTCGTCGTGCATCGTCTGTTGACGAGCGTGTAGCGGGCCGCTAAAAAAGTGGTCATAAAAATTCCAAATTACCTAATTTCCTGCAACAACACGTCGATGAAGCCATACGGTATGGCCGGTTTCCTATCGTAGTGGCTTCGCGGTTTTTCTGAGCCTCGAGCCCGCTTGATCAGTCCGCCAAGTTGCGCCTCGTTTTGCTGAATAAGCGGTGGAACCGGAAGGAGTTCAGTAACGCACCACTGGATATACAATCCGTTGTGATGCTAGAAGTTGGATGAATGGCGACTTTCTGGTTTCCAGCGAGCGCGTATTTCGCAATTTGAGGAAACCCTAAAAATAGAAAAATTACTTTAAAATCGAAAATATTGTTTTTAAAGGTTGTTAAACCCGGATTCTTCAAAAACGGTTCTTTTGCCTTATCGGGGGGGGGGGCAAACCTTTTGCATGTCTAGAAATGTCTAGTAGCCTAATAGGAAGTATTTTAACAAGGTTTTTCGTAAAATAAAACAATATTTCAACCAGCAATAACTTCCAAAAATTTTCAAAACCTTGAATTTGTGGTCAAAAGGGTAATTTTTGAGGCAAGCAATCGAGATTTTTGGTATTTTTTAATACAAATTTGTAAAGTTTTGAAGTTTAGGGATAGCAAAAACGGTTTAGAAACACTTCTACTCTTTATATTGAAAAATCGGATCCTAAGAAAAAAAATTAGCCCCCATTCGATAATGCCAAAACATAAAAAAAAAATTACCATAGCCAGTCTGCCGTCCTCGGCGCCCTTGTCAAAGTTGTAACGACGAAACTGCGGCCATTTCGGCTGCTCGTAGAGGATGGAAACTTTAGTCGAGCTTTCAAGCTGAAAAAATACTTTATTAACATTTTACTGTCTCTTACATGATCAGTATGACCAAACAGCGAATATCCTGAAAAGGCGACTGCTTCTTCCGGGGGCACGATGTCGAAGCACATTCCTGGGAAGTAGGTGCTCAAAAACGATCAGTCGCTGTCAAAAATTTCGTCAAACCGTTTGGCCTTGAAAATAAAGGGCGACGTGACGCCGCGCGGCTCGAAAAGCGAGGGGTGGTTGCAACACTTGCGCAGCTGCATGATGACGCCGAGGACGGACACCATCTTGCGGGATTGGAGGCACTCGCGAGTGCTGAAACAGAAATGTATCGCGAATCTGTGCCTGGTTAACTTCGCTACATTTCGACTTTAAAGGGATGCCGACGGCATAGTCAATCGGTTACACGCGGATAAGTAAATGTCTCTGCGCCTCTCCCCAGGGCGCGCTTTCTCCCCTGTTGGCTACTTGCCAATTTGTTGATGAGGGGGAACGACACATGCCGTCGGCAGCCCTTTAAAAAATAAAAAAAAATACGTTTAAAAATGGCTTCAAAAATAAAATTTTGGTTTTTGCCATTATCGGGGGCCGGGGGCGTCAAAAATTTTTTTCGATCCTTTTCAAAAATTAAAAATTTCAACGATCCTTTTCTGTTTCTGTTTTTTTTTGATAAAATTTTGTGGAGTTTTTACGTAGAGAATTAGTAGAAACAGTTTGGAACCACTTCTGGTATTTACATTTGAAATTTCGAACCTAAAAAAGTAGTGCCCCGATAATGCAAAAAGCACGTTAAAATTCCATGCCTTCGAAGCCCCATAAAATCATCGTAGAGGAAGCGCTGGCGGCGGCTGAGCGGACACTTGACGATGATCTCCGTCTTGCCGGGCATCTGCTTCTCCACCTGGCACTTCAAGCGGCGAAGGATGAATGGGCGGAGGATCTAAAGGTAAAATGAATTAATTTTTTTCGAAAACCTTGTGCAATCGCGTAACTAGCTCATCGTTGTATTCGACATTTCCCTCGACCATGTCGTTGAGCGGATTCGAGAACCACTCCTTGAACGCGTCGTGGCTGGCGAATACCTCAGGCATCAGGAAGTGCATCAACGACCACAGCTCCATCAGGTTGTTTTGGAGCGGGGTGCCTAGGATAAAGTCGATGTAGGATAAAAAAATTTGGTACTTTGCATTATCAGGGGGGGGGGGGCTTTTCCAGAATCCATCCTTTATATAAATAGAGGAACTATTTTTTTTATATTCCAAAGCCCAAAAATCTTACAAATTTAAAAAAATGTGATTTTCCATAAAAAAAATGATGATTTTCTGATAAAAATGGCCGGCTTTGACCAAAATTACAAATTTCAACCTTTCTAAATTTTTAGCTAGTTTTTTTTAAAAAATATAGTTAAATGGAAGCAAACACGTTATTAAAATACCTTCTATGACCTCAAACGACTGCCAAGGAATTGAAACCATACCTGTCAAAAGTAGACGATGATCGGCGTTCATCGTCAGCAACGCCTGCCATTTCATACTCTTGAAGTTTTTGATGTTGTGCGCTTCATCGAGCACCATGTATTGCCAGTGCTAAAAAGGAAATTTTACACCTTACTTAACGCACAAATACCTTTCGCTTGAACATGCGCAAATCCATCATCACCGTGTTGTAGGAGGCGATGCAGATGTGGAAGGCGTCCGGCTTTTGCCAGCCCTAAAAATTGAGATTTTTCGCTATCTATAACATATTAAATTATGCTCAATAGATCAGAGTTTTAAACCCATTTAGTGAAAAAATGACTAAAATTAGAATAAGGAACAATAAAAAATTGACTAAAACAGAATAAAAATTTTTTAAACGAGTTATAGAGCAAAATTTGTAAAGCTAAAAACCCACCGCCCGCTTCGCTTTGCGCTCCTTCACAGTTCCGTAGTAACTGAGGACTTTGAGGCCGGGGCACCACTTGAAAAACTCCATCTCCCAGTTGAGGATCACCGACGTCGGCACGATCACGAGATGCGGGCCCCACTTGTACTCGGTGCAGGCGAGGTGCGCGAGGACCGCGATTGTCTAAAAATAAATTTTTGCAGAGATTCCATCCGATTGCCTGAATCGTTTTGCCCAGGCCCATCTCGTCGGCGAGGATTCCGTTGATCTTGCCCCGGTACAGCGTGCGCAGCCAGTTCAGCCCGACGACCTGGTAGTCGCGCAGGGTGGCGTGGAGTAAGGAGGGGATTCCGTCCTAGGGTAAAGAGGTTATTAAAAGACTTGTTACAAACCTCATGTTTATCTGGCGCATCAGCTTCTTCCGGTTCCAGAGCTTCCTAAAAAAGTCCACATTGAAAAATCTCGGTACCAGCCTGTTAGAGGGGGGAGGAGCATTTTCGTCTCTTGATTTACAATCCAATCTTCAAATTTAAATACTCAAATACCTTCTCCGCCGACGGGGACGCGCTTCTCTCGGCATCCAGTTCCGTGGCATCAATGCCGGTGATCTTCGCCAGGTATTCCACGGGCAGCTAAATGACGAGAAAATAATAAAACATTAAAGCACTCACAGATTTTAGAACATCATCCATACTCGCCTGCGATTCGTTCAACAAAGTCCGATCGGCACCGGCTGACTTCCGCTTTTTCGATGACTTGCGAGCAGTGTTCTCCGCGTTTTCATTGGTGCCTGAAATTTGTAAAAAATTGTTGCGAAAGACAGGTCTATATTTCCCTAAAAATCCATTTTTTTGTAAAACTAAAAGTTTGTATTTTAATAAGTTTTTTGCTTTATTTTTGTAGCTAAAGCCAAACTTCTGTATCCTTGTAAAATACTCACCTTGAACCGGCACAAATGCCGATGAGAGCAGCGTCGACAGGTGCTCGGCATCCTCGATCATCTTGTTGACGTGCTCGCGCATGACAGCCCGCTTGCTGGCGGCAATGTCTTGCTAAAACGCAAAAATAATCCGAAAAATTAATTATGCCTGACCATCGCCTTCGCGTGAACCACCTTCGACACGTTCGACCAGAACTCCTTGACCAGCTTGGCGACGTGGGCGCACTGTTTCTTGCGATTCTTGACCGACTCCTGCTTTTGGCGCTCTTTCCATTGGTTCTGCGCCGACCACCAGCGCGTGATTTCTCTGGATACCTAAATACCAATTTTTTCGGAAAATTCTTAAAACTGCTGACCGTGACGCGACAGCGTTGGGCGAATTTTCGCTCGCGCCGGAACTCCTCACTGAGATATTTGACCTCTTCGAGCACAAAGTCCCAGGCTGTCTGGAATGAAAATCTTATCGTAACTTTTCTGTTGACGATTCTTGTTAAAAATCTCGGAAGTCTTTTTTCTATAAATCCAATTTTCCCAACGTATAAACTTCGAATTTTGATAAAAAACAAGATTTTTCGCTAGAAATGAACGGTCTGGTTTTCTTTAGATTTCCATCTTTATACCTTTCTCCTCGGCGGCGGCACGAACTTCTGGGCGTACAACTTGGCGAACTGGTCCCGGCATACTTGGGCAATTTCGAGGGCCGGGTTCTGAAAAATCGAAAATTTAATTAGAATCTATGCGCCAAAAGATAGGATGAATTCAACGTGTTCTTACCGGAGTCGGGCGCCTCAACAGACTCGGGTTGCTAGCTGTCGATCGCCTTTTTGCCGATGCGGTTGGCCAGCTTCCGGTGGAGATGTGGCTAGGAACGGCGCTCGCCTAAAGGTATAATCGGGGTAATTATACAAAAATCAAGGCGCACTGGAGTGCTATCCACTGGGATATCGATATCGATCGGGTGCATGGGGAGAGCAAAGGTTTCGTCGAGATCGATGGAATCTTCTGGCTTCGCCGAGACCTCCTCTTTGCGATTGGGGGGAGCTTCATCCTAATTTTGCAAAAAATTAAGCCGGTCGAAATTTGCTAACCTCAGAAAGCTCTACTACATCGATTTTTGCGGGTTTCGTGCGCTTTTTCTTCACCTCTTCGTGTACCGCCTCGACCTAAAAAACAGTTTATTTTTGTACAAAAATCCACACCGACGGAGCTGCTGTCGCATCGGAGGCCGGATCAACCTGAAAACAAAGTTTTAAGAAAGTAGGCAATTCTCCACATTTGATGGCTTTCTCGGCGTCGCGCGCTGTTTTTTGGCGTTGCCGATAATGATGCTGTCCTAAAAAATAGTAAAATAATTTTTAGGGCAAAAAATTAACCGGTTCATCAATTTCCTTGTCCACCTTTGATGACCTGCGCGGCGTCCGGGTCTGTTTCTTGGCGCTAGGGGCAGTTGTGATCTCCTAGAAGCAAGAAAATAAAAATTTCAATTGAGATTTAACCGCTTCAACAACAGCTTTCTCCACTTTCGAAGACGTTGCTTCAGACTTGCGCGGCGGCGCTCGCCCTTTCTTAGTGCTCTCCTAGAAAATAAATAGCAAAATTATTTTTCAAAGAGAAAACTAACCTGTGCAATCACTTTCTCGACATCTCCCGGCTTGCGCGGTGTCTGGAACTGTTTCTTGGTGCTCTCCTAAAAATTGATCCTTGTAAGACTTTTTTCTAAGGAACGAACTGGTTCCTTCACCAGATTCGAAGACTTGCGTGGCGTTGCTCGCTGTTTCTTGAGGCTTTCCTAAAAATTATAAAAAGTTATTTTTCCAAGGTAAAAATTTACCTGTTGAATCTCTTTTTCCACCTCCACGTCCGAAGATGTAGCTTCAGACTTTCGCGGCGGTGCTCGCTGTTTTTTGGTGCTCTCCTATCACAAAATTAAAATTTTTCTTCATCAGAAAAACTAACCGATTGAACAACCACTTTCTCCACAATTCCCGGCTTCCGCGGCGTGGCTAGCTGTTTCTTCGTGCTGCGGTTCAAGGCACTTTTCTAAACCAGAAAAAATGATTAAAACCGTGAAAATTTCCTATAAAGAATTCAATGAAAATCTACGCACCGCTGGAAGGCCTGGCGAGGGAAGTGGGCCGGATGTTGAATCGGCCTAAAATCCGAAAATAAAGTAAAAGGAAAAGAACTACCTGCGTGACATCACTTCCTGACCCATCAGCCTTCTTCAAAACCGATGGCTTCTTCTTGGCCCGCTTGCTAGAAAGGACAGGCATCAAATCGACATCGGGAGCGCGGTCGGCCTATAAAACAAAAAGAAAATTTCAAAAAAATCGCGCTCCAACCTGATCGCCATCATTTTTCGGCTCTGGCGCCTTCACCAGCCAGCCCGTCAAAGTCGCTTGCTTCTTCTTGGGTGTTTTGCCCGCGAGATCGCCCTGAAGAGAATAAATTAATCGATCTCAATATTGAACCTGGGCCGTATCATTTTCCGCGTCTGGCGCCTTTCTTGGTGTCGCAATACTTTTCCTGGTTCTCTTGGTAGTAGCGGACGAGGGATCTGGCTGAGGTTGCGCATCGCGATTTTCATCCTAGAAAGACATAGAATCTTTTTGAATCTGATTCTAACCTCCTCGACAGCTTTATTCTCAGCTTCAGCAGGCTTCACCAAGGTCGCGCGCTTTTTCTTGGCGGGGGTGGCACTGGATTCGGCCTAAATGAAAGCGTTGGTACTATTCAAGTTCGGGGGGGGGCAAAATTTTTTTGGGTCATTTTCGGTCATTCTTCTTAGTTTTTCTTAGCGCCTAGCTTAGTATTGGCTTAGTTTAGGCTCCGGCTTAGCTTAGCCTAGACTTAGGCTTAGCTTAGCCTAAGCCTAGGCTTAGCTACTGGGCGGGGCGAACTACCCTCGCCTTAGCTTAGCTTTTCTTAGCTTCGCTGTTTTTGGCTTCGGCTTAGCTCTGTTCAAGCCCGATTTAGCTGAGCTTCAGCTTAGCTTAGCTTAGAAGTAGAGCATTGCGCTTGATTAGCCGTGAAAAACCGAAAAAGTAGCCCAAAAATGACATCGAAAAAATTTTGCCCCCCCCTAACTTGAATAGTACCAAAGCGTTTTTTGTGCCAGAGATAGATCGACGCACCGGAGTATCTACCTTGGCTTCATCTTTTCCGGATTCTTGAGCATTACTGAGCGTTTCTCGCCTGTTCTTGGGTCGTTTCAGCGGCGTGCGAGCGCTGTCGGTGCTTGTCTAAAAACATTTTTTGGCAGAAAAAACCTCACGCACCTTTGCAACCTCTTTTGGCACACCAGAGCGAATGGCTTTCAATCTTTTGCGTTCCACGGCAAGACGAAGCTTTGGGATGGCTGCCTCAGCGTCTCCGACAATCCTAAATCTACGAGTGAAAAAAATCTAAAACCAAATCTCACGTGGCCTCGAGTACGCCCAGGGCTTTTTCGAGGGCGACAGTGTTCTGAGATGGCCCTGGCGCTGGAGTAGTAATTCCCTAAAAATAACGATTAATCACTATCTATAGGCAAAAATAATCACCGTAGCTTCTGCAAAGAACGCGTCAAGTTCTGCTTTTCGTTTGTGCCGAATTTCGACACTTTTCTTGAGCCGGAGCAGCGCCATCGCGGCTACCTCGCATTGAAGGACTTGCTGAAGAGAGTTATCATTTTAGGCTAAAAGTAGTTTTAAAACAACAAAAAGCTTATTTCTATAAAAAAACTTACATCAAGCGGCTCGTCTGCTTCTTCCGGTGCATTAGACGCGGTGTCATCGTTGGTTTTCTAAAAAAGCAAGTCCAACAAAGACGAAAATTCCTACCAAAGCTGCTTTTACTTCGGTTTCCTCGGTTGCTTCTTGCGCTTGAAAAGTTGTATCAACATCGTCTTCAGCAATGGACAGGTTTGGATCCTGTTTCTTGCTTCGCCGCCTCTGCGACTTGCCAGACATCCTGGCTTCTTCTAGAAAAAAAGGGATCATAGAGAGCAGAGAAATAGAGCAGTAGTAGAAAAGGAAAGGAGAAAACATGATACTGAAGACTAAAAGCTCGCATCAAACGTCGCATCGGTGGTCTAGTACGTGAACCGCGAAATGACAGCCAATTGGGTACTTATCAAGTTGGGGGGGGCACTTTGGGTACATATTATGAGACACTTTTTTATCGCTTTTTCGACTCTTTCTGGGGTAGTTTTTTACGCTGAGTGCAAATAGAGCTGCAACAGCATGCGAAACGGTTGGGTTTATCCAGAAAAACAGTGTATAAATTTATTAATAAAAGGTGCACTTATGCGCAATTTTAGGCTTGCCGCATTTTCAGGCAAGGTGGGCCGTCGCTTCGGATGGGCTGCCGCTCCACTCTTTCGAAATCAGGGCGCCTCGGCGCTACGCGCTCCTCGGGCGCCCCGATTTCGAAACCCTGTACGAGCTCGCACCCATCCGAAGCGACTAGGCCCCGGGTGGCAGGAAGCCTTAATTTTAGGCTCAAATTGGGTGTAAGCATTTCTAAATCTTAAAAACGTTTAGATAGTTGTGTTTTACTACGCTGATTTTGTTATATCAGAAACCAGCACGAAAAACTAGCCTAGAAAGACTCAAAAAGTCGAAACCCAGTGGCCCCCCAACTTGATAAGTACCGCCAGTTGGAAAGACTATAGATTATTTTACAAGATTAATTCAATTTTTTACAATGCTACGTGCAGGCATTTTCATGAGAGCAAAAATGCGACGAAACGTTACAAATGGCAAAAACGGGTGTGAGGAAACGGGGATAGTAGCGCGGCGGAAAGGGTGATTGCACTTGCTTTTTGAACATTTCCGAAACTTTTCTTTAGAATTTAAAAAAAAATAGAAATTGTATTAGCAAAAAATCAACACTTTTTATATAGCTTTTGTGCGAGTTTGTGAAACTGCCTATTTTCATCGCGAAACACTTTCTCAACAGCAAAAATGGCTTTTTTTTTCGCTTTCTGCCTTTCTTTTTCGCAGCGGTTTTCAAAGTTGAGTACGAGCGTGGCCCGCAAAAGATTTTACAGTGATAACGAATGTTTTACCGCTCTATGCCAACAAATAAGTGGGTTTTAGTGGTCAGCGGACCGGATCGCAAGAATCCAAGAAGGCAGCGATCATGTTGCTGCCCATATAAATGTGGAAAAAAGCCATGATCTGTGAACTGATGCATTCAAAGTTTATTGCCATTCATCACAGGTGATTAGAAAAATTGCGTAAATATGGTTTTTCTGCGGTCTGTAAAGGTGAGTAGCCGTCGTTTTCTAGAAGTACGGGCAGGTCGGGCGTTGCACCATGCGATCGCCGGGCGTGCAGTTGAACGCTATCTGAAATTCGTATGGTATAGCTGATGATCTGGTAGTTGACCAAGTCTCACCGCAAACTCCTCCATATTGCTGTGCATCATGTTGACGCGGATGCGGTGCGCCGAGTGCACGTCACGGCCCTTGCTGCCGACGCTGCAATGCAAGTTGATGTAGTATCTTGAAGGTGAAGTTCACATGTGCTGCGAACGGTCGTACGTGGAGCAGTAGGGGATGGCCTGCGCGTAGAAGAAGAGCTGCTCCCGTGTTACGCCCAAGTCGGGGTATACAAGTCTCTCAATCGGATTTTTTTTTGCGTAAGGCTGGCTCCATACCTTAAGCTGATCCCCATCGTGTCCCCATTGTTCGCGGACCTCCACCATAAAAGCCTAAAATACGATAATTAGATTAAGCGAAAAAAAGTAGAGTAAAGTAATCTACCTCCCAAGCGATTCTCAGCCCCGTGAAGTCGGAGCGATCCTCGAGGAAGGTGTGCAGGCCGCTGAAGCAGTCCTAAAAATGCAGTTAAAAGTATTTATTAAATCTGGTGGTATATTGCAAAAATTCCTACCTTTTCCGGCCACAGCTGGCAGGCTCGGCTTGCCCGCTCGACGATGCAGATTTCGGAAGGGCGCGAGGGGACGGGTTTCTGAATATTTTGGTTTAAAGGGACGGGCGTAATAAGGACGATGGATTGATTGATACAATCTTTTTAAGTTGTTAAGCTTAACGTAACTCTCACCGGCCAGTCACTGGGGTTGTTAAAATACGGCATCGCGTGCATATACTCGTGGGCCATCACCCAGCCTGTGCTGCCGTACTGCAACGGAAGCGTATATTTTGGCCTCTGCTTCTCGCTATCTCTCTCTCCCTCGCTCTCTCACTCTCTCTCTCTCTCTCTCTCTCTCTCTCTCGCTCCCTCTCTTTCTCTTCAACATACCGCAATGGCCGGATCAGCCCCCGGATTCACCAAAACCGGCATCAGCTCCCAGATCGACATCGAGACGTAACGGCCGGAATTCGAGCTTCCTGAGAAATCATCAAAAATTTTCTAAACGCTGCCTACCGATCCTTCTCAACCCGACAGCTAGAAGTTGCTGAATCGATGCCCATTTTTCGATCATCGGCTTCAAAGAGGTGGTCCAAGCGTAGGATATTTCGAAGTAGCGGTCCGGCCACTGGTCGGGGGTGAACTGGACGAGGTTGATGATTGATAGCAACTTTCCCTCTCTATCTCTTTTGCTCTCACCTTCAGATGCTCAAAAGTTTGCCTCGTCACATCGATCAACGCCTTCAGCCCATCGATCTGCTCCAACGCCTCGTCGACCATCGCGAAGAAGATGGTCAGCTACAGAGGCTCGGATATCATCAGATCTAAACATTGTTCCCACCTCGTTGATGGCGTCCACATGTTGCCTGTACAGCTCCTCGTAGTTGGGCTCGCGCGAGAATGTCTGGAATTTTGATTTGATGGCGGTTGTTCGACATGGTGTGCCTTGAGCGCCGCCTTTGAACAACTCCTCACCTCGACCAGCTTCATCATTTGGTCCTGCAGGTTGTTGTGCATCCTCGGCAGCCGGCGGTTCATGCCGTGGACGCGTTCCTGTAGAGGTAAAGGTTTAGCATAGGCTTAGCTCAGGCTTAGCTTAGGCTTAGCTTAGACTTAGCTTAGGCTTAGCTTAGACTTAGCTTAGGCTTAGCTTAGGCTTAGCTTAGGCTTAGCTTAGGCTTAGCTTAGGCTTAGCTTAGGCTTAGCTTAGGCTCAGATCCCTACCAGAGCATCTGTCAGGAATTCGACACGATCGGGGATCATCGAAAGTTTCTCAACCAGCTGAAAAAAAAGATAAGGTTGTTTAGGTTATTTTTAAGTCTAATTTAAAGGTATTGCTATACACGTATGCTCCTTACATCTCCCATTTCTTCTCGCTCTTGCCGCAGCCTAACCACGTCTTCGTGAAGTTGCTCGTCCTTCGCGCGGAACTTCTAGAAACGTAAATACGACACGCGTAGCGTAACGTTGCGCAATGCAACGTAACACGACGAAGCATAACGTAACGTAACGTCACGCAACTCATAAGTCCCTACGACGACGAACCTTTTGCATCTTCCGGCGATCTTGCTGCTCGGGATCGACTTTTGAACGCGACGCAGCCTCGACTGACCGATTGAACGTGCCGATGATTCCCCATTGCCGCAACTTCTCGACGCCGTGGGCTAAAAATAGAGATGTTCGGCACCAACCTTGTCGGAATTGCTAACCCACCTTGTACCTGGGCGTAGTAGGTGTCCTTCAGTTCCATTGAAACCGGGCATACCTGCAAAAAGCTCGCTGCCTCTCTCTGTCTCTGCCTCTCTCTCTCTATCTCTCGCTCTCTCTTTCTCTCCCTCACTACACCCACATGCCGATAAAAGTTGTCGCACGCAGAAGGGGATGGCCTGGGCGTAGAAGAAGAGCTGCTCCCGGGTCACGCCAAGGTCTGGGTAGATGAGTGTCTGAAATCGGGTTGTTAGGTACCTTAACCCTGAACTAATACCTTCAACGGTCTGTCTTTCGATTGCCAGTCTCGCAACTCGGTTAGAAAAGCCTAAAAATTTATTAAATTTGCCGATTAGCATTTTCCCTGCCTCCCAAGCAATTCTCACTCCCGTGAAGTCGGAGCGGTCCTCCTTGAACGTGTTGACGCCGCTGAAGCAGTCCTAAAGGAGTGATTTGGTGGTTTTGGTTTGTTTTTGATGTTCAAAGTATACCTTCAGATACCTACAAGCTACCCTGTTTTCATTCAAAAACGATACCTGCTCCTGCCACAGCTGGCAAGCCCGACGAGCTCGCTCGACGATGCAGACCTCGGAAGGGCGCGCCGGGACGGGTTTCTTAAATTTTTATCCTTTGTAAATGTACCTAAAATAATACTGTATCTAAGATACTCAAAATTTCCGTGACGCTACGATATGCTGCGCCGAATCGCAAAAAATTTGACCTGCGGGTTGCCTGGTGTCAAGAAGTAGGGCATCGGGTGCATGAACTCGTGGGCCATGATGACGCCAAGTGAGCCGTACTGCAAGGCCCCAATTTCCAGGATAACGAGAATCGGTACTTTTGCATTATCAGGGTGGGAGAGATTATGTGGGGAAAAATCGCCTTAAGTTCCAATTTTCCTGAAAATAAATGGAGGAGCCTTTGTAAACTTTTTCTACTCTTCCTAGGCGTAAAATGTTAAAAAGAATTGTAAAAAAATAAAATAAGAAAATCCATTTTTTTGATGCGGAATAGGTAATTTTCGGCTAGAATTTTAATTTTTTAAAGTTTCTTTGCTGGTTTTTCCGCTTGAAATATAGCTAAATTTTACTGGTGAATCCGTCTATCAGACTGGTAGGAATCTCTGGATTTTTGAGAAAAATTAGATGCCCGATACCCCCCCCCCCGATAATGCAAAATCACCATCTACTCCAAGCTGATCCTTATGTACTAACCGCAATGGCCGGATCAGCTGCCGGGTTCACCAGAAGTGGCATCAACTCGGTGACCGACATCTGGACGAAGCGGTCGACGGCGTTGCTACCTGAAAATGAAACATTTAGGAGGGTTCTGTTGTTTTTTGTGTTTCTTAAGTGTATATATAATTTCTAGCAGCATCCAGATCGACAAATCTACCGTATTTCTTCAAATCGGTGGCCATCATCTGGTGGATCGAGGCGTACTTTTCGATGAGCGGCTTCAACGTCGTTCGCCAAAGGTAGTCAAATTCGAAAACGCGGCTTCGCCACCTTTCGGCCCGGAACTACAAAGGTTAACGACTGCTAGAACTCTGGAACGCACACTGTCACCCCGAGGGTGCGCCCCCCAAGAACGCGCAGAGAGGGGCGTCATTAGTAGCGCCCCGTACTCAGCAAAGGCCCTCTTGGCTTTGGGGCGCCTCTGACTCCCTTCCCTACTTGGCCCTGTGGTATAGTGGCTAGCGCGTCGGACTGTGGAGCAGACCATCGCGGGTTCAACCCCCGCCTGGTGCGCGACTTTCTTGCCTTTATCGAATCATCGTTCTGACGGTCTTTAGGGTGTGATACTTGTGTCGCAGAGACGCCAGAGCGACGCGCCACGTTACTCTTTAAACTCGTGACCGCACCTCAAAAAACTCCAGAAACTTCTTGATCTCCTCGCTGATGATGCGCAGGTTGCCCAGTTGGTTGAACGTCTCGTCGACCATCCCGAAGAAGAAGCTCGTCTGATGGGGTTTTCAGTTATCTAACCGCTCTGACCTCGTTGATGTACTGCAGGTGCCGGGCGTACAGCTCCTCATAGTTGGGCTCGCGCGAGAACGTCTATATTTTTTTGATACAAGTTTCTCGACATGGTGCGTCTTTTTGGGGGAGATTCGAGTCTTACCTCGACCAGCTTCAGCATCTGCGCCTGCAGGTTCTTGGCGATCTTTGGAAGTCGATCGTTCTTCGCGTAGACGCGCTGCTGGAAATTGGAAATTTATAGACTTTGCTCATTCAAGGGAGCGGAAAAATGAAAAAAAAATAGATAGAAAACCCACCAAAGATTCGGTGAGGTATTGGACGCGGTGGGGGATCATCCACGTCTGCTCGAAGATCTAAAAGGATTTTATGGAGATGTTTGGAAAGAATTAAACAAAATGAGCTTCAAGTCGGTTCTAAAAGGATTAGGAATCAAAGGAATCGATTTTTTGGAGCTTTCCTGTTATCGGTGGGGATTTCAGAGATTTTTGCAGAAGTCAAGAAATGTAATTTGTAGGGACGTCGTTTTTGGTAAATTTTTACTCTATTGCAAATGGAAAAGCTAACTAACAAGATTTTTTAAACTTCTTAACGAAAGATTCGAAATTCGGTCGAAAAATCGACATTTTTGGTATTTTTCATGGTTAGAAAAATCGGATACGAGGGAAACAGGCTGTTTTGGCATTTTTTGCTTTTCCCCCCTCATAATGCAAAAATACCGGATTTCAGAGCCAGATCGTTTTGCCTCATTCTAACACCGCTACACACACACACTAACACGCTACGTTTTTCCACCCACATATCCCGCCGTTGTCCACTCCTCGGAGAGCGTCGCCAAATCTTCGTGTCTACCTTTCCGAATTTCCCTTTTTCCATAGTACTTAAATCAGAAATAAATATAAAACGTAAAAATTAAAATACGTCCTGCGTCTTCCTCCCAAGCTCTTGCTCGGGGTCCGCCAAAAAACCCTCCCGGTCCTGTTGCATCACTCCGAGGGTATCGTAGAACCCGCTCATCCTCTCCAATTTTTCGTACGACTGCTTGGCATGGGCTGGAAAGAGATACCTGATAGTACGTTTAATATTCAGAGCAAGACTGAAAGAGAGAGAGAAAGAGAGAAAGGGAGAGAGAGAGAGAGAGAGAGAGAGAGAGAGAGAGTGTGTGTGTGTGTGTAGAATTATGTAGCTTTTAAGACAATGGTATCGTGCTTACCCTTCACCTGCCCGTAGTAGGTATCATTCAGCTGGATCGAGATTGGGCAAATCTGTAAAGTCTTACTATTCCGCTCTCTCTCTCTCTCTCTCTCTCTCTCTCTCTCCCTCTCCCGCTCAAACCCGAAAAACTAAACTCACATGTCGATAGAAGTTGTCGCACGGGTGAGTGTCCGGGTCGCGAAAAGCGGCGATGAACTTCTCGAAGAAATTCTTCTTGAGTACGTCGGCTTTTATGTTCGACTCGCGGCGGCGACGCCCGGCAGGGTCATCATCGTCATAGTCGTTGAAGAGGAAATCTTCCTCTTGGCATCTGATACGACTAAAGCGAAAAAATTAGAAAACAGGCAGTTTGGTACCAAATGCAGAAGAGGAAAAGCAGCAGCCACATGGCGTGCATCGCGGTTACAGGATATATTGCAGGCTCAAATGCGTGCTTGCAAATTCGCGGTATGTAAAAATGGATTTCAAAGATGCCTCGCTCCCAATTTTTGGATCGAGATCCCAGAAATTAATTTGCTTCTTCGGTCTCCATTTTTGAGCCCATTTTTTGGTATTGTTTTTCATTTTGCTACGGTGGAGGCTTTATCGTCTTATGCTTTGGTACATCAAGGTGAACACTAGTGGTTCTCCGATCCGGCGTCGCTAGATTAGAGATCAGCACCACCCCGAAGGTCTTTGATGTTCCCCACGCGATAAGTTTTCGTCTATTTCATTAGAGGTAATGCTTCAAGAACGTACACTAGCAGGTAGAATTTCTTTTTTAGGTATAACTTGTAAGGTTTCGTCAGCAAGACAATGGCTATTGAAGACGCCGTGGCATGCACCCCGTCGATCATCAAGAATAGGTTGTTCCAGACTTCAAATTTGGTTTGAACTGGCTTTTTGTAGACGTACTTGGATTTACGATCCACCTCTGCGTAACGACGAACCAGTAGTAGATCCACGGGATCATCAGGGTGCAAAGTGGGACCGCTATCTAAAATGAACTATTTAGGTTTAGATAGTCTCTCTCTCTCTCTCTCTCTCTCTCTCTCTCTCTCTCTCTCTCTCTCTCTCTCTCTCTCTCTCTTTCTAATTCAATCTTATCTGCAAAAATCCTACCTGGACTAACAATAGCATAATCAGCATCCTCTGCAGCTTCTTCGTCTTTTCGCTCATCGTAATCGCGTTGTTCAGCAGCCAGAAGCTATGCACCATCATGCAGAAAGCCTATATAAATGACATACGATCCCTTCTGTTTTTAGCTTACCAAAAATCCAAATTTCAACGCCATTGTGACGAACAGGACGCATACTATGTACACCGGGCTTGCCGGTATCAGCGGCGTATTTTGCCAACCGTCACAATAAAAGACGTCCGCGTAGTTGCGCATGATTTGGTATTCGGGGAAGAGGGATAGGGTTAGCTTTCCTAAAAAATTCTGAATTCATTAAACTTATACCGACAATTGAGAAAGATTATTGAAAAATGCGTCTTTTCCGTAGCTTACAAGTTAGTAGCATTTTTTAAAGTGAAAATTCCTCTTATTCATCGGCTGAACGGTTAAATTTAAACCGTTCGAACCCTGCAATTCATGGAAATTCAGTTTTCGAATTAAAAATAGTAAGAAACTTCCATTTAAAATCGTCCGTCTTTCCATTAAAAATACATACCGATATTCGTATCAGCGCCGATTTCACAAAATACATACAGGCACGCATATACAAAGATAAATTGGCAGCAAGCACCCACAATAGTCAACGCCACAAGCCAAAACGAATCTCTCTAAGGCTAAAAAGAGTCTTTTCAAAAAAGGGCTTTTGGTTCTCGCAAAAAAAAGAGGAATTCTCGTGGCAACAAAAAGAGCTAAATTCCTTTCAAACTCTTAAAAAGGCTACAGAATGTGGGATCAACCAAAAGTTGCTGGCACCTTATTAAAATGGACAATGGACAGATTTAGTTTCTAGCGGTTTCGGCTTGCAAATAATTTCTGTATTATGATCGATTTGCACTTTCTTCAAATTAATCTGTGGACCTGACCTGTGATCTGGGATGGTACCGAGTTTATTAAGGTTTTAAATAGCCAGCAACTTTTTGTTGTTCCCGCATTCTGTAGCATTTTTAAGAGTTTGAAAGGAATTTAGCTCTTTTTGTTGCCACGAGAATTCCTCTTTTTTTGCGAGAACCAAAAGCCCTTTTTTGAAAAGACTCTTTTTAGCCTTAGAGAGAATTTAGCCCTTTTTGCCTCAATCTTATTGTTAAGAACGTAAAATAAGCCAATGAATACTTATTCAGATGAACTCTTGTACGCAAAACTTCAAAAAAAATTTGCCTGCGGCGCTTTGTAACGGTACTAGAAACCATAAGGATGCACGGGGGCCAATCGGCAAAACGGATGTTGCGGGTGGGGTTCGAACCCGTGGGGCAAGACTTCCCAGTACAGCGTGCTAACCACTAGGCCAACGGGGAGACTGGACGCCTGTCTTGGGGAAGCTAGACCCGCCCGCCCTGACTCGGGACTGGGGCCGCCAAAGGGGAGGGTGGCGCCCCGTATGGCGAAGGTTTAAAGTTATAATATCTCAGAGAAGAAGCATTCTTTCGATGCAATTTCTTCTTAACTTTTTCCGGCAAGGTCTAATGCATGTTTGAGCAAAATTTCAGCCCAAACGGATATCATTAACCCTTGTTTTGGCCGCAATTTAGCTTTTAAACTTAAAAATTATATATAAAAATTTTAAAAGCCTATTTTGGAAAAACGCTTCTTCCTCACCTTCATTTACATCAAGTCGATATCTGTGGAAAATTTCAGCTCAAACGGACCATGGGAAGGCACTTTTTGACGACTACAAAGGTTTTGCGTACATACACACACACACACACACACACACACACACACACACACACACACACACACACACACACACACACACACACACACACACACACACACACACACACACACACACACACACACACACACACACACACACACACACACACACACACACACACACACACACACACACACACACACACACACACACACACACACACACACACACACACACACACACACACACACACACACACACACACACACACACACACACACACACACACACACACACACACACACACACACACACACACACACACACACACACACACACACACACACACACACACACACACACACACACACACACACACACACACACACACACACACACACACACACACACACACACACACACACACACACACACACACACACACACACACACACACACACACACACACACACACACACACACACACACACACACACACACACACACACACACACACACACACACACACACACACACACACACACACACACACACACACACACACACACACACACACACACACACACACACACACACACACATACAAACGCAGACCCCCCCCTCGAAACGCAATTTAAATCGGCTGTTAAAATTCGAAATTTAACTTTTTTTCAAATTTTAAAAGCTTATAGTATGTAAAAAGTGTCGCCGGTTCCGATGGTGTATTCAGTTTTGCGATCCGATGCGTGGTTCTTTTTTAAATCCGGAAAAGGACCTCAAAAGAGTCGTATGGGGGGGGTACCTCAAACCAAAAGGGGTTAGCGGGCTGCGCCCGCTAACCCCGATTCGGGATTCTGCAGAAGTTTTGCATAGTTTCCATATTTTTTGATTAAACTACCGTAACCAATGCGCCTTCGGCAACAGTTGATGATGCCGATATTGTATACATTGTATCGTCGCTATCGCTAGCAATACAAAAACACATCCGGCGAAGGTCTAAATCAATATTCCCGGGCCGTGACGTTCATGCTGATATAAAATCGCAAGGTCCATGACGTTTACAAAAAAAATGTGAAACCCTTACAAAATTTCCCATAATTCCAATGTGCAAATATGTGTAGGCCGGACCGGTCATCCGGAAAATTAGAGCAGGATAAAATATTTGAGGCTCCATCGCATGAATAATCACTTCCAGTGCGGTCGACCAGACCTAGCAGGTAAGGCTTAGCTCAGGCTTAGCTTAGGCTTAGCTTAGGCTTAGTTTAGGCTTAGTTTAGGCTTAGCTTAGGCTTAGCTTAGGCTTGGTTTAGGCTTAGCTTAGGCTTAGCTTAGGCTTAGCTTAGCCTTGGGCTTAGGCTTAGGCTTTAGGCTTAGGCTTAGACTTAGGCTTAGGCTTAGGCTTAGGTTAGGCTTAGCTTCGGCATATCTTAAGCTTAGCTTAGTTTCGAAGTACCTGATACCAAATCAAATAATAGCGATACACATGCATATTTGGCGGCGAGGCGTAATAGATCAGGAACGCGGTGCTGATATTTATAATTAGCCCAAAGACAGTGAATATTCGCATGGCCAAAATAAAGACAATGGGCTCATCGTATTTGATATATTGCATGGCAGTTTTCCGTTAGATTAACACAAATTCAGTCCGATAACAAAGCAGTCTGAAGTGAGAAATAATGTTCTCAAGGCTCCGTATCGACTAAGAAAATGCGTGTTCCGGCAGGTGTTTACGGTCCAGCTGAAAAATTCGACGATACAGACATTTGAGATTCTGCAGACGCTTCCAGATTGATAGTGTGATATATTTATTCATGGATCATTGGTGCGTTCCGGACCTTGCTGGACTCGGTATCGGCCCTGCCCGGCGCAGTTTCACTCTATTGCGTGAGCCTGAAGGCGCCCGCCGGGGGTTACTTTTGCGTCGCTAAAATACGATTTTAAAATTGAATGAAAAATGTACGAGGGAGAAAAGTCAGAAATCTTACTTGATCCCAATTTTCTCAAGCAAATACTTGCGATACGGCTCGGTGAGGTAGAGGATTGCGCTGGAGGAGGCCGACGCGTGGATACTATTAAGTAGCATTAGGGCGTTGTTCCAGTCTATTAAGGCGTCGTTTTTAAGTTTTCTTTGACCCATGCGATCTAGGCGATATGGCTTTTTTGTGGGCTGCAAAAGCTTTTAATGTTGGCATATTTTTGATGCATATTCAGACCGGAAGAGATCATAATAAAATTATTATAGTTGATCTCGGTTTTCTGCCTACTCATAAAAATGCCAAAACATACCTGGAGGGACAACCCATCGCACTACTACAGAAAGGAGGTAGCTACCCCACGGCACGATGAGGGTCACGAACGGTAGCGCAATTTGGATCACCGCAATCTGACTAACCAATGAGCCGCGCAAATTGTACCAAGTTCTGTCCCGAGGTAGGAAGACTAGGATTTTGATAACTTTTGAGCCATTCCCGAAATGCCAACCCGAATGCCAAAAACATGCAAAAACCGCGCTCTACGTGACGCCGAACCCCTGACAGCCCCCACCCGGGTTCTGAAAGGTTATTTTTATTCAGTTCAATTCCGCATTTATGGCCAAGCTAACGCGTCCATTTATTGATGTATAAAAATTGCAAGCCAATAAGGCCGCTGTAGTTTTTTGGCCAGCCAGGTGTAAAAATGGGTAAAAACGACGTTGACACATCAATAATTTCTTTGGTATTTTTTTCCGGACTTGTGTCTGTGTCCAGGGGTTGACAACGGGCCGAGGGTCTGGCGGGCCCGGGCCGGGCCCGGGTTTTTGTGGAGGGCCCGTAGGGCCCGGATCGGGCCCGATTTTGGCAATTCTTAGGCGATTTTTGCGAATTTTCGGCCAAAAATCGTAATTTTTTTCAAATTTTTTTTCGGAATTTTTTCGAAACTCTTCCAACTTTTTTAGATTTTTGGCTAATAACCCTAGTTTTGAATTTTTTTAGCCGGAGTTACAGGCAAGGTTTACAGAGCTGATTTTTTAATTTTTTCCTTTCCCGGCGGAGCGCGGGAAACCCAAAAATTCAAAAATCCATGTGCTAATTCTGGTTTTCTTTGGTTCGTGTCGAATAAAACGCCCTCTCTATTCTTTTCAGATAGTTTCTGCCTTTGACCGATTTTCTTGCACGTTTATTGCATTTCAAATTATGAATTAATTTTTTATGACGTTCTTTGCAGATGACCGGTCCGACGGGAAGCACTCCACTGGCGCCCAAACGCAAACCGGGAAAATTGTGAAATTGTGTAGCAATTACGAGGTAGTAAGTATTGTAACGATTTGTGAAAAAGCCTTTTCTGTCTTGAAATTTACCATCGGCCCCCATAGGCAGTCTCTCACTGATGATAATGTAGAAACCCTTATGCTGGCTCGACTCTGTCACCTTCTTTTGGATCCGAAGTAGATTCGTTGTTGTTCTTTTTTTGTTACTAGTTGTCCCCTGTTTCTGTTAATAAACGTTGCTTTCATATCCACGTTTTACTATTTAATCACTTTTTAAGATTAAAATAATTACTATGAAATTTTTAATCTTATTATCATTATGACGTTATTATTTATGTTATTTATATTAATTAATATATTTTTAAGTTTTGATATTATATTTTCAATATTTATTATTTAATATTTAATATTGACATTTTCTTCAGCGTAGCCTCCTCAAGCCCCTCTTTTAATCTCTTCCTTCGAAACCAGCGCTATATATATTAGGAAACTTGGGTCTTAGTGGAAAAAATTTTTGACCCCCGCCCTGACCCTATGTGTCTGACCGGGCCTCACGGCCCGGCCCGGGCCTTGGACTTTGGCTTTTGGGCCGGGCCGGGCCGGGCCTGGGGTCGGCTGGGCCCGGCTTCCGGGCCTCGGCCCGGCCCGGCCCGGCCCGTTGTCAAGGCCTGTCTGTGTCTAATTTTTGTCTCTACGCTCCGTGAGCAGGGCATAGTTTTTGGCAGAAATAGAACGTAGGATTTTACTTTATTTGGTTTTCTTTAGCTGCGCCTAGTTGCTAGGATGGACGGAGACGAAGCGAGACACATGACGAGTGCTGGCATAACCCATCCACCGGCCAATTGATCTAAAAATGTAGCTGAACTAGTCGCGAACGTCTTACGGTAGAACAACTAAGCGAGCATTGCTCAGGGATCGGATTGGCCCGACAGTTTTTGAAGTAGCCCATGAAAACCTACCTTAACCTGAATTTTCGGATGAAATATTTGCGGTATGGCTCGGTCAGGGCAATGATCGCAATCGAGGACATTGTGGCGTGCACGCCATCGACGATCAGAAAGAAATTGTTCGTGCCTAAAGTTGATCTTTCATTGGTTATCAAAAGTGGCTTATCGCCATGCTTTTCCGACCAGAAAGTCGATTCTTTTTGACGGCCGATCATCTTTTGAAAACAATCTTTCCAAAAAAGCCTTTTCGAAAATCGTTTTTCCGAAGTAACTTTTTCCGGAAGTAATATTTTTGAAAAGCCATCGAAAGCCAGTTTTCCGAAAATCTGTATTTCGAAAAAATTACATAGCTGTTTCATATTTTGCGGTCGTTTCGTATTAATAGCTGGACGCAAATTTTGCAAAATCCTTGTTTTTGGAAGACCGATGTTTGAAAATATGCCCTTTCTGAAAATATGACTTTCGAGAAAGTTATTTTCATGAATAAGATTTTTTTACAATGTGTATGCAAGGCTTTTTTCCATCCAGTAATGTAAGGCACCTCAACTCACTAGGACTAACAATCGTCCGCTGCACCACAATGAGCGCATAAAAACACCAGGGGATGACGAGAGTGCAAAGCGGCACGGCGACCTACAAAGGCTAATTTGATCATAATCGCCGGCTACGGTTTACTTTACCACCCCTCCGCCCCCCCAGCCGGAATGTTTTTTTTTGAGCTATCACTTTTTTGTTTTACATTATTTAGGCACAAATTAAAACTCTTAGTATATTTTTCGTCGGCGAATTTTTCAGAATCTCCCATTTTCGGAATCTCGCATTTTCGGAATCTCGCATTTTAATAATCTCGCATTTTCGGAATCTCGCATTTTCAGAATCTCGCATTTTTAGAATCTCGCAATTTCAGTCTCACAGCTTTTCCAAGGACTTTCCAAGATTTCCAAGAATTCGATGAATCATGATTATCGACATTCTGAAAATGCGAAATTCCGAAGATGCGAGATTCTGAAAATGCGAGATTCTCAAAATGCGAGATTATGAAAATACGAGATTCTGATACCAAATCTTTTCGACGCTCTTCGAACAGCGTTGAGAAAATCCCGAAAAAATAGCGAAAATATCGAACACCTTGAGACCCTGCAGCTGTTGGGGGTAAAGTAAACTGTTAGCTAATAGCCGATTTTTTAAAGCTTTTCTTGCAAGCTTTTTCTTACCTGAATCCCCAGATAGCGGATAATTTTCTTCTGCATGCGCCGCGTCCTCTCGCTGATCGCCGTCGCGCGGTTCAGGAGGTAGAAGCTGTGGCAGACAAAAAACAGACACTACAAGTCGGTGTATGCGATTTCAGATGTACATATTACCAGAATGACACAATGCAACGACAGCTGAACGATCATGATACAAATCATGTAAATGGGCGCGATGCCGACGGACGGCATGGCTCGAAGCGCGTCACAGTAGAAAACATCGGCTTCGGCACGCAGGCACTGGTACTCGGGGAATGTGGTAAGGAGCGTTGCGGCTGAATCAAAAATGTTATATGATTTTCTCATTTCCGTTGTGGCACACGAACCACGCGTTAATTCGGCGAACTTAAACCGACCAGGATTGCTTGCACCTACAGTACAAACACTCCCCTCTAACGCGACGCAGGAGTATCGGATCGAAGTGATAGTTACACCGTTCGAAAGCCCTTGAAACGGCGAGTAGCAAAAAACTTCAAATCATGTTTTTATTTAAATGCGCTATTTTACAACCATTTTGAAGATTTTCCGGTTTTTCGGGGCTGCATACGAGCTAATTTGCCTCAATGTCTGTAAGCAAAATGACCGGAAGTTGTCTTTGGTTAGATGCAGAAGCCGTTCTTGAATGGTTTTAGATCCGTCATAAAATGATTCGTTTCAATAAAAATATGACTATGAACATTGATGTAAACTCGGCGTTTGTAAGGTAAGGTTAAAATGTAAAGTTAGAGGGAGGTGTTTTTATTAGGGCACCATCGTTATAGCAAAAACAATGGGTTACGCTAGGTCAAAAAAGAACGTGCAGGTATTTGACAAGGGCCGTACCAACACTTTTAAGTTTTAGTTTTGAGGTTCATGTAAAAATTACCAATACCCGTTTGCTGGTCAACAGAGCAAGCGATATGCACGCAGGAAAAGATAAACTGGGCGCTATAGTAAGCGTAGCTTATCAATCCGACGCTGATCCAGATCCAGCTAGCTCTGCAAGCAATTTTTTGCAATTTCTATTTTCCTATACGATATACCCTTAACCCTGAAGGCCGCTGCCGGGAAAAAGACTTCCGGTTCGATTAGGTGTATGACGAGCTCGAGTATCGTGGACCACAACTAACGCATAGTAAAGCCTGTAAACTAGTCACGGCATTCCACGGAGGCACGGATAGGACCCCCCCGGGACCGCGGCGCAATCGGTTAGCGCCGATCCCAAATCTCAAACAGAGGGTCCGGGTTCGACCCCCGGGACCAACGTGCAACCGCTATTTCTCCCCAAAACCTTTGCCAAGCTTTTGCGTTTTGCTTAAAAACTGTGCTCCAGCCATTGAAAACTGCTAAAACAATAAGGATCTGGAAAAATTAACCCGATCAAAAAAGAGACGGTTGATCCACTGGCGTCCATTTTCGCAAAACAGTCACTTGGAGCCATTTTAAGCGTCGATTTCACGCACTGGGGGGGGTAATCGACCTTGATTTTACCAAATCTAGGCTCAGATTTCAGCGACAATCCTTGGTTTCTGCGCTATTTAAATCCGCACAAAATCCTGAACTGAACTTCAAAGACCATCACAAAAAAGTACCAGAATAGATTTTCGATAGTTAGGTCTCAAAATCTGCGCCTTGGCGTCTAGAATATTTAAATCTAATTGAGTTTCTAATTTTTCTATTACATTTCGAGAAAAATCCAGTTTTGTCCAAAAGTTTGTTCATTTTCGAACAAAAACGTAGCGAGCGCGCTGTCCCCTCGTGCAAGGGAGCCTGCCGTAGCCCAAAAGCTATCCGTGCCTGCCTGTTAAAGCCTGGAATGGCGTGTAGTAAAATAAATAATTAAAAGCCTGCGGAGCTTTTAATTTAGCAGAAGGTAAGTAAAGTTAATATAGTTGATGTAGTTATCAGAGAGAAGAAGGATGAAAAAGGAACCGGAAGAAGGAATTATTATGAAGACGAAGATAAACGAGTGAAAACACGCAAAATAGAAGATTATTAGTGATTTTCTTACTAGGTAACTTATAAAGGCTAGAAGTTATTCCTTAGGCATTAAACCTGTCATGCAACACATCACTATAATTTTATAATATATTGTAAAGAAACAGCGTGAAATCGATGTATTTTCTTCAATTTCTCAGCTCTTTACAAGGATTTTCCTTTTTGCCTTAATCTAACCTAATAATAAAAAAATATTTTACCAAAACCCTCTAATAATGTTCAGAAAACACCAATAAACATTTATAAATCGATTACGAACATGAATTGGTATGAAACGCGCCAAAAAACGGTTATTTTCAAAACCACCTCCCCGAGACCTCCCCGAGACCTCCCCACCTCCCCACCTCCGCACCTCCCACCTCCCACCTCCCCACCTCCCCACCTCGAACTTTACTAATTGCCCCCGAGGACCTGAGCTAGGCTCCATGAGCCAGTGGCCTGTTGTTTTTTGCAACGGCTTTTGTCTTCTAGGTCAGAAATCTAACATAATCAACTAGTAAGTCTTTTATCACAATAATATCCGTATGTGCGTATCACAAAAAAACTCGAAATTCATGTTTATCTACATCTATTTGCTTTGATGGTGAACGGAGACGAACGGCGACACATGAACGTTGCTGGCGTAACCGATCCACCGGCTGATTGATCTAGTAATTAAGTTGAAGACCTTTTATCACCCGATCTGAGTTTTCTCCGGAACGCTAGACGAGGGAGGGGGGGCTACTTTTTTGTTCGCCCACTAGGTGCTACGGGGTATACGTTTTAAAATCGCAGAGAAAAAGCGGAAAAACCAGTCGACCTACCTCAAACCAGATTTGTCGAACACATACTTGCGATACGGTTCGGTTAGGGTAATGACGGCAATCGACGACATGGTCCCATGAAGGCCATCCACCATGAAGAAAAAGTTGTGGATGGCTAGAAGTATGCAAGTACGCGTCTGGCGTTCCTTACAGTAGCGTGCAAAAAGAAGGCAACACCCAGGAAGCTCTTGTAACTCGGCTGCCTCGTTATATTTTGCACGAAACGCAATGTTTCCTAGTGTTTTCGATGCTGTAGAATTCGATGAGCAGGGTCCCAAGCCGCGAAAATGACGTTTAGTGGCTTAAATATGGAATTTAAAATAGCTCCAAAAAATCGACTTTTTTCTAAAGGCATTTTTCCGTTTCAAAAACATCACCATCGTGTTCAGCATGGTCGATTTACCCAAAGTCAGTGTCGTTTGTGATCGGGTTTGATTTGGCTTAGCCGGGCAGCCGCGTTTTCTTTGCGCGAAACGGGTCAAGAAGTGGGTTCGCCTGGGGGAAAGGTATTGCAGGCGCCCCCACCAGACCGATGGCGACCCCTATTAATCGCAGCTTCCTAGCCGACTGAAGACGTCCTAAGCAACCAGAAACATTGACTTTGGGTAAATCGACCATGCTGAACACGATGGTGATGTTTTTGAAACGGAAAAATGCCTTTAGAAAAAGTCGATTTTTTGGAGCTATTTTAAATTCCATATTTAAGCCACTAAACGTCATTTTCGCGGCTTGGGACCCTGCTCATCGAATTCTACAGCATCGAAAACACTAGGAAACATTGCGTTTCGTGCAAAATATAACGAGGCAGCCGAGTTACAAGAGCTTCCTGGGTGTTGCCTTCTTTTTGCACGCTACTGTACTTCTAAAGTCATTACTGCTAAACATCTATACTTCTTAAATTGTTACTTCTAAAAATCATTACTTCTCAAATAGTAAAACTAACTAAATAATGATTTTAGAAGTAATGACGTTTAGTAGTAATAACTTTTAGAAGCAATGACTTTTAGAAGTAATAACTTTTAGAAGTAATGATTTTAAAGTAATGGGTTTAGAAGTGGTGATGGATAGCCCAAGTGCGCAGGAAAATGTGGGTGAGGCAAATCAGATCGGTGGTCTTGTGGTGCAGGAGCTTTTTTGGTTTCGCCGTTGGTCGTTACGGACACCCGACGTTGGGTAAATGCTCATTTTCTCACCAGGGTTCACGATCGTGCGCGTTACCACAGCGTACGAGAAGAAACACCACGGCGTCACCAGCGTCGCTAGAGGGACGCCTATCTGTAAAGCAGGACCTCGAACGCCCAGGCAAAAACGGATACTTGCAATGCAAGGTAGACCATCAGCTTCTTTTGCATTCTTCGCGTCTTTTCGCTGATCGTCGTCGTCCGGTTCAATATATGGAAGCTGTGGAACATTAGGAATGAGGTCTACGGGGTCGGGGTTGCAATTTTCGTGCAGTCGACAAAATCTTACCACCGAAAGGAACGCGGCCGTTATATGGAAGGCGATGAAACAAATATAATAAATGGGCGCGACCCCGATCCAGGGCATCGGCTGCAGTGGATCGCAGTAAAAGACCCCAGAAAGGTCACTCAGCGACGCGTATTCGGGGAACAGGCGCAAAATCTTTTTGCCTAAAATCAGGCGCAGTCTTATGTCCAGGCACGCTACGACGTGGTGTCACAGCAAAGAGCCGCTCTAGCGGCGCGCAATCGTGCCTGACTGTTATGATTTATGTTTCAATCGATAACTCTCGACCAACTGAGGAGATACGTTCTTACGGATTTTGGAAATTCCGGAATTTTTAAGTCGATTTGGTTACGGTTTACTTTACTCCCCCCCATAGCCGGAATTTTTTGGCTATAACTTTTTTATTTTACGTTGTTGTAGGCTCAAATTAAAACTCAAAGTATATTTTTCGACGCTCTATCGAATGGCGTCGTAAAAATCCCGACAAAATAAGAGAAAATACCGCAAACTTTAATACCCTTCTGCTTTGGGGGAGGCAGGCTCGTAGGCAAAGGGGGAGGGGGGGGGGGGCGGAGGACAGAATGTCCTCAGCCCGTCGGTAGCTTTCGATAGATACCTAAATCGTAAAGACCCGACACGTCCGCAGACCGCTAGAAGGGGTATTTTTGGGACGCAAGCACTAGCTATGCTTATGCTTACCCTCATGCTTACCATTCTCCGTGTCCGCGCCATGAAAACAGCAGCCCCAGCTGCGTGTCGGCCACCCCGGCAATACAAAAGATGACCCAGAACGTCAGCGAGCTGGAAATCTCGTTGTTTGAGGGAAGTGGTGAACGCGACTTTATGCGATTTCGTGGCTCTTAAAGGGATGCCGACGGCGGCATAAGCCAATCGGTTACGCGCGGGAAATTAAATGGCTCTGCGCCTCTCCCCTGGGCGCGCTCTCTACCCTGCTGGCTATTTGCCAATTGGTTGATGCCGTTCCCAAGGGGTGATCGACACGTGCCGTCGGCATCACTTTAAACTTGTTTCATACGGACCGCAATGGGTGCGTCAGGGGCAGGAGTTGGCGATGGCGAAAATGCATGCATTGCACGGTCGCCTGAATCAAAGCAAACATGAAGACGCCGCCGATAGTCTGTAAAAAATAAATGAGTACAGTCTGTAAAATGCCGAAAGACCCTTGGAAAGATGGCCGAGCGTCCCCAGGGGTGAGGGACCGACGGGGGACTACTATCGACGTAATTCAGGTTACGAATTCGTAACTTTTATGTAAAGCGTAATTTCGGAGCAGGACAGAACGAGAAACCCGGAAACGTCGTGTTGTAGCCCCCTAGGCAGGGCCGTAACAAACCCAAATTTCGGGAGGGGGGGCGACCCCAAAAATTTTTCACTAATAGGACTAAAACTAAAGCGCCGCAGGCAAAATTTTTGAAAACATAGGGTTTATAACACTAAAACTAGTGTTAAAAATAGCCAAAAACAGCGCCGCAGGCAAAAAATTTTTTGGAAAAATTAAATCATAAGGGTCCCCCCTTATGAACTTTTCGGCCTTCGGCCGATTTCGGGGGGGCGGCCGCCCCCCCCCCTCTTAGGGGCCTGCCCCTAGGGCATTTGAGGGCTTTTCGCCGCGCCGGCTTGGATGGCGCCATGGTGTACTGGTTAGCACGCTGGGCTGTGGGGTAAAGGCCTCTGGAATTATGGACACCATCCCGAAAAGACACCATCCCGAAAGACACCATCCCGAAAAGACACCATCCCGAAAAGACACCATCCCGAAAGACACTATCCCGAAAAGACATGATCCCGAAAGACACCATACGGAAAAATGCAATGATTGGCCGGACGTATATTTTCCTATGCAAATGAGCAAGTACCCTTAATCTGCATGTGAAAAGCACATTTGCATAGCGAATTGCACGTTTTTTCTACGTTCGGAATGTTATTGCATTTTTCCGTATGGTGTCTTTCGGGATGGTATCTTGCGGGATGGTGTCTTTTCGGGATCATGTCTTTTCGGGATGGTGTCTTTTCGGGATAGCGTCTTTCGGGATGGTGTCTTTTCGGGATGGTGTCTTTTCGGGATAGCGTCTTTCGGGATGGTGTCTTTTCGGGATAGCGTCTTCGGGATGGTGTCTTTTCGAGATGGTGTCTTTTCGGGATAGCGTCTTTCGGGATGGTGTCTTTTCGGGGTAGCGTCTTTCGGGATGGTGTCTTTTCGAGATGGTGTCTTTTCGGGATAGCGTCTTTCGGGATGGTGTCTTTTCGGGATAGCGTCTTTCGGGATGGTGTCTTTTCGGGATAGCGTCTTTCGGGATGGTGTCTTTTCGAGATGGTGTCTTTTCGGGATAGCGTCTTTCGGGATGGTGTCTTTTCGGGATAGCGTCTTTCGGGATGGTGTCTTTTCGGGATGGTGTCTTTTCGGGATGGTGTCTTTCGGGATGATGTCTTTTCGGGATGGTGTCCGTATACCCTCTGGGACGCTGGGGTACTCAGCCGCAGGGGTTGCGGCTGGCTGCAGAGCGCGGACACCGTGGCGGCGTACATAGGAGCGCCGCGTGGGGAAAAAGTGCTCTGGCAGAGCATCCCTCTCCGCCGCCCCTCCCACTTGGTGAGCGTGGTATAGTGGATAGCGCGCTGGGCTGTCAATATCATCGTGCGGGTTCGAGCCCGCCCGGCGCAAACTTCTTTTGCTTTTTCGCGAAAACCATCGTTTCAGAGGCCTTTAAGGGGACATGCCGTCTTGCTAAAAAGGCAATTCTTTGAACGGTACATATACGATAACGGGGACACCCGTATGTGTCTGTAATGAACTTACAAATATCGTCAATATATTAAAGCCAAATTGCACAAATGCCACACCCGTCATGCGAATTATAGGGGCCGGGAAGAAGACCTGCGGCTCGACGACGTGTATCGCCACCTCGAGTAGGGTGGACCGCAGCTTAAAACTCAACCTTCTCGTTCTCATTTTTCATTTCGTCGATCGCCAGAAAGGGTAGGTCTGTCGCTAATCCCTTACCTGATACCACAAAAAACGGTAGCTATATGAACGCATACTAGGGGGTGATGCAACGGCGATCACCACCGCCGTGCCGATATTGATAAAAAGGCCGAGGATTGAGGCGACGCGGAATGTGGCCTCATAGAAGACGGGTTCTTCATATCGTAAAAGTTCTACCCCCGGCATGACAGACGTCGAATGCCAAAGGGTAAGTATTCTGCTAATAACTTTTGGCGGGGACTCGTGTGGACAGCTGAAAAACCGGCAGGGTTTCGCGCCGGGTTTTGCGGGGGGACCAGGTGCACGCGTAGATTCCATCTTTGAGACTACATTCAAAATAAACTCTATCAAACGGCCTGGCTTAACTCAAATTTTTCAATCAAATATTTACGATTTTGCTCGCCAAGGTAATTTTACAATCGAGACATGGCCGTTTTCAAGACTTTATAAAGGTCCTTACTACGTTAGCTATCTAATGTTCGTAAAAACTATTAAAATGCACATTCTGCAATCGTTTTAGAAAGTTTTGATGTCACTACATGATTTATTTGTGATTTCTTGAACGCTACCAAGCTGATAATTCATCGGGTTGCCGGCCGGCCGATCGAAGAATTGCCGGCTGTTGCGGTGACGTGAACAATTTTTATTTTCTGTCGGGCGAACCTAAATAGAGTTTAGAAATTCAATAACGAATTGAATTACAGGGACTAACCCTATAAAAGGCGCGATCGCATCAATCATATAATTTCGGTATGAATCTGTGAAAAAGGCCAGCAGTAAGGAGGCGATCAGCGAGTGGGAGGCGTTCGCGACAAAGAGGAAATTGTTGATTTCTGGAAATTGTTTTTATAATCGCATATATTATATTTTTAGGTAAATAATTTCAAGGTATACCTAAACTGTAAAGTATCTTACCTGTTGGGATGACGACACTAAATACTATCAAAAATCCGTACGCTGCCCAGGGAACCCATAGAGTCAACGTTGGAAAAATTATCTAAAAATTAATTTGTTGTTTTTCGGAAGTTAATGTTAACAAGGAATACAATATCGCACGATATCCACCTTAATGGATACAGGAAAAATTGGTTGAACGCGTACCTGAAAGATCAGAGCAAAAATCAGTCGTTTATGCAGTTTCTTAGTCGCTGCACTCATCGTAGTATTAGTTCTAAGGATATAAAAACAATGGCCGAATATAATAAAGAACCAAGCGTCGAATTTAATTTATAAACCAGCGGGGGAGGAGCCGCTTCGCGACTCTCCCCCGCTGGACCCCGTCTAGGCCCTATGAATCGAGCGCCCTTACACATAAAGTTGCCCTGAAGAAAGAAAAACACATCTCCCATGCAAACCTCTTTGTATTCTCATGCGGCGCAACCTTAAATTGCTAGTATCGTTATTAGGCCTGCGGCGCAGGTCCTCATCCAGCGGCGCCGGCTCGAGCGGTTTGTTTCGAGATAAAGCCTGTCGCAAGCTTGAGCGGTAACCCCCTTCTTTAGCCTGCGGCGCACTGACACCACAACCTTTTTATTATAGTTGATGGTTGGTTTTATTCGTTAGCCTGCGGCGCTAGCTTGAGCGGCTAGCTTCGTTCTAAAGCCTGTGGAGCGGCTAGCTTCGTTCTAAAGCCTGCGGCGCTAGCTTGAGCGGCTAGCTTCGTTCTAAAGCCTGTGGAGCGGCTAGCTTCGTTCTAAAGCCTGTGGAGCGGCTAGCTTCGTTCTAAAGCCTGCGGCGCTAGCTTGAGCGGCTAGCTTCGTTCCAAAGCCTGCGGCGCTAGCTTGAGCGGCTAGCTTCGTTCTGAAGCCTGCGGCGCTAGCTTGAGCGGCTAGCTTCGTTCTAAAGCCTGTGGAGCGGCTAGCTTCGTTCTAAAGCCTGTGGAGCGGCTAGCTTCGTTCTAAAGCCTGTGGAGCGGCTAGCTTCGTTCTAAAGCCTGTGGAGCGGCTAGCTTCGTTCTAAAGCCTGCGGCGCTAGCTTGAGCGGCTAGCTTCGTTCTAAAGCCTGTGGAGCGGCTAGCTTCGTTCTAAAGCCTGCGGCGCTAGCTTGAGCGGCTAGCTTCGTTCTAAAGCCTGTGGAGCGGCTAGCTTCGTTCTAAAGCCTGTGGAGCGGCTAGCTTCGTTCTAAAGCCTGCGGCGCTAGCTTGAGCGGCTAGCTTCGTTCCAAAGCCTGCGGCGCTAGCTTGAGCGGCTAGCTTCGTTCTGAAGCCTGCGGCGCTAGCTTGAGCGGCTAGCTTCGTTCTAAAGCCTGTGGAGCGGCTAGCTTCGTTCTAAAGCCTGTGGAGCGGCTAGCTTCGTTCTAAAGCCTGTGGAGCGGCTAGCTTCGTTCTAAAGCCTGCGGCGCTAGCTTGAGCGGCTAGCTTCGTTCTATAGCCTGTGGAGCGGCTAGCTTCGTTCTAAAGCCTGTGGAGCGGCTAGCTTCGTTCTAAAGCCTGCGGCGCTAGCTTGAGCGGCTAGCTTCGTTCTAAAGCCTGTGGAGCGGCTAGCTTCGTTCTAAAGCCTGTGGAGCGGCTAGCTTCGTTCTAAAGCCTGCGGCGCTAGCTTGAGCGGCTAGCTTCGTTCCAAAGCCTGCGGCGCTAGCTTGAGCGGCTAGCTTCGTTCTGAAGCCTGCGGCGCTAGCTTGAGCGGCTAGCTTCGTTCTAAAGCCTGTGGAGCGGCTAGCTTCGTTCTAAAGCCTGCGGCGCTAGCTTGAGCGGCTAGCTTCGTTCTAAAGCCTGTGGAGCGGCTAGCTTCGTTCTAAAGCCTGTGGAGCGGCTAGCTTCGTTCTAAAGCCTGCGGCGCTAGCTTGAGCGGCTAGCTTCGTTCCAAAGCCTGCGGCGCTAGCTTGAGCGGCTAGCTTCGTTCTGAAGCCTGCGGCGCTAGCTTGAGCGGCTAGCTTCGTTCGGCTAGGGGGGGGTAAACTGACTGCACCTAAGCCCAATTTGGTGCGCATCAATAGAGCTTCGTACCAAGTCAGGAGGAGACACAGCAGCGGCCAGATGGCGTGCATCGTTGCGTGAGATACCGCGCAAAAACGTGAATATTTCCCGCACATGTAAATCCCTAAGTCAATAACAACGGCATGAATGATAAAATGTTTATTACAGGGACTGGAATTGGTCAAAAAAGTGGCAGAGATATGTGTTTCATTGTTGGAATGGTCATTGTTCGATTCTCTTCGAGTCCGGCTAGAAGTAAGGGCAGGACGGCCGTTGCACCATGCGATCGCCGGGCTTGCAGTTGAACGCCTCCTGAAAACTTGGTTTTAACAATGCTGTAGCGAGAGAGAGAGATAGAGAGAGAGAGAGAGAGAGGGAGAGAAGAGAGCGATAGAGAGAATCCAAAGTAATTCTCACCGCAAACTCCTCCATGTTGCTGTGCATCATGTTGACGCGGATACGGTGCGCCGAGTGCACGTCACGACCCCTGGCGGTCATGCGGAAGGTGAAAGGCATCATTTTGAGGACGTGGGGGTTCTGCCCCACTACGCCTCCGCTACGTCTCCGCTACGCTACGATCCACAACGGGGCTGTTTTTTCTATCATATCACACTGCTTTCCACAACGCTACTATCCACACTGCTTTCCACGACTTTTCCCAACGACTCTGTAGGTCTGATGCTCACATGTGTTGCGACCAGTCATAGGGCACGCAGAACGGGATGGCCTGGGCGTAGAAGAAGAGCTGATCGCGTGTCACGCCAAGGTCTGGGTAAACCAGCGACTAAAATCGAGTTTGTTCGGTACCCTAGCGCTAAAAACGATACCTTCAACGGTCTGTCTTTCGATTGCAACTCTCGCAACTCGGTTAGAAAAGCCCAATCGATGACATGGCCGTGCGCGCGCCGTCGATGCCAAGAAGCACTTTTTGCCGATTCTGCCATTAGAAGACGAAGCCTCATGAAAAAATGTTGTTTTGACCAAAAGAGTGTTTTGACCTTGGGGGTCAATCCGGTTCTGGGCTGTTAGCGGGGGGGAGGATTTTCAGCAGGGGGAAAGCCACTTCTTGTTTTCCGCCTATGTGATATTTAAAGTATGTTTATCGTGTTTCAGTAGTTTTTGATTACTAGCAAGCCATCAAAAAATTGTATCTTCAACGTTCGTAAATTTTTCATTTTTTTTATTTTTCATTTACTCAATTTTTCATTTTTATATTGTTTTCATATCTAAAAACTATCCAAAATGCTATAAAATGGCTTGTATGTTGTTCGAGGGCCGTAGGGAATCAAGGGGGAAAATTTGCCCCCCCGCTAAAAATCCCCTCCTTGCTGACAGTCCAGAACCAAGTTTATAACCCCGGTGCGGGTAGAGCCTCATACATTAAAATTCTGGATAAAAGATCCAGTCAGAAAAAATAGCTTTATCTTGCGGAGCATTCTGTATTGATGAGTACTTTTCGGCATCCATGCCAATTCGTTTTTAAATCGCAAAACTTTATTAACTGTCTCATACGTTATGCTTAACTGCCCTTCATGTTCACTTTCAAAAGGCTGTAAACCTATATTTCTCTGATCCATACCGGGCTTGAAGCTAGCTGAAATTTTGCAACTGTATACTAGAGATGTTACGCATACGAATCCGATGTGCTAATTCCGGCAAATTAGCTCAATATGCATATCTGATTTGAGAACGAGTACCGAGAATTCTAATACGACGATCATATTCGAATAGGTCTCGGGCCGAGACTCTCGGCTAATTCCGACGCGATGATCTGGCAAGTCGGCTTCACGTCGGGATAAAAAACTATTAAAAATTCAAGACGAGATGCTATGCAAATATCAAAATATTGGCACATCCACCGGAAATGACCGGAAAATCGGCTCCTAAATCTATTAAGATTATGCATATTCTGACTACTTGTTTGCATTTTCCGATCGTGTTCTTCGTAATATCGCTTTGCATCCAAATTAGCTTATTATCCCGATGTGAACCGGTTTTAACGAATACGATCGTCGCATTTGCCTGGTGCCGACCCTAATTCGAATACGACGATCGGGTCGGAATTAGGACATTTTTGATTCCGACGGCTTATTCGAACACGACGCATAACTCCTATGTCGTTATCGTATGCGTAACATCTCTACTGTACAGGGTGTCCCAAAAAAAAAATCGACCCCCCTCTAGCGGACCGCAGAAAGCTCGGATCGGAATGATTTTCACACCATTCGAAAGCCCTTCAAACGGTGAGAAAACAAGCGCCTTTGGTTTTCCAAAAAATTTTAGCCTTCGCTCGATATTCAATGATTTCTGTAAAAAGCGTAAAACCAGCATCGTCCTGTTTGCTTTAGCAAGCAATTAACATGCCGATTTTGCATAAAATCTGCAGTTTTCATCGATTTTGGCCCTAAATTTAATGAATTAAAATTCCCATATTGAAAAACGAAAAGTGCTTGTTTTCTCGCCTTTTCGAGTGCTTTCGATAGATATCTAAATCGTCAAAATCGGACATGACTGCGGCCCGCTAGAGGGGGGTCGATTTTTTTTGGGACACCCTGTATACACAGTAAGGCACCAGAACTTGATTTTCAGATTCTGAATTAAGGCCTTCAAACATTAAGGCCGAGCGTCTTTTTGTTAGTCATTTATTGGTAGTCAATTGGCATCGACGTAGTTAGTGCGATCTGCTGGGCTGGACGGATGTGCCCAGGCCTTTGTGGGAGTGACCCAGTAACCAACTGCAAAAATAATATAACTGGCCCGATAGCTTCAACAGTTTTGAATACTCAATTACCTGACGCCAAGCTTGTCAAATACAAATTTTCGATACGGATCTGTCAGCAAAATAATTGCCGTCGAAGACATTGTCGCGTGAACCCCATCCACCATCAGGAAGATGTCGTTTACGGCTGAAATTTGACCATTGTTAGGTGGCTACTACATACTACGTGCCGTAAAAATCCCCCCTCTAGCGGGCCGCGGTCGTGTCCGATTTTTAGGAATAAAATTAGAAATTTTTTTTTAGATATCTATCGAAAGCTCTCGACGAGCTGAGGACATATCTTCTTTCCGACTTTCGAAATTCCCGAATTTTTCTTACATTTACCGTTTTTTGCGCAATTTTTTTCGAAGAAAGGGGTTTTTAACAAAACCACAAATTCGGAATTCTAGCTATCCTGGCAACTCAAGGGCAACTTTTTTTGGAAATCGTTTGAGGAAACGCAGCGCCGTTGGAGCTAGCTGAAGCTGATTCAATTGAGTTTTTATGCCAAATGCTGCGAATCTACTTAAAAATTCGGGAACTACAAAAATCTGAAAGAACATAGCTCCTCATCTCGTCGAGAGCTTTCGTAATCGTAAAAATGACGACTGCGGATCGCACGTCACCGTTTTGGGACACGGTTCCCTGGAAAGTGTGCTAGCAGGATGCCAAGATCTGTTTTCCGTACGTTATGTTAAGTACGTTTAATTTGCTTTTCTCGGAACGGTTTGGGATGTCTTACTTGGATCAACGAGCCACCGCACTGTCACAATATATGCATAGACGCACCACGGGATCAGCAATGTGCACAAAGGGACTGCAACCTAAAATGATCGCCATTGGCGCGGACCCTACTCACCCACCTGGATACCAAGGTTGACGATAAGCTGCTTCTGCAGCCTCCGAGTCTTTTCGCTCATCGTCGTCGCACGGTCCAGCAAGTAGAAGCTGTGCGAGAGGTAGAAACCGGCCTGATGAAATAAATAAATTGCGACGCGGGGCGGACCTACCAGCGAAACACCCTCCACTGACAGTTGAACGACGATGATGCAAATCAGAAAAATGGGGGCGATGCCAAAGATCGGGGTCGGTTGCAGCGCATCGCAGTAGAAGACGTCCGGAAGCGTGCTCAGACATCGATACTCGGGGAACCGACTGAGTAGCGCCACGGCTAGAGGTTCACGCACGTATCGAGGATATATAGAATTATTTTATAGCCTTTTTTAATAGACTTTGATTGCGAAAAAGTTATAAAAAATACTTTCATAATTTCCAAAACGCGAAAAATTTCGACCATTTTGGCCAATAGAAAAAGTTCTATTTTGCCATAGGGCCGTAGATTCCGAAAAGTTTTGCCCCCCCCGCAAACAGTCCAGTACCACCGTAAATAGTTTTGAGTCGCGCTGACTAGCCGGAAAAATTTCTAGTGCAGGTGGTAGCGGGTGGAGGCCAAAATGTTATCGGAAAGGTAGCCTTGTCCCCCTTCCCTTGTTATAATAGAGGGGGGGGCTTATATTTTTGTTCGACTGAAATCTCGAAAATGGGGGGGGGGGGTAAGATGGTCGGATTTTGGCCACAAAAAAACATACTAGTAGGGGGGTGAATTATATTAGAGGAAATACTCCTTAACCTGTCCCCTTAATATCCCCCCAATAAGTAAGCTCTCAAGAAACCTGTCTGGCTCTTGACATCCGTCGTGCAGACGATCTGAGCGCAACTCCACAGAAACGAAACCAGATAGTAGATGATGCTCGGCAACAAGATCGCGATCGTGATCCACCAAGCCCTGAACGGAGATGTTGCTCCAAAAAATGACGCTGTTAGACCGCAGTGGGTGATTGACGGGGAGCAGCTTTCGATGGCGATAGTGGATGCATTGTCCCGTGGCTTCGACCGCGCCAAACACGACGACGCCACCGAACATCTGAAAATTAACGAGCTGTTCCGGGTTCGGACCGAACGGCTTGACCCATAGCGAACAGGCAGGGACCGGACGATTGATCATGAACAAATGACTTAATCGATTTTTTATCACTCACAAAAATCTCCCGGATACCAATTCCAAAATAGGTGTAGGCCATGCCCGCCAACTTGAACGCATGGGCTGGGAAGAAGACGTGCGCTTCAGCGAGATGAATGATCAATTCAAAAGACGTCGACCAAAACTGAAAACGAATACAAGTACAAATCTTTAGAAGTTTTATTAGAACTTTAGTAAAAATCTAATTTATTAGAAACTTTGAAGATAAGAAATTCAAAGGTGTGGCAGAGGGGAGGCTCTGAGAAAACCCGGGAAAGCAAGAAATTCAGTTCAAAACCTACCTGGTACCACAGTAAATGATATCGATAAGTATGCATCTTTGGCGGCGAAGCGATGTAGATGACAATGGCCGTCCCAAAATTAATAATTATGCTAAGAACAGCCGTGACGCGGAGCACGATCACGTAAATGGTCGATTCGTCGCAAAGGTGTTCCATCGATACGCGTATACGGCAAAATTTCTGCAAGGATCGGACTCCTGTGCGGCAGCTGCAATTTAGTGTTCGCAGCTGAAAGCGGCGGATTCCGCACATACTATTTTTTCATTCATTTTTTATTCTATTCATTATTTACTCGATTTTGTTTTATTCACTTTATTCAAATTTGTTTAGTTATTTGGTTATTTAATTTAGTCTTGCTAGAGAGCAAAGATTTCGGGGAAATCCGAATTTTCCTTTCAATGTAATTTTTTGGTATAATATGTAGGTAGTGTTCCCAAACCGTCTTTTTGTTTGTACGAAGCGGGAAACTACCAAAAAATTGCAGAGCAACCGGAAGTAACGATCACAAAAAATTCATTCTATAAATTTTTGAAATTTTGTGAATAAGTTTTCTGCTTGAACCAAAGCGTAATTTGCTGAAAATCCTTTTAAAATACTTATTTCGCAATCTTTAAATCCTTTTGATGCCACTCCAGTATATTCGCAATTTTTATCAAGTTATAAAACTCATGATTTATCGTGTGACCGGTCGACCTCCTGAAGAATCACCGGCCGTTGCGGTGACATGAATAATCTTCTTTTTCCTGCGTGCAAACCTAAATACAGCTTCGAAATTAGATAAGTCAATTACATTAACTCACCCTATAAACGGCGCAATCGCATGAAACATATAATTTCGGTATGAATCTGTGAAAAAAGCGAGGAGCAGGGAGGCGATCTGCGAGTGGGAGGCGTTCGCGACAAAGAGGAAATTGTTGATTTCTGGAAATTGTTTTTATTATCGTCGTATCGTATATTTTTCAGGTAATTAATTTCAAGGCCTACCTTAAACTGTAAAGTATCTTACCTGTTGGGATGACGACACTAAATACTATCAAAAATCCGTACGCTGCCCAGGGAACCCATAGAGTCAACGTTGGAAAAATTATCTAAAAATTAATTTGTTGTTGTTTCGGGAGTTAATGTTAACAAGGAATACAATATCGCACGATATCCACCTTAATGGATACAGGAAAAATTGGTTGAACGCGTACCTGAAGGATCAGAGCAAAAATCAGTCGTTTATGCAGTTTCTTAGTCGCTGCACTCATCGTGGTATTAGTTTTAAGGATATAAAAGCAGTGGCCAAATATAATAAAGATCTAAGCGTCGAATTTAATTTATAAATCATCTGAATACACAAACCAAAACATATACTTGACTTCCCAGGATCATCATGCCCGTCATGAAGCCGTAGATTGCGGGCAGGCCCACGATCGCCAGCTTTTTGCCGGTATCCAAAGCCCAGAACGGCGGGTTGGCGTGTCGGGCATAGGAAAAGACTGGGAATTCCTGAAAATATGATATTTGGACAACAAGAAAAAAAGTATCACGAAAAATGCCTTTCAAAAAATACCTTTCAGAAACTAATTTTAATCACTGACCAGGGTTGAAAAACCGCTTCGCGGCTTTTCAACCCTGGCCCCGTCCCGGACCGGTGAAAGTCCTTAATTTGCATGTTTTTTCTGAATTCTAGCAAGAAAAAAACAGTGAAAAACGGCTCCTCGGTCTCTTTATATAGGCTCTTCCTACTTCCGGTGTATGCTAATTTCCCCTAACAAACAGGGTTTTACAAAAACCTATTTTTAATTGCGAAAACCACAATTTTTCAAAATTTTTGTGTGTGTGCAGTCGATTCCGGACCATTCTGAACCTATTGTCGTTTCTTCCCTATCCAAAAAACCCTTCCCCGGAGCTGTAGGAGCGGAACATCCTAACGGAAGTGCATGCAAATATACACACACACACACAGACACTATTTTTTTATATATAGTAGGATTTTTCATGGAATTGATATTGCAAACCTTTAAATTACGATCCATAATTTCCCCGTTACCAGAAGCTTCGCCCATCGACATGATACCCCAGAAAAATAAGCCCGCGGTGGAGAGATGTTCAAAGAAATAGATAACGAACCAGGTACGGAGCTCAAATCTAAACAGCTGTCGTGTAGCTCGATTATATATTTTCTACTTATTATTACTATTTTTTTAAAATAAAACCAGGGTTGAAAAACCGCTTCGCGGCTGTTCAACCCTGGCCCCGTCTTCTCCAATTATATTCTAGGCTTTGCATAATGTTCGCGAATTCGTATGACGAAAAATGAAAAATGCTCTTGCCGTCCCTTTATATAAGCTACCGCGACTTCCGGTGCATGCTAATTTGATCCTAACAAATTGGGGTGCCCGATTTTCCATGAAAAACTTAATTTTAATGTCGAAAACATCGTATTTTGTAAAATCTGATATGTGTGCAGTCATCTCCAGGCCATCACGCACCTAATGACGTATCGAACATACCCCTAAGTACTTCCCCTCTTGAGGTACTACTGGAACACGGTGACGGAAGTTGCATGCAAATGCACACACACACACACACACACACACACACACACACACACACACACACACACACACACACACACACACACACACACACACACACACACACACACACACACACACACACACACACACACACACAACACACACACACACACACACACACACACACACACACACACACACACACACACACACACACACACACACACACACACACACACACACACACACACACACACACACACACACACACACAGACACTATTTTTTTATATATAGTAGGATATCCTACCTTATATAATTTTCGGGTGTATCTCTGTGTGTGTGTCCGGCAGCCACTTTCGAGGCCCGATTTGAGGACCTTCCCGTGTATAAAACGCCCTAATTCTCCGTCACGTGACGGGAATCGACCCTGCGGTTTCCGATGGCGTTCTCAGAATTTCGATAAAATACAAGTTTACAAAGTTAAAGCCGGTTTTATTCATTTTTGGGGTCCCTGAAGGCTAATCTGCATACTGCGAAAAAAATAGAAATTTCCTCATTCTTGCCAGTTGCGCGCACGCGTGTGGTCGGACGGGGGAGGGTCAGCAGGACCGAGCTACTGGAAAGTCAAATTTTTCATGCAGAGAGCGCATTCCAGCGCCCAAGGCCCGCGCAGCGGGTTTTGGGCGCTGGTTATATGTTATTATGTGTTTCGCGTAGTTATTACTATACGGTAACTTCCTCACCGAGCCCAATGCTCCAACGGCAACACCTGCCGGTGCCGATAGAAGACGCAGTGCGAGATGGCGAACACCAGGCTCATCATTGCGAGCCCCGCCAGTCCCTAGATTTTTTAAGTAACTTTTAACAATGGTTTTAAAAGTTTATTGAATATATTTTCAGGGCTTACAAATGGCACTTTGACTCCTAGTCCAAACGTCGTACAAGCCACTCCCCAACACCTGAAGACGAAGGCCGGAAAGAGGACTTCGCCCTTGAGCATGTGCAGCAGCAGCTCGGTGACGGTTGAGCAAAACTAAAGGATGGAAAAAATTTTTAAATCAGGAGTTCCCATTATAACATCGAAAATCACAATGTCAAAATTGAGAATTCCGAAATTCACATTGTCAAAATTTTGTGAGATCGAAATTCATATTGTCGAAACTCATAATGTAGAAATTTCACGATGTCGAAATTTCATGATGATGAAATTTTATATTGTCGACATTTTTTTTGCATCGTATTCGGGGTTTTCGGGGAAATTAGCTAATGTAAATGTCGACATTCTGAAATTTCGGCATTCTGATTTTCGAGATTTTGAATGACACCAATATTTTTAGCATCGTCTTCGGGGTTTTTCCGGGAAATTTCGAAATTATCATTTTCGACATTTTGAAAGAAACCCGTAAATAGCAGCTTTTAAAAAAGCACGAAAGCTTAGCCGAGTAAACTTTACCTGATACCACAACAAAAATTGCTTATAGCGCTTCATCGGTTTCGGCGAGGCGAAGAGGATCAGGTGAAAACCGAGCAGGTTACAGAAGAGGCCAACGTACAGCGAAATGTCCATTGATAAGAGGAAAGTTGCTGGGTAGGTGTTGCTCATTTTCAGTACGGCAGAGTAATGGTGAATTTCCAAATATTGTGTTTGTAGGAACTTGCAAAGCGGTCGGAAAACCTTGGTGAATTTACCGCAATCAAGGGCAGGGCCGAGCAGGTGTTTCCGCCTCTTATTTCGCTTCACCTGAGCTTTTGAACCCTGTAATTTGGACGTGAGACCACGTAGAGATTGTGACTAATACGATGTGGCTTTATGGTAATTTTGGGAAAACCGTTTTGTGCCTAATTCAGAATATTGGCAGTTTTTTTGCCTTTTCGAGAACTTTTCGGTAGTGTAAAAAATGTGTCAATCCAAGTTTTTATGGCTGATTTCATTTTGTCGAAATTTTATCTGTGAAAGTTTCATTTTGTCGCAATTTCACTTTTTCGAATTCAAATTTCGACAAATTGAGGTTCCAAAAAAAAGTATTTTTTTTTGTCCTAGTCACATTTCGACAAAATGAGTTTTGACGAATTGATCGAAATTTTTTTTTTGACGCTGAGATTGAGAAGAAAACATTTATTCCGCTGCCCTGGCTGCATATCATCGCCCTGCCAAAATTTTCGTCACCTGCGCGACACTCATCGTCGACGCCGCGGAGGCCCTTCTACAGGCATAATTTTGAAATCGGAGAATAAACCCACTTTCCAAATCCGAACAATTTGAATAGATAATTTTTGTAAGGCGCTGTAAAAAGTAGTATGGCCATGGAGGAGAGCGTCGCGTGACAGCTGTTGAACCAGAAGGCACAATTCAGGATGGCTGAAATTGTTGGGAATAATAGTTTTTTGATACCTAACGGTGCTACGCCTTACTTTACCCCCGCCCCCCAGTCTGAAAGATTTTAGCTATAACTTTTTGATTTTACATTGTTGTAGGCTCAAATTAAAGCTGTCTACTATAGTTTTCGACGCTCTATCGAATGGCGTTAAGAAAGCCCGAAAAATAAGCGTAAATACCGAAAACTTTGAGACCCTTCGGCTGTGAGGGGGTAAAGTAAAGTCTCACCCCTAACGGTGCTAGACATTAGTTGCCAAAAACCAAAAATAACCTGCTTAAATGTCTTAATGTTAAGGTTTCGGATTACCTGGACTAACGATCCAGCCGCCAACCTGAACGGCGGTAAAAAGGCCCCAAGGGCACAGCAGGGTTAAATATGGTACAGCCAGCTGAAAAAAAATAAATTTGTGGTATGGAAAGACATGGGAAAACGGTAATTTACTAACCTGAAGAAGCAACGCCTTCATCAATTTCACATGTAACCTCCGTGTCTGCGTGCTCAATCTGACATGGCCATCCAGCATCCAGAAAGCGTGGGTCATCATGAAGCCTCCCTAAAAATCAATTGGAAGCCCAACTTATATGGAGACAAGGGCTTATTTTCGAAATGTCGAAAATCATAATGTCGAAATTCATAATGTTGAAATTCATAATGTCGAAATTCCATAATGTCGAAATGTCATAATGTCGAAATGTCATAATGTCGAATTTCATACAGGGTGTCCCAAACCCCCCCTAGCCGGCCGCAGACCTAACCGATTTTTACGATTTAGGTATTTATCGAACGCTCTCGTGAAGGCGAGTCCAGCACGTCTTGCGAATTTTCAAAATCTCAAAATTTTTTGCTCGTTTTCCAACATTTTTCATGCAAAAACGACACGCTCTTTTAACCAAAACGCAATTTAACCGTTAAGCGCTATCCAAGCTCTGTCCTTGCGAAGGGCTTGCAAAAAGCCGTCGTTGGGCTGCCAGGAAAGGCATTAAAAGTTTTAAATTGTGTTTTTTGTGAAAAACCCCCTGGTCAGAACAACATCAGAAAATCCGCCCGTATTGCAAAAACATTAGTAAATGACAGAAAAATTTCGAGATTTCGAAAATTGGCAAGACGTGCTGGACTCGCCTTTCAGAGAGCGTTCGATAGTTACCTAAATCGTAAAAATCGGATCGGTCTACGGCCGGCTAGGGGGGATTTTTTTGGGATACCCTGTAGCGTCGAAATTCGGAATGTCGAAGTTTACCTAAGCTAGTATCCGCGGTAAAACCCCCAAATCCTATGCAAAAAGATATCGACAGTCTGAATTTCATAATATTATGACATTTCGACATTATGAACTTTAAACATCGTGAATTTCGATGTTATGATTTTCGACGTTATGATCGCAAATCCAAGACAAGCCATCTGAATTTGGGCTTTCCAGAGACCGATTGTCAGGAGCACGTCTCAAGAAAGTTTGTCCACGTCTGGTAAGGGTGAACAGAAAAAAAAGCACGACCTGCTTGGGGTGCTCGAAGAGGAAAGCTTTCGTCTTAAACCACCCCTCTAGTCCGTACAACATGAAGAGTTGCGAAGAAGCTACCAAATAAAACTAGAGATGTTAAGAATCAATTAACAATCAAGATTATTTGCATATAATGGCACAATATTATTTTATTTGGAGGGGGCTGAGCGCATGACCAAGTAAAATAATATTATTTGACTCCGCTCGAGAAAGAACCAAGTAAGATTACTTGATTTACTTGATTTACTTGATCAAACAATAGCTTTCTGGAATTCTGGCATTTTTCGGATGGTAATGAATTTTATGACATGATCGCATGCTAATTTACCGGGTTCGCGGCAAGTTTGCCTGATTTACATTGCGAATTTGCACAAAAACAAGTAAATTCGCTGAAAATCAAGTAATTCTCCCAAATCAATCAAGACCAGTGTTGAAAAACCGCTTCGCGGCTTTTCAACCCTGGCCCCGTCCAGGACCTGTGAAAGTCCTTAATTTGCATGTTTCTCCCTGAATTCTAGCAAAAAAAAGTGAAAAACGGCTCCTCTGTCCCTTTATATAGGCTCTTCCTACTTCCGGCGCATGCTAATTTCCCCTAACAAACAGGGTTTTACAAAAACCTATTTTTAATAGCGAAAACCACAATTTTTCAAAATTTTTATGTGTGTGCAGTCGATTCCGGACCATTCTAAACCTATTGTCGTTTCTTCCCTATCCAAAAAACCCTTTCACGAGGCTGTAGGTGCGGAACATCCAAACGGAAGTGCATGCAAATATACACACACACACACACAGACACTATTTTTTTATATACCAGGGTTGAAAAACCGCTTCGCGGCTTTTCAACCCTGGCCCCGTCTAGGACCTACGAAAGTATTGACTTTGCATAATTACGGAAAACTGATCACCGAAAACTGAAAAGCACGCCCTCCCTTCCTTTTTATGAGCCATTTCCCCTTCCGGCGTATGCTAATTGCTTCCTAACAAAGAGCTTGGCTGAAAATTTTACAAAAATCTAATTTTAATATCGAAAATCGCAATTTTTCAAAACTTTTATGTGTGTGCAGTCGATTCGGGACCCTTCTTTACCTATTCACGCTTCTTCCCTATCGAAAAAATGCTTCCCTGAGGCTGTAGGTGCGGAACATCCAAACGGAAGTGCATGCAAATATACACACACACACACACAGACACTATTTTTTTATATATAGTAGGACAAGATCAAGTAAATCAAGTAATTTGATTTTACTTGATGCTTATTTAAGCAAACGGCGTAAAATAATTTTATATTTACTTGAAGATTTCGGATGCAAATAAAGTTGTTCAAGCAAATTTACTTGGTCATTATATTACTTGATTCGTAACATCTCTAAATAAAACCTGACTACCTACACTAACTATCCCCCCCAAGAATGGCACCTACCACAACATTTCCTTCCAACATCATTATCACCGCTACAACACACGCATTCATGTGCAACGTCAGCCCGGTGAATGGATAGATGCCGGTCGCTTCAGCCGCATAAAAGTCCTTGTAATCGAGCACGAAGCTGTACTCAGGGTAGTTCTGACAGAATCCATAACGTAAATTACTTATTTATAGTATTACCAGGGTTGAAAAACCGCTTCGCGGCTTTTCAACCCTGGCCCCGTCTTCTCTAATGATATTCTTGGCTTTGCATAATTTTCCCGGATTCGGATGACAAAAAATGAAAAATGCTCTCGCGGTCTCTTTATATAGGCTACCGCGGCTTCCGGTACATGCTAATTTGATCCTAACAAATTGCGGTGTCCGATTTTCCATGAAAAACCTAATTTTAATGTCGAAAACATCATATTTTGTAAAATCTGATATTTGTGCAGTCATCTCCAGCCCATTACGCACCTAATGACGTATCGAACATACCTCTAAGTACCTCCCCTCTTGAGATACTACTGGAACACGGTGACGGAAGTTGCATGCAAATGCACACACACACACACACACACACACAGACACTATTTTTTTATATATAGTAGGATTAATTTTGAAGGCAGAAGAAGTCAAGTTACCTTCAAAATTCCGACCATTATTGAGCCATTGCCAAGCTCGGCCCGACCAAGGGAGAGTGTGTGCACAAAGATTACGTTATAGAAGAAGTAGTGGCCCGCAAAAATTAGAGCTATGAGTGGCAGAGGGAATCTAAAGGTCCAAAAATCAACACCAAATGGGTTTATTGGAATTTCCGTGTTTCATTAAACCCGAGAAAGAGAGAGAGAGAGAGAGAGAGAGAGAGAGAGAGACAGAGAGAGAGCGAAACTCGGACTTCCGGCCTCTTATTTCTAAAATCTCACCGCAACCAGTGACCGGCGGGCAGAATTTGGCGGTGTCGGTACACCAAACACTGCGTTGTCGCAATGACCATATGGAAAAAGGTGACGGCTGCGATTTCCTGAACTGATATGCTTGCTCCAATTCTAGTTTTTTAGTGGTGCAAAAACGGGGTGTGCGTTCATCTCGCCGACGATCATTTCGCCGATTTTTTACTTCGCCGATTTATTATTTTGCCGATTTTTCTTTTCGCCGATTCATTATTTCGCCGAGCTTGGGGCAAAAATAGCAACAATGTATTTGGTAGAGTACCCCTAAGCTTAGGAATTATACCACAAGCGTAAGTATTATAAAGACCAGTGGAAAAAGACCGCTTCGCGGCCATTTTCCACTGGACCCGTCCAGGAACCATGAATTTGAATACCTTCGTTTTTTTAGCCTGCGGCGCCAGCGCCCGCGTTCCGCTAGGATCTGTGAGCCTGCGGCGCTAGTTACTGGTTTCTCGCCAGGATTTGGCCTGCGGCGCGAGAGCCCGAGCCAGGGACCTTTTCTTTGGCCTGCGGCGCTAGAGCGAGAGCCAGGCGTAAACCTCGCACACCGAGGGCCTAGGAATATGTTTTGTTGCCGAACTACCAAAAAGCAAAAATCAAATTCTCCCCGGATCCGAACTCACGACCCTGTGCGTGGTAGACCGAGCGCTAATCCACTACACAAAGGGGCAGATGGGAACAGGCAGCGGGAGAGGCCTCTTCTCTCCTGGGGGAGCGGGGGTGGGGGGCAAAGAAAAGGGCGACCCAATGATCCCGGAAGGGAGGCCTTCTGGTCACTTTCCAAAATTCAATTTTTGAGTCTGAATCTGCGAAAATTTTGTAAAGATAATAAGATGCGCGTGATCCCCACTATCGAATACATAAGTTGTCCAAATTCCAGCCCCAAATTCCATCAGGGCGTCGAGTTATCGCCTGGACACCACGGCCCGTGACGCGATTTATTAAGGAACTTCCAGAAAAATCCTTATAAAAACTTTATTTTAACGAATTTTGCAAAATCGGAAAAAATCTATCTGGGGAATTACTTTTGCCATCTTCCTTAAAAAAATTGAGGGCCCAATTCCCTCTAGGGGCCGAGAAAAGTTCCGGACAACGTGTGCACCCAAAAATGTTAAGGATTTTTCACATTTTTGCTTGTAAAATCGTTAAATCGAAGAATTTCAAAAAATGCAAAAAACCCTTTTTTTATGAATGGCATTTCCCACCTCCAAGCCAAAAATCAGCTCGAACTCGGCCTGACGGCCGAGAAAACGGCCGTACAGAAAACAAACATACTTTTCACGCTTATAGGATAGGATTTAAGGGGCTCAGAGGTACTTTACCGAATAAAGTGTCGCACGCGCAGTGGTATATCACATAAAATGAACGGAAATCAAAAACGGATCTATTATTTTCTGTAAAACTTACGCAAGACGTAACCACATTGATCTCATAAATTCGATAGAACCAGCCAGAGAACCGCGCAAATAGCGTCGGAAAGAAAACTTGCGGTTCGATGGCGTGCAGAAATTCTTCAAAAGCCATCGACCAAAACTAAAAAAGTCATGGTATACCATAGGCCCAAAAAGTTTTTATACCTGGTAATACAGCAACAGGTACTTGTACTTTTGCATCGATGGCGGCGATTTTTGGACGATTACGTAGACGGTAAAAAAATTCAAAAGTGTGCCGCAGACCAATACCATTCGCATAAAGAAGCAATAATATGTTGGCTCTTCATAGTTTAATGGTGTCATTTTCGCGGATTCAGCGATCAATGGAAAAGCTCATTCTGGACCGCAGGCTAGCAGGTGCTTTCCGCGAGTCTTAGCAATTAACGGAAACTTCTTTTTTTCTATTTTGCGTAGCCAATATGCCATTAAAAATTCAGATAAAGGTATTGAGCTAAAAACTCTGGCCTAGTACTTCCAAAAACCTATTTCATCATTTTTATCATATTCTCAGCTTTCTCAATTGAAATTTTAATTTATGATTTGAATTTTAAAAACTGAGAAAATATCTTTTTACGGATAAGCGGATTACGCTGGTCTCAAAATAGTTTAACTATTAAAAAATTTTCTTGGAGTCATCGCCTTTTTTAATGTCTGAAAGTTAAAATTTGTTCTCAACGCCCATAATACCTCTAAATTGTTCCGATTTTTGCATATTAGGAAATGTATAGTAATTTTTCGGGTTCTGGGCTGTATGCCGCACTTAAAAATCAATTATTTATGCAGATTTCCGATGCGCATGGTTCCAGCGGGTCACGACTATCGTCGTTTGCGCGACGCTCATCGTTTTCACGTTGGGTTGGGTTCTAAGAATATTCAAAGGCAAATGGCATAAACCAACGTTCCGTATCCCAGCGTTTTTAATAGATATTTTCGATACGGGTCCGTAAATAGTAATATTGTAATCGATGATATTGTTCCATGGCAGCTGTTGAACCAAAAGGCAAAATTTAGAAGGCCTAAAAGAATTTTAGAGAGTTGATTAATCGTAATTTTTGTAGACCAAGGCAACTTTATTCTATAAAAAATGTCTACCATTAGAAAATATAATAATTTTTATAATTATTAATTTTTTTCAATACCTGGATCAACAATCCAATCACCGACTTGCACCGCGGCAAATAGACCCCACGGAAAGAGGAGCGTCAAGTACGGAATTGCCAACTACAAATTAGTTATTGGTTTCGTTGAAATTAGTCGGACACCTGAAGGATCAGCCCCTTCATTAATTTCAGCTGCAGCCGTCTCGTTTGGGCGCTCAGCCGAACATGGCCATCAAGCATCCAGAACGAGTGCCCGATCAGGAAACCGCCCTAAACCTGGTCGTATACCCGAATTCAATGCCGTACAGAGTGTACGATCCGATGCTTCTGTCTAGAGTTAGAAGGGGGTTTTTTATTCGGGGCACCCTGTAGTTTTTGGCCTTCTATTTAATTTCCGCGCAAAACAAATGACAAACCACGAAAATCGCCTCCAAGCCGAGCAGCCCCGCGATGAGACAGGCATTCATTTGGAGGGTGAGCCCGGTAAAAGGGTAACTTCCGGTGGCGTCTCCCGCGAAAAAGTCGTCATAGTCGAGTACGAAGCTGTACTGGGGGTAGCGCTGAAACAGAGTGATGACTAACAAGGACCCCTTTTGTAGCGCTAGTTTCGGAATTTTTCGATGCAATATTGATGATTCGATCGAGCTTGAACGTTTGAGCAAAACCAATTTTTCCCATAATCCTTGAACGGCTACGGTGTTCGAGAAAATGTACACTGCAAGGTCTTGCCTCAGCTTTTTGGCTTGCGTTTAACAAATTGTAAACTTTCGAAAAAAACTATTTTTTTTTGACGGTGTTCAGTTTTGCAAAAAGTTTGCATTTAGAGCTTTTTGAAAACGGGGTGGCGTAAGGCTCTTCTCCATAAAGCTAGGAATTTAAAGCGCACGTTCAGGGAGGGGCCGTGTACTCGTCCCAACGTGTACTCCCTATGGACGTAGGGACCGCGCGCACGGCCTGCCCGTGCCGTGACAGGCCATTCCCCTCCTTTGCGGCGTGGGGCGCCCCTCGCCCCCTCGCCAGGTTGTAGCTGTGGCTGACTGGTATCCATCCGCGCCTCCCGAGCCGGGGGCCCGGGTTCGACCCCCGGCCGCGGCGGAAATCTTTGTTTTTTTCCAAAAAGACGTCCCTGAACGTGCCCTTTAAAACCGTAAAAATCATGAACGGCCTTTGTTTACTTTTTCGTTAACGGATTGAAGAAAATTTTTTTAAGAATCTGAACATATCTTCAAAATCTTTCGCATTATACGACCATCCCCAATCTCCGAGCTTCCCAGCGATAACGTATGTACAAATATGAAATCGTAAAAGATGTAATGGGCAATGAAGATTGCAGACCACCATGGACGCTTGAAGCTGGAACGATATACGATTAAACTATTAAACGATTGATCGTTAAGAAAAAAGTTTAAAAGTTTAAAAAGGTGGTATGGAAAAACCGATGGTACGACACCCTGTTACTAAATACTAATTTTAATACGACTAACTGTACGATATGTTTCTACAACCTACCGCATCCAATGGCCGACTGGCAAAATTTGGCGATGGCGATACACCAAGCACTTTGCGGTGCCAAAAACCATATGAAAAAAGCTGACCGCCCCAATTATCTGAATAGTTTGGCCTGTTTTTAGGCAAGGCGAATGAGTAATTACTTATTGGAAAAACCACTTACAAAAGCCGTAATTATATCCATGCGTAACGCCGTGAAAAGCCCGCTGGCCCGGACTAACAGTGTCGGGAAGAAGACCTGCGGCTCCAGTGCATGCAGAAATAGTTCAAATTCGATCGACCAAAACTAAGCTGAAATTGTTATAGCATTAATGTATTCATTACAACCTGATAGTATAGCAATAAATATCGATACTTCTGCATTGATTTCGGCGACTTTTGGATGATGACATAGACAGCGAGGGCATTTAATGAGGTACCAAATACCAAGCAAATTCGCAGGCATAAGATATAATACCGAGGATATTCGTATGTGAGGGTAGACATTATGGACGAAACTTCGACGCGAGCCCAGCCGCGCTGGTATCGCCCGCAGGTGCTTTCGGCGAACAAACTTTTTTTCTATAACCTTTTTTGTACCTGTGGTTCGATGCTTCATGCAAACTTTTTTTCTATAAACTGTTTTTTTTACATGTGCTGCTTTTCTGGTGCGTCAAAAAGCGTCCCTTTATTGGGCAGATAATTACATAAATACTACATATTTTCATTTAGCATCTCGTTAGCCTCCGCGTCTGTTTCGCCGTTGCGCGGCGAATGTCGATTCTTGGAGGGAGAAGCCGGAGGAATTTGGGCTGGGCAGAAATCGATCATATTTTGGAAATTTTTAAGGGAGAAGAGAGAGAGAGAGAGAGAGAGAGAGAGAGAGAGAGAGAGATAGTATCAGCGAGAAATGAGCCCAACTATAACGAATCAGTCTTTGAGGTAATTGCACTGAATGACTGACTCTTTCCATCGCTCTCTCTCGCTCGCTTGCTTTCCCTCTCGCTCTCTCGAAACGCTTTCAACTCTCAAACGAGATGAAACTAAAGAAAGAGTGCGAGAGAGAGCCAGTCAGTAAAAGAAAGACAAAGCTTGTGAGAGAGAGAGAGAGAGAGAGAGAGAGGGGGGGGGAGAGAGAGCTATAAAAAAAGCTGATATTTTTCTTGTAAAACCCACCAATATGTTAATCTGCAATCCTTTATAATATTTTGCGGTCAATCGATGATTGTACATAGTTGTACATACACGTAATAGCGCTGATAAAACAGAGGACATCATATGAAATTATTATGATCGATTGATACGGTTCCGGGTTGACCAATAATAACAAACTCGTAAATGCATTTATGAATTAAAAGCCGTTTGCCCAGACAAACTCCACAGGTGCAAATTCTGGGGCGATGGAAATTAGGTTGAAGGGAATCGGCAAGCTTGTCTAGTCGGGCGGAAAATTGTTTTTTTTTCGGTTCGGAAAGCTTTCCGATTTTTACGTTGTGCTCGATGAGTTTGCCATCAGCAACAAGTGATTTGTCGAAATGTCGAAAATCTTATTGTGATCATAATGGGGGGAACCGCGATTGGCTGCTGAAAACCGTGTTGATGGAGTGGCGCATAAGTAACAGTCGGGTATATCTGACACAAATCCATTTATTTGCATCTTTATTTGAGGACTAGCAGATTGGCCCAGCGCTTGTCTTTTTGCCTGCGTCGCTTCGCGGCTTCCATGGATTCCTGGACCGAGAAGCTGGATGTGTTTGGACTTGGCTGCAAAACGTTGTGGAATAAATGCGAGGTACAGAAAGAGTGAGGGAGAGAGATAGAGCGAGAGCGAGAGAGAGAGAGATAGAGAAAAAGCGAGTGGATGTGATATGGAAGATCAGCTGAAATCGTGCCTGAATTTGTAAAAATTGCTGCTTCAAGGCGCGCCATGACGACTTGCAGACGAGCATTACGGTAAAATTGTTTACAATGGAGCAAGTAATAGCAAAGAGCCCCGACATCGAGCCGACCCAGAGCACGACACCGCCTTAAACGACGGCTCTACACTGTGTTTTTGGAGTCGGACTCACTTAATGACCCCATTTCATCCATGACGTTGCTGAATGTACCCCACAATCTGAACGACAGCGCCGTCACGCCGAGGACGACGCTGTTGATGCCCTGAATAGTGATGGAAAGGAGCGAAACCGCGAGAAAGGGAGTGAGAGTGAGAGAGAGAGTGAGAGAGCGAGTGAGAGGGGGAAAAATAGGCAGAGAGAGAGCGAGAGAGAGAAGGTCAGAGAGGCCAGGAGAGATCTGGCTATATAAAAAATGCATTCACTGTACCTGCAGTGTAAAAAGATGGGCAAATGTGCGCACCATCGCGCGAGCTTTTGCCGATTTGAAGGTACTCGTTCTCAAATACCCATCGATCCAGACATCACGCACCGTCCAGATGTACGCCAGCGACACCAAGAAGCAACACAGCGAGCCGAATCTCAGGAGTTGCGGGTCCGTCTTCGCTTCGTGAGGGACGGAACGCGTAGACCACCTCACAAAGTTCGGCGGGGAAATGTTCGCAGACCTGAAAGAGTGAGAGAGTGTGCGAGAGAGAGGGAAAGAGAGAAAGAAAGAGAGAGAGAGCGAGCAGGAACCGTACCTCTTGGCCCTCATACAGACCATCGTTGATCGCATCTAACAGCAGACTCCCGAAAAGCGACCCTGCGTACAGGAAGAAAAACGCGATAATAATGCCCTTAAATTCTTACAATTTAATTCCTAAGCGGTGGCGGATACCAGGACAATGAAATAAAACCGGCTACCGCGTTGCAGTTCCAGCGCCTCGCGCTTGGAGACGCCGGTGAACAGCCAGGAGCAACCCTTGTACCCATTTAGGACTTCGGTCGTGGTCTAGTGGGGATGATTTCAGCTCCTCTCTCTCTCTCTCTCTCTCTCTCTCTCTCTCTCCCTCGCTTCCTCACTTACATACAAGACACCATGGACTTCCGCCGACATGTATGGTCCGAAAAATCTGTAGCACGTGTACGGCAGCACCGGCTTCATCAGGGAACATATCGAATCAGCTATCAGGGATGTGATCTAGGAATGTGGATAGATTTCTTGGACCTTGCGACATAGTGACAGAATGAGGCAGAGAGAGAGAGATCGCGAGAGAGTGAGAGTGAGAACGAGTGAGAGAGGGAGAGATAGTGTGATACATGAATAGAGAAAGAGGTCGGGAGAGAGAGAGAGAGAGAGAGAGAGAGAGAGAGATAAGCAGATAATGTTATCCATTAACCCACCAAAACATTGATTTGCAGTGCCTTAAAGTATCTGTTGGCTAGCCGATGGCTGTACATTAAATATACAGCCAAAAGCCCAGTGATCATACTGACGCTCCAAAGGATATTGTACAAGAGAGCAATGGTGAATTCCTGCGGATCCGGGTTGAGCATGACCCGCCGTGGCAAGTGAGAATCGGGCAAGATGAGGAGCAACGAGCCTACGCCGTTACGCGCTAAGGCTTTCCCAAATGGGTATCGCAGGTGGAAACTAACCAGGTGAAAGCACGGATTCGTTTATGAAAAAATGCGCAAAACGAAAGACACGGTTGGATATTATGCCCGTGGAATTTCTAGTGTCTGTGGATTAGAAATGAGCGAGGCAAGGATACCGAGTGTCGTTGAGGGTCGCTTTTTTTAATGTGGTGAAGGACTTTGGAATGGGATTTCGTGCAGAATTTTGCTATTTAGCTGATCAAAAACTTTAACGTGATTATTCCGTTCAACCCGAATATGATTACCGTTTCTTTTGCGGAAGCGCCATTTCGTAGAAAGTTATGAACGTCTTAAACCCAAAAACACGACAAGTCAGGAACTTTCGATGGCCGAAATTTCGTAGCCATCCTCAATTCGGCATGGGTTGCTAGCAAAAACCAGCAAAGACTAGTGGGAGAGAGAAAGAGGGAGAGAGAGAGAGAGAGAGAGAGAGAGAGAGAAAGAGAGAGAGGGAGGGGAGAGAGAGAGAGAGAGAGAGAGAGAGAGAGAGAGAGAGAGAGAGAAAGAGAGAGAGGGAGGGGGAGCGAGAGAGAGAGAGAGAGTGTGCGTGAGAGAGACCGAGAGCGCGAGAGAGAAAGAGAAAGAAAAGAGAGAGCTGGAGTGAAAATTGGAGCCCGTGGAATGTCGGATTGTACGGATGTTCCGTAATGTTGAACGAGCGACACCATGGCTGTGTGGTCTTTCTGTCTGGTCAGTCGATGCTACGCAATGCTCTCTACAGTTTTAGCATCAGGTAAGCGGACTTTATTAAATACCATGTATATTCGTCTGGAATCGGGTTCCACCTACGAAAGGGATAATTGAAAGCGAAAATCTAGCCGCTGTTGGCAGCTGTCAAGTAGCGTTTTTACTTTCTAGCAACGAGATCAGTTGAAGATTTTGCTTTTGTCAATCTTTCCGATCTCTTTTCTTTCTTATTGGGCTAAGCTAAGCCTAAGCTAAGCCTAAGCTAAGTCTAAGGCCCTGCCTAAGTAAAGCCTAAGCTGAACCTAAGCGAAGCCTAAACTATGCCTAAGCTAAGCCTAATCTGAGCCTTAGCTGAGCCTAAGCTAAGCCTAAGCTAAGCCTGATCTCAGCCTAAGCTAAGCCTAAGCCAAGCCTAAGGCCATGCCTAAGCTAAGCCTAAGCTAAGCCTACGCTAAGCCTAAGCTGATCCTCAGTTAAGTTAAATCGCTAATTTTCTTCTTTTCATAGCAGCTTATAACTATCTCCCTGTCATTTGCCAATTTCCAAAGTATCAAACACAAATCCGCGCCCATTTTTAAGCTTTTAACCCGTTAAGCCCGCGCAACATTCCCCATGTCGTGCTCAAGCGTTTCGAGCCACGTGCTGCCGAACACACCACTCATTTTAACACCCCCTATAAAAGGATCGCGCCACGCGAGAGTTAAACCCTCGGACAACAGGGGGGATTTGCACCGTAGTACCCGCCCCCAATTACCATGTCTGTATGTGGGAGCGTGAGGTTCGACCTCACGCGTTTTTTGCACGCGAAAAGCACGGAGCGTCTGGCCCCTCGTGGGCGACTCGTGGCTACGCTTGGTTACTCGAGCTTTACCTGCAAGTTTTATACTTTACCGCTCACACCGTTTCGGTGTTCCGTTGCGGTTAGAACGCGGAAATCCGTATTTTAAGGTGACTTTACGACCGTGGTAGCGAAAAGTTGCGCCGGAACTCCCACGGCCAGTAGGTACGCCTACCAATCCGGGGTGGTATTTATAGCACGTCCGTGGTAGCCTAGTACGCGCAGTAGTACTGTAAGCGTCAATACCGTAGTTCCGGGCCCTCCTTCGTCTCCTTTTTGTCATTTACGTGGCGCACGGCGCCGTAATTCGCTTCAAAGCGTAGGTACGAACAGTACTATTGCGATAACGTTCGTTTTAAGCTCGTCGCCCTATAGATATTCGTGTTTTTCGCATGCGTTGAATTGTTCGTTTACTGCGTAGTCGAAAGTACCTTGAATAGATATTTTTCTGTGTCCAGATAGCCGTTGCGTAGCTTACCTTGCCGGTTGCTAGGTTTTTCCACCGTGGTACGTCAACTACGCCCTAGTAGGCCTTTTAGAAAATTAGCACGTTAGGCTACGTATTAGGTCAGTTTGTGCTTAGTTTGTAACGCTAGACATTCGCACGTTGAGGCGTTGTGCGTTAGGCGGTTAGTACCCGACGCTACACTACGCTACGCTGTACTACCGCGTGGTGTGTGGAGCTACGTTCCAGGAGTACATATTTCAAGGCGGTTTCTAACGCTGTCCCTGGCCTACGGAACCTCTCGATACGTTTCGTACGCATAGGTTTTTGGCTCTCGTCTTCCAAACCGTATCCAGTTGTCAAAACGTACCTAAAGATTCCCGGACCTGCAAACCTACCTGACTCTGGTCTTCCCCAAAAATAGAGAACCCGGCGCTGACCGCCAGACCAGCACCACCCCAATCACGATCAACAAAAACGCTGGTGCTTTGCATGAAATTTCGACCAAAATTCAGCGCCCGCTTGCAGGCGCGTGTACAAAAACGCACGTGAACGTGGTGATACCCAGTCCCGCAAAATGTTTTGCCGCAGGGGCCGCTGGATTTCGGTGCTAATGGATTTGCATACGGAATTGGCGGTCCGGTGGTTTGGGGGTGGGCAGGTGAAGGATCACTTTCGGGCCCCGCTTGATGTTGTTCCGGAAAATTCCAAGGCTTGCCTATATAAATGTTGCGCTGGGACTTTTAGTTTAACTTGAGTCTACTACCGTAACTTAGAATTTCTCTCTCTCTCCCTCTATGTCTCTCCCGCTCTCTCTCGCCCTATCTCTCTCACTCTATGTCTCTCTCGCGCGCTCTCTCTCTCTCGCTCTCCCGCTCTCTCTCACTATCTATCTTTCACTCTCTCTCTCTCTCTCTCTCTCTCTCTCTCTCTCTCTCTTTCTCTCGCTTGTTTCAGAACTAGCAGTTAATTTTGCTGACCAAGCTAAATAAAATTAGTTCCTAAATGTTTTAAATGGAATCTCAAGAATTTTAATGTTGTAACAGTTTTGAAAAATTTAATTCCTCGTTCTCAACATTCTTCATCCAAACACCAAGAAAACACTAAGCCCAACATCAGATATTCCCCACATTTTTTGTGTATATTTCGGTGGTTTTATTGGACTTTTCGAACGATTCATGAATTTCCAATGACCAACGCATTGTCTTGACGATGGCCATATATCAAAAACCGTCTTTAATGCCAGGTTGACATAAATCAAACCGATCCACGAGAAACAAAAAAAAGATTATCACCCTTGTTTGGGTTCAACCATGTTCCACCCGAGTGTACGCTCGCGTCCGAATTATCGCGGGGGTTGAAAAAGTTCGTACATGTGTACTTCCGTAATTTTGTTCCTCTGGCTCATGAAAATTGCCATTTATTTTGAATTTTAATTACTTAAGATTTATAGCTCCAAAATAAAACCTCTAAAATAGTAATTTTTTAACTTTTCATTTTTATCTAAAATTTAATTAGCTCCAAATTGTCGAAACTCGGCATTTTTATGTATTGAAAAATACTCGTCCCAGCCGGATAAGCCCTCCCCCCCCCCCCGTTAAAGCAAAAGCACTTAAAAACAACAGTTATGATTAAACTCAAAATCAGACTTTGAAAAATTCGAATTTTCATTTTTGTGACATCTTGTAGCGTCTGCTAGACTCTGGTCTTTTTTGAACCCTGTGCTGTTGTAAAACGCATCATTTTGTGTGGGCTGGGGGTGCATTAGAAGCTTCCAGACGTTGCATCCGACTGACCCGTCTGGCCGTTCTTTTTTGTGTTGTTTTTTTCTGCAGCCCTCAAAAGCACCCGCGGCGCACTTGGATTTTCTCACACAACGACCAAATCCCATTTTCCTGGAACGGAATTCCCGGCCGGGGAACTTCATGCGAATTATAGGGATGCCTTTTCGGATAAAATTAGGGATTACCTACCTAGAGCTTACGATTAGATTTTATATAACGATTGTTTCTCGGAAATTTAAAATTGCACCAGTTTCCAACTTACAATAATTTATTTTTTCTCAGTTTATCTAGAAAATTCCAAAATTAAACTCTGTAAAATTTACGTTGGCTAAAAATTTAGAAATTTGGATTTTGAAATTCGTCGATTAATTCGTTTTACGCCTTTTTTCCAAAATGCAAATGCTTATCAAAATTTGCAGATCCAGGGCTTACAAAAACGTTTTGTTTTAACTGCAGAAAACCGAAACAACGGGCAAAAATATACATAAAAAAGCCGTCCTGTGACGCAGTTTTTGCATATGCAGAGGCAGGAAAACTGTGATGACGTTGTTTCACGGGTTTTGTTTTCAATTTTGGCTGCGGTTCTGGAATATACATAAAATGCAGCAATCCTCAGAATTTTGTAGCCTTTGCGGGCGTTTTTTATCTCTTAAAAACCTGAAAATGCAAGTTTACAATTTATGCAGCCGACGAGATTTTTGCTCTGCTTGTATTGGCCAAGCGTCATTTCCTTTGTGATTCGGGGCTGATCAAACGCATTTGTTTGCAAGTTCATGAGGGGGGAAACAGCCGCTGCCCGCTGGGCGGACATTCCACACTGGCCACCGTGATTTTTGGTTACTAAATTAATTTGGTTAGATTAAAATTACTAATTAATGATCTCATTCTCATTGTTGAGTTTTGGTAGGTCAAACGAGTGGTTGGAGAATTCAAAATTCTGTTTCCCGCTTTTTTAATAACTTTTCGATTTTTTCAGAATCTTGTGAAACTCTCTAACTTTCATTTAGGGCCTATTGGCGCCGTTTTTAAATTTTAAATTGCTAATTTTGAAAATAAATTTTATTTGACATAATTCCAGGTCCCCTCCCCTTGCAAATGCTCTCCGGGAACTCGACTGGGTCCCTCGATGGCCCGCTCCCTGATCCGGTTTTCGGGCTCATTTCCACGATATTCTGCGTCCTGTTCTATGGATCGGCATTTACACCGATGAAGCTGTATGACGGAGGGGATGGTAAGTGAGGCGGAAAATTTCAGTTTCGAACGTCATAAAAATAAACCACAGCTCGAGAGCGACAAGTACGCTCTCCAGCGCGTACTTATCTAATTCTAGCTGCTAGGTGTAAATTTGGGCCTTCCTAGTCCCTTTAAAAATTTCGAATGCTAATTTTCAAATATATTTTAGGAGTATTCGTGCAGTGGATGATGGCCTGCGGGCAAATGCTACCGGCATTTGTATTGGCGTGGAAAACGAATTTTCCACCGATCTATCCGACGGCCATGATTGGCGGGGTGGCATACTCGATTGGTGGGTTATAAAAAATTGTCTGTAGCGCGTATGCTTTATATTATAAGCGCTTATTCCCACCTTAATTTTTACGCTTCTCCGCCTCCTCTATACAACAAACAACTGCTTTTCAGCAAACTGCTTTACCGTACCCATCATGGCAATCCTGGGTATGACACTGGCGCCGTTGCTGTGGAATTCGACGACTTGTCTTGTTGGCTGGGCGGTTGGGAAGTAAGTTTCAGATACGTTAACTAGCTTAAAAATGCTTTGAATTTTCAATGATCGCTTGTATTATCAAACCGAAATACCTTCCGATGTTGTAAAATAATCACAAAAATATCGATTTTTCTACCAAAATCTCGATTTTTTGAGCATTCGTTGAGTTTTTAAAGGCGTGCAATATAGTTAAATTTTACTAAAAAGACTATGAAAGACTTAAACTTACTAATACAACAAAAAATCGCAAGTATCTATTTATTTTAGCTTCGGTCTCTTCGGTGTGCCTCAATCCGGGGCTCAAGTGGCTTGGCTAAACAAGCTCGGGCTCGTTGCCGTCATCGTTGGGTAGGTTATAACCTTTTTCACTACAAGATAATGCAGATGAAAAATATACCCAGTTAGTACCATTAGTTAAATCAATAAACTACAATATACAACCTCTTTTTAGTGGTGGCCTCTGCACGACCGTCAAGAGCAAGTCGAACCCGCTGATTCGCTCAAACTTGTCAACTCGCTCAAAGGTAGGACAACGCCAGCCTCTGGAATTTCAACTAACAATAATCTCAAAAAAATGTAGTGAATTTATCGTTTAAATACCTTATTTTTCTTTAGGTATTTGAAGAAGATCAAGCTCAATATCGCACAAAATCGCTCATCAAAATGGAGGAGCAAGCCGAGCCGGTGTGCTCGACGAGGCGATTTATGTAAATTTTTATATACCAATAGTTTTACGGCATTTAATGTAAATTACCATAATTAATTTAACCTTGATCCTTAAACTATTTCACGTTTCAAATATTCAAATTTAGTTCCATCGCCGTCGCCCTCTGCCTCGGGCTGATTTATGGGAATTTGTTGACTCCAATCAGTGCGTTAGTGGCGGTAAGTTTATATAAAATAACTCTTTAAAATCTGCTTTATATTTCAGCGATTTTAATTAAAATATACCTCTCATTAATGCTCATTTAGCACGCCGAAGAGTGGGGAGTACCAAATCAAGTGGAACCCTACTTGTTCTCGCACTTCTTGGGTGCCTTTCTCTCCAGCACTGTGATTTTTATCTTCTATGGCGTTATGAGGTAAGTAGATCTGAAGTAGACATTGAATTAGTCTATTTATTAGATCTCTATGTAATTATATAACCCAATTGACTTTAGGAAAAACGACCCAGCGATAAATCAGCAAATCTGCCTCCCGGCTATGCTCTCTGGCTGCCTTTTTGGCACCGGGGAGATTTTATTCTTTGTGGCGAATCATCATTTGTCACAGGTTGGTGTATTATTTTAATTATTTTTGACTTTTGGCATCAATAAATGTATATGATTAACGTACTTCTTTAGGTAATCGCCTTCCCGATCATCACCGCAATGCCCGGGCTAATCAACTCGTTCTGGGGGATTTGTCTATTTAAGGAGATTCAGGTTTGTAAATTTACTAATTTCGGATTGGCTTTTCGCTGGCAAGCTAGCGAAGGGCATTAAGGAACCTAGCACTAATTTAATAGATGCAAACAGTAGCGTATAATAGCATCGAGAGTGCGCGATACCTGTGCGCATAGAAATGTAGTGTACTCCCCTGCTGACCTACGCGGGGCTCCTTTGTACACCGTTACACTGTGCGTCCTTAGATGCCAAATTTTAGGAGATGATTTTAGATGATTAGAAGTTCCGTAATTTTCGCCCTTTGAAAATTTTGCCGCGCCCGCGACAAGCAACGCGCGTTAAATGGCCGGCTTGAATTCAGCGCATTTCATTACGCAATGAAAATATAATATATACCTCTATATCGATACGATTTTACAATCGTGGCTTAACTATAATTTTAAGCAGAATCACAGGATTTAAAGGAACCCAAAAGGCAAAAAGCTAAATTTTTGAGCAAAATGTCGTCAACCACCTTTTCTAATTTTATTATAAATTTTTTGCGGTCTTTTTAAAAATTTTGAGGTTTTCTGATCGGCTGAAAATAAGAATAGCGCTCAAAAATCGCGCGATAACTGATGCTCAATTTTTTCTCGACACGGAGCTTCAACACCCCCCGTTTTTTGCAGGGCAGCTCGAATTTAATCCGCCTCGCCGTGGCTTACCTGGTGACCGTTGGAGGGGTGTTGATGATCACGTTGAGTCGCTTCGAACTGTGAGCCCCGGGAATTTTTCGGGGAGTTTTTGAGCATGAGAATCCGATGGAGTATGATGCTTTTGGTTGTTGTTACTTTGTTTTGAAACTTCTTCATTGAAGAAAAGGCTAAAAACAAAGAATGGAAGTGATACCGGTACCCGCAAAATTTATAGGCCACATATTTTTCACTTGATGTCATTTGCCTTGGTGATGTTCTCGAACTTTGCTTTGTTGATATGGGTAATATTTGCATGTGCACGGAATAAAGTTATTTATTTTTTATGAAAGTTAAGAATACTAATAAGAATAGGCTACAACCTACAAACTTCAACACGTGGAAGGAAATCAATTTTCCAAATTTTATTGGGATTAGTTACAAACTATAAATTACGATTCTATGTATAAGATAAGGTTCCTACAGTTGGTAATTTAAATTTTGTAATTGTCTTAATTGAATGTAAAAGCTCTAAGAAGGTGCCAATGAATCAAAATCTAGGTTTACAGGAGTTTCGTTACGGTTTTTTACCCTCCCACGTTTTTTTTCCAGGAAGATTTCAAGGTATGTAATTTATTAAGAATTTTTGCGCACTAAAAGCTGCGCTAAAACTTTATTTAAACCTTAAAAAGCCCCATTCGGCTTGTAAACGGCCCAAACCACCTGGCCAACATGCAAAAACCCGGACCGGTTCATCCCCGTGTGAACGCCAAAAATCGGTGCTTTCCCAATCGATTTGGCCATGTTGTCGGTGGGCAACCGGAAGCTGAAAAAAAAGACACATAATGGATAAAATTAACAAAAGAAATCGTTCTAAGCCATTTTTTAAATTAAATTTTTAGGCTCCTGAAATCGCTCACTAGAATGCATGAACGTTAGATTTAAGCAAAGTTGATTCGACCAGTAATTTAAAAAAAAAGAATTAAGTCGTCAAAAATTATTTAATTCTTTAACTTGCCTCTGCAACGTCTTAAAAGGTTCTTCAGCTGCCTTTTGGCCAATTTCGGGATCGATTTTGGTCATGGAACATCTGAAAAGTTACAACTTTATTTTTTAAGATTTTTTACCGATCGCAAGACCTGTAGCACTCCATCTCAGCAGCATCTGAATCTGGGCGCGCACCGAAGCTATAAAAAAAATATCTTCAAAATGCGTTGCGCGCGAAAATACCGTAATCGATCCCATTTATCCTCATCCCAAGCCGGGCATCCTTCTACGACAATGTTTGGGCGGAAGCGGACGTTGGTTACCTGAAAATTTTCGAGATTTCCCAGATTCGTTTGAAAACTTGAAAAAATATTTTTAGAAAAGCAGTGACTGCATTAATGATTCAGGTACCTGCTTTTCCAATCGCTCATTCAAATCGTCCAGAGAAGCTTGCGTAGTGATCATATAAGGCGTGGCATCGGAAAATGGAAACTAAAAAAGCTGATGAACGTAAAAGTTTAAATAAAACGAAAACTAAATGAAATTCGCCAGTCAAGACTAGAGTGTGTCGTGTTTGAATAATTATTTGAATATATTCGAGCCTGCTCAAATAAATTATTTGAAGGCATCCCGGAAATTATTCAAATAATCGGTCAAATAACGGAACCACCCCCGCTCCGATTCAAATATATTTGAACATATTCAAATAAAGCCGAGCTGGACAAGCTCAACGAAATTTGAAAAATCGCGCCCATGGATTCAAGAAGGGCCTTTGTTGAACCTAGAATAGCAACGCCGACCATTACCTAGATACTATAATGCCGAATAGTGAAAAATGACGGTATATTTCGGTATTTCGGGATTGTTAGGGTTTCCAGTTTTTCGGTGATCGGAATCAGCGGCAGACAACCAAAGTGCCTATCGGCTCGCCAAGCGCAATATAACAACTGTCAGAATGCCGACTTGAAAATGCCGACGTGCTAAATGCCGAAACGCGAAAATGCCGACGGGAGGTTTTGTTCTGAAATGCAATGCTAACATCTATATCGAAACCTTTTTGTGTCGGCATTTTTGTTGTCGATATTTTTGATGCCGGTATTCTGCGAAAATGGCGTTGCAGGGCTATGCGACATTTGGCGGTTGATATTTTAGCCCAACTGGTCTTGAAATTTGACATTTCTTATTTGAATCAAAGATTTGACTAGGTTTTGTCAAAAGGAGAGCGATTTGACAAAGCTCGGCTTTATTTGAACATGTTCAAATATATTTGAATCGGCACTCCGGGAGAACGGTTATTCAAATAACGGTTCTGGATTATTTGAATATCCATTATTTGGATTTATTTATTCAAAGTGGATTTGTATTTGCAAACGACACACTCTAGTCAAGACCAAAAATAGAAATCATCAAAATTTACATCATCCTCCCGCTTCGGCACCACATTGTTATTCCACCAATTATCATCTGTTGGTGTTATCCGTTCGTTGTACAGCCCCGGAATATGCATGACGAGACGGGCGGCCGAAATTGTCGCCATTTTTTTAACTCGAAATTGACTGACGTTCTTCAACAACTTTTGTAAAGAATTCAGCCGCTTCATCTCCACAGTCGTAGCCGTCTTGACGCTGGTTATTGAATAACCTAAAAAAGTTATAAGTAGAATAAATTTCTAGAGTTTCTGAATCCTTTTCTTCCGTTTTTTTTTACTTACGTGGCTTGCACAATCTTGGCCCTGCCTCTGATCGATTCCAAGGAAACTTGAAGCTTCTCTTCCTTGAAGCTCAAGCTCAAAAATCCATCATTTATATCCGCTTCCACGAGTAATAATTGCGGCTTCCCGCGGCCGGTAAAGAAACTAAAATATCTTATACGAGATTTTTGACGACTGACTGGCTATTTGCATCTACGACCAAAAATTGACGATCAGAAATCTCTCCGGAGCTACCGCAGAGAAAATCGCATTTCATGGAGAATACCTGAAATAACCAAATTAGGTTTTTCGATAAATACAGTTTAATGGCCAAAATCAAAACATATAAAAGACTTTTTAACTTAAAAATATTTACCGATACGGCCTTTCCGGATTTGACCGGAAAGAGGTAGAGCTCTTTGATTCTTCCGATTGGGATCCATTCTTCAGTAGATTTACGATGTCGATACAGGATGAGTTTGAGAATCTGAATAAAATTATTCGTATTACATTTTATGCGTATAATATACGTTCAAATGTATTACATATAACATGACAAAACAGCTAATTATAATTCCTACCTTATAGCCTAGAATCGAACCACCAACGAATGCTGATAAAATCGCCAAGTCATTTTTGGGGTTCATCCTCTGAAACATTGCAAAAAAATTCGAAGAAATGATTTAAAAACCTGCTCGACGAAGTCCAGAAAAAAGCTGCTAGACGTCCTTATCAGATCTCTGATCTGTGTTTTTCTTATCAATGGCAAAAAGGTGGCCAGATATCGATTTTCTGTGATTTCTGTGACCGTTTTGAATGTCTTGGATTAATCGGATGCTTTCACATATTTATTTTTGTATAATAATTTAGCTTTATTGTGCTGTATTTACGATAAAAATATTTCGAGATCACTACAGTTTGAATGGGCCCAAATCCGCATCCGCAAATCCGCGAATAACTCAGCAAGTTGGGCCGGCTTCCGTGCAGGCATAGGCGAGGTCAGTGTACTGAAAATTGATTCTTTTTACGTCGCGCTTGAAAAAAACACAGAATTGAAATTCAGAAACAGCCTAGTTCGCTAATTTCGGAAATCTGATCACCACTAGACATCGATCAAATTGTCGAATTTTTTCGAAAAAAGGTTACATTCATTAATACCCCGTTAAAACTGCCACGTACACTTTTATCCGGTTGCACGTCAGCTATAAATAACCATGTACCAGTCGCGCTGCAGACAATCGATGCGGGCATCACCGTTTTCTTGCAATCTTGGCCAAAATTGAACCATTGACCGTCCTAAAGTTTGGGTAGGGCGCCAACCTGTGTGAGAAGACTGTTTAAAATTAGCAAAAAAGAGTTAATGGGTAAAAAGGTAACGAATCTGAAAATAATGAAACATTATTAAACGATTATTGTAGTCTAGGAGCACAAAATATTGATGAAATTTTTTGACACTAAATAGAATTCTGGTACTTCCTCATCATCATTTTTTGGTGCAATTTTTCCATAACAAAAAAGTTTTGCATACGAAGCGGCCCTGAAAACCCACGATTCGCGCATCGACAAGCATACAGGGTGCGGCAAAAGTATTGTCGCGGCTTTCCGCCGACTGTATCTGCGAGGAAATTTGACAGATATTCTAGCCAAAAATTTATTTTATGCAGTTTGTAATGCTTTATCCGATGATAAGATTTACTTATAGAATTTTTGCTTTTTTTCGCTAGGAGAACTTTTTCAAAAAACCCTGCAATTTCAAGCCTAAAAACTGCTTTTTAGACGCTCTCTAGGCGGCCAAAGAATGGTATCTACGCCAAGCTTCTTATTTCATTTGAAAGAGCATATAAAACTCTGCCTGAGAAACCATCAACCAAAGAATGTTGCGGCTCCCTTTTTGAGGGAGCCCTATTCAAAGAAAAGGCAAACCCAGTGCGCCGCACATGGTCGCACCGTATGCAAAAGCGAGATTGTGTCGTGCGCAAAGCAATGATAGCCTTGCTAATTGTCTCTGGTTGATTCATGCTGTTTTTGATATATTCCCGAAGTTTGAGCATAGTCCTGACCTGACCCATCCTGACCAGATTCGAAAACATAAGCTTCCATACCTGCTTGCAAATGCAAAATCAATTTTTTCAAACCAGCGGTGGATAGCGATCAGGATTAGCGCATCATGCACATTAAAATAAGCACAGGAAGCATAATAATATAATGTTACGTCATCCCCTGAGAGCCCCTTCAGAAACTAAAAACCCAAAAAGCCCAAGCTTCTCGCGAAACCGGCCAGATTAGCCGATTTTCGTCAAACATGGCTGAGGCCATAACTCCTTCAAATCACAAAATTATAAGATTTCCATTTTGGACGAAGGAGAACAAAGCAAATGCTACCAGAAACACATATGAAAAGTTATGGTGACACGTAGTCTCCGAATTTAGAACCCTATTTCGACGAACTGAGGGCGCGGCGCACCGTGATTTTTGGTCGTGTACATCATGCAATAAAACTCGCTCAAAAATTATGATTCCAAGAAACTTTCAAAAGCATATTGCTGCCTTGGACCTGTCTGAAGCTAGCCCTGTTGACAAAACTTCCCGATTTTTTGTCGTGAATCAGATATGAGACAAAAGCTCGCGACAATACTTTTGCCGCACCCTGTAAATCCATCGCCGGTGCAGGTTAGCGAAGCGGTCTTGCAACCGTCAGCGTGCTTACTGATTGTTCTCGATATGCCATATTCTTCTACCTGTGCTCACTTATAGGCAAAGACGCCGATCCCTTGCTTAGCATCTTCAAGATCGCCGGGGATGATGGCGAGAGTTTCGGCGCATGAGGTGCAAGCTGAGAAGTTGGTTTACGAATTTTCTCGCTGACGTTTACATATGCCGGGCGCCGTTGTCATTGTCGTAGTTGTAGCTGTGGTCGTGGCTTCTGTAGCCGTTGTCGATGTTGTGGTCAAAGGAGTCGTTGTCCTCGGAGTCGTCGCCCTACTTGTCGTTGTTGTGACCCTGAAAATGTGAATTTTTTGCGAAAAAAATTATACTAAGCGCTTCACTCAAGCTGAGAAACGGTAAAATAACATCGCTATGGCAAAGGCGAAAAAATCAGGAAGTAAACTACAGTAGACAACTTACGGAGCTCCCATTCGCATGCAAGCCTCGCTTACAGCGTATAAAATCAATAAATGTAGGGGCGTGCTCCAAAAGTATCCGAGAAACGAGGGCATAGAGTTTTCGATCCTGTTTCAGATGTGCTTGATCAGGGCTAGTCGGGATCCCCGGCTGGTGGTCGTTATATAGCGCTTCACAGGGGGCTGGCGAGCGTTGTGGCAAAAAAATTCCCGCCAAGGAATCATGCCGATATGGCTCGAGCGAAAAATCGTGATTAATGGCTCATCAGCACCTATGCGCTCCGCGCCCATTGAAATGGATGGTCAATTGTCCTGAGATCATAAAGCTATGAACACTCGAAGTGACCGAAAATTTGTGTTGGGAGCAGAGAACCAATAAAAAAAATTATTTTAACGATATAACAGTTAATCTTTGTATAATTTTTCAGAATAATTTTGCGAGATCAGCTCCTATAGGAAGCCCGAATAAAAAATTGAGGTAGATTCAGCAAGTCGGACTGGCTTCTGTGCACGCGTAGTCGACGGGGGAGTACTGAAATGCGGAAAAATCTGGTGAGCTTGGAGTATGACTTACGAAAGTACCGGGTTGTACGGCCGGCTCGAACTGCCAGACTCCCATATTATCACAGACAATGTTGCCCTCCAGAACTGTCGTCATGCAGTCCTGGCCGAACGCGAACCACTCGCCATTCTAAAAAAGTGTTATAAATATTTTGTAATTTATTGTTAATTTTGAATTAAATTAATTTACTAAGTATTGCTAAATTTCTTCAAGCTTCATTCAAATTTGTTCCTGTCTAAGAAAACCACTCACTACTCTGGCGCTGGCCAGAACAAATCCAGGAGCCGAGCAACTCAGGGAGGCCGTGATACATCCGGCCGCATTTGGGCTGAAACATCGTAGTTAGCGATGGCGGGAGAAAAGAGAGAGAGAGAGAGAGACAGACAAAGAGAGAGAGAGAGCGTTCCCAACCTGTACGTAAAGGTGCCAGTTCCCTGCGGAGCACCAGGCAGATCATCTTCCGGGATAATTGCCAGATTTTGAGCGCAAGAGGCACAGACTGAAACATGAGATTACCGTCAAAGCCGCAAAACTGTACCTGGGGTTGTTGTAGTGGTAGTGGTAGTGGTGGTAGTTGTTGTAGTGGTAGTTGTTGTAGTGGTCGTTGTTGTAGTTGTAGTGGTCGTATCTGTCGTCGTTTTTGTCGTACTAAAAAATCGAGCTTGCTGAAGCGGGAAAAATAGAAAAGGCCAATAGCAAAAAGGGTTTACGAGTAATTAAAGATACAAAGAGGCAAAAAAAAACTCACGTCGGTGCTTCGGTCGAAGTTGTGGTGGTGGTCGGGGCGACGGTGGTTGTGGTGCTGAAAGGACCGGGGCTAAAATTGTTGATCACGTCATTTTAGAATATTTTAACGTACGCAAGTAGCATTTTCTTGTTTGTTTGTATGCTCAGGGGAGGAGCTAAATTTTCCTATAAATCCAAAAATGCCTCGCAAGGTATTAATGGCGTTTTTAGAAAAATATTTCGCTATATCGAGATTAGGAAAAAGTATCTCTAAAAAATTTAAACTTGGTTGAAATAGTTCGTACCATGAAATAGTTTTTATTAAATAGTCGAACGATCTATTAAAAGCTCATGTCCGGGCAAACAGAACCGTTGTTTCTATTTTTTTAAATTCCGCAATTTTCTACAAGTTTTTGGATTTTTTTAGAGCGAAAGTTGCCCGCTTGTTGCAGTTTTTTTGGAACACCTTCTAAAAAGTACAGCCAAAAACTTACGGAGGCCTCATTCGCATACAAGCGTCACCGACAGCGCATAAAATTAAAATTAGCAGTAGCATCGTCAAAAAGTGCTGACACGAGCAAAATATAAGGTGATCGGTATCGTCTCAGTTGTGCCTTGAACAGGATTTGTTGAGATCACCTTCCAGCCTGTATTAAATACGGTACTTCACAGAAACCTGGCAAGTTTTTAGCTGAAAATTATCGCCATGCCGTGTAGCCTGATCGGGGCGTGGTGATTGATGGCCCCTAGGGTTCCCCCTGGCGCATCGTCCATTAAAATAAAATGGCTCAAAGGTCCTTAGATCCCAAGTCTATTAGCGCCAAATCGCGCTGAGATCTTTGAGGCTTTAGAAGATCCGGCGAGGAATGCTAAAATCGGTCTTATTCCTTTAGGGTCTGAAAAATACAAACCGAAAAAACCAGAAAATTGTTTTTATTTGTCGGTTTGTCGTATTTTTTATCAACTCAATCGACTTAAAACGACAAATTTTGCCGATCCGCTCCATTCAGCTGCCCTATGATAGTGCCAAAAATTTGGCAAACGATCCAAGCTTTGAACCAGTTATGAGGCCAATATGACGTAAACCAGACATTTATTCACTTAGTTCCTAGAAACAAGCAATTAGAGATCCACAAAAAACACCATTGTTTCGTTCAGCACATCGGGCCGGCTTGAGTGCACGCGTATCCTGTCGCATCCCGCTGAAAAGCAGGTTTTTCGCCAATCCACCAAACTTACAAGCTTGCCCGTCCGCCAATCCCTTAGTTGCCATTTGCCCGTGTCATCACACGAAATAATGCCCAGCATCGGCGTGACTTGGCACCGCTGGCCGAGCACGATCCAGATGTCATTCTATAAATATTAAACGCGTATATTATTTTTGCTAACTTGCCCCTAACTAACTCGCTAATTTTCAACGGCAACATTATCGTTCGATCTACGGAACTTATCTGGGCTCCTCGTTGTGCTAGAAAGCTATAAAATATGCCAGAATACTCGCCAGCTCAAGACGAACGTCTTGGAATACTTTAGACATCTGAAGATGAACAACCCGCCGTGATAGAAAGGTTGGAAGCCGTTTGGGGTGGGGGGGTCAAAGCTCAAAAGCTAAGCGAAAAACTTCTCCGAAACTTCATTTACACAATTCGGGATTTATGCTCCAAGACAATGAGCTTTCAGAAGTACTACCTACCACCTTCGCCCCAGCGAGTACATATCCGGGCCCTAGGCAGGTCATCTTCGCGGCCCTGCAGCCTTCGGCATCGGTCCTGACAATGTTGGCATTCAAGGGGCGGGAGGGAAGGAGAGAGAGAGAGAGAGAGAGAGAGAGAGAGAGAAAGAAAGAAAGAGAGAGAGAGCGAGTGAGAGAGAGAGAGGAGAAAGCCGAAAAACCTACCAATATTGAAACGTTGCATCGCCCTGCAAAAAACCTGGTAGATCATCCTCCGGGATGATCGTCAAATTTTGCGGGCAGGTTGTGCAAGGAATCGGCGTTGTTGTCGTTGTTGTGGTCGATGGCATTCGGGTAGTGACAACTTGACTAAACTATACATAGACTATATCTAAGCGAAGCCTAAAATAATCCGAAGTTAAGCTTAGGTTAAGCCTCAGCTAAGCCTAAGTTAAGCATAAGCTAAGCCAAGCCTAAGCGCTTAAAGCTAAGCCATTACCAATTCCGAAAAACAAGCGACTCACGGCGGCTTCATCCGTAAGCAGGCTTCATTAACGTTATAGAAAATTAGCGATAACCATAACACGCGCGAAAATAAGGATAGAGCGTACACCCTAAAGATTTTAGGCATGCCGCTCCTTGTCGGGGGGCTACGCGTAATGGCCAGCTATATGGGATGCCACCGGCATCCCCTGGCCACTTAAACGGACCGGAATTAGCATGCAATAAGTTTGGTTTAATGAGAGCTCGTAGGCGCTACCGGGTTGGTGATGCTGTGCGGGTAATTTTCCCTAGGAAAATGGGGACCGAAAAAGACGGCGTGGCGTGCAAAACTGTGATCTTTCGTCGAATTTTGTACCTTCAATGAATTATTTTATTCTTCAAATTTGCTTCGATATTTAAAAGTTTTCGATAATGTCGAAAACGTCGAGACCAAAAGGGAACGTTTTCTTCCAAATTACAAGCCTAGGCAACTCAAGAAGATAAAGGTGAGCGATGTAGAGAGCGAGAGAGAGAGAGAGAGAGAGAGAGAGAGAGAGAGAGAGGCAGAGCGAGGGGGAGAATCGGAGAGTGAGTGACTGAGAGAGAGTGAGAAAGAGAGAGAGTGAAAGATAGATAGAAAGCAAGAGTCAGAGAAACTGGGATCTACGCCCCCAGAGATGCTGGTGACGCGAAACGTCCATATTTCCCCAGTCATTTTTTGGGTTTGGAAAGAGTTTTTCTTGCGAAAACGACTAATTTGAGGTTTCAAAAAAAGCGGGTGATGTTCGGCATGTGCAATGTAATCTTGTCGTGCATGGACATGTACACATGGCAAATCAAAAACTTTATCAAGCCTGCTCAACAAGGGATGTCGAACGGCGACTTGGTGCACGCATATCCATGCGCAGTAAGCTGAAACTCGCTGCTTTTTCGGCCGTATGTACCGGACGTCTTTTTTGCCGCTCTAGGGTGTAGTTACGGCAGGAAGTCGATATAGCAGATTTCCTTAGCAGCCTGCTTCGATAGGTTTTTTAAAAGATAGCGTGATTAGCAGAACCGGTAGCCACATTTCCGAAATTCGTCGAAGCGAAACGGATTGGCAACCCGTTCGTAGCAGATCGTGAGAATTTACACCCGGTTCCTGTTATTTTTGCTGACCGCCTGTGTAGTCTTAACAATACAACCGTGTGAGCGCCAGGGCGGCAAAATTTCGTAAAATATTTATTACGCACAACCGGTTCTTGCTTCCACGCTTCTGGCAGAGATCACATTCAAGGATGACCTTGAATCGGGGATTCCGAGACACTTGTTGTCTCGTTAGTTGAAGCTCAGCAAGTCGGACTGGCCTCCGTACACGCGTAGTCGACGGGGGAGTACTGAAGTTCAGGGAAAATCGTGTTGATAAGGTGGTGACTTACGAAAGTTCCGGGTTGTACGGCCGGCTCGAATTGCCAGACTCCCATATCATCACAAACAATATTCCCTTCCAGAGCTGTCGTCATGCAGTCCTGGCCGAACGCGAACCACTCGCCATTCTAAAAAAAGTGTTATAAATATTTTGTAATTTATTGTTCATTTTGAATTAAATTAATTTACTAAGTATTGCTAAATTTCTTCGAGCTTCATTAAAATTTCGTCCTGTCTAAGAAAACCACTCACTACTCTGGCGCTAGCCAGAACAAATCCGGGAGCCGAGCAACTCAGGGAGGCCGTGATACATCCGGCGGCATTTGGGCTGAAACATCGTAGTTAGCGATGGCGGGAGAAAAGAGAGAGACAGACAAAGAGAGAGAGAGAGAGCGTTCCCAACCTGTACGTAAAGGTGCCAGTTCCCTGCGGAGCACCAGGCAGATCATCTTCCGGGATAATTGCCAGATTTTGAGCGCAAGAGGCGCATACTGAACAATCGCTTTTAGCCAAAGCAACGACTTTGTAAGCTGTCGTCTATCAGGAATGCTAAAGCGAGAAAAGGTATACCCGGTGTCGCGGTCGTAGTCGTGGTGGTAGTGGTGGTAGCCGTTGTTGTTGTCGTTGTCGTACTACAGAAGTTTATCGTGTTCATTCAAGCCAGAGAAAACCACCACCAGTGAAAAACTTGTACATACAGTTTGAGAAACAAAGAGGGGAGAAGACAATGCAAAAACTCACGTCGGCGCTGCTGTTGACGTTGTTGTGGTCGGGGCGACGGTGGTTGTGGTGGTGACAGGACCGGGGCTGAAATTCATGAATACAGTACGTACGTTTGGTTTTTGCATTTAGGACTAATAAAGGGTTATAAAACACCTGCTTTATTTATATTGGAAAAATCGGACGCTGAAGGGCGCAATTGCTTGTGTCAGCTTTGGAAAATTTTGTAGTTTGCCTTGCCCGTCCCTTTAATCAGGTATTATTGCGTAGTTCAAGTTTTGCTGTTTTGCCAAATTTATCAAAAAAGTTTTAGTATTTTCCTGGTTTCCTTAGGCTAATAAAATTTAACTGACGTCGGTATCATCCGGATGCATGCTTCATTCAGGTGATGAAAGCACAAAAACACGCTGAAAACCCGTAGAAACAGCGGAATCATGGAATGCTTTGGAATTCCTGGCCAGCTGATTCTCCTTTCGGGGGCTCTTAGCGCTCTGAAATGGGCTGCAATCAGTGGATCCTCGTAAAATCAAATCGAAAATAAGAGTGGGGAGTCGGGGTATGGGATACGGTGCGTGTCGCAATCAGTACATCCGCTTTTTCGGACCGGTTTTGGGTGCTAGACGGCTGATTGTTTCGATGCTCTTTTGGTCGGGAGGGGTGATAGGGCGGAAGCCAGTGATCGGCATCAAAGGGCTGGATTGGGCCTTTTCTTGCACTTACATAATGCATGTTTCAAGCATTTTTGTATTGTTCGTTATTCACTCGTTTCTATTAAAATAATCTAATTTCCACCAGAAATGCCCGTTCTTCACAATTACTGCATCTATCGCATGCCCTCAAAAAGGCGAAGCCACAACCATTTTTCGGGTTTGAGAGCTTCGGTTTTTAGGAGTGAAATCCGTGAAAGCAACTGCTTTATGCAAAAGCATCAACTACATTGTGGATTTGACGCTGACAGAACGCTTAAGGCTCGGGCAATGTTTAAAATCAAGCAAGCTTTTTAAAAAAATTGCCTAAAAAGCGGCTCTTTTTATTGCCTTTTCGAGAGCTTGCGGGTGATGAAAAAAATCACCTAGATTTACGCTTGATTTTTCTTTAAACATTACTATAGATGACGCTCTATGTAAAAAAACCATGGCAAAAGCTAAATATAAATGCTGTAAAAATCCTAATTTCAAATCCAAAATTTTACATAAATTAGAAAGAAAACTCGATATTCCAGTGCGATTCCTAGGTGGTGAATGCAGAGGTCCTTCTCTAAAAAGGGTATCATCCATTTTATTGTAGCAAAATCGTCAGCTAAATTTGATATTATTAAATTGAAAAAGCTTTTTTAATAGTCACGCCAAACTAGAAGGTAGCACTCTCAAGAAATCCACAAGCAAGGGTGTGAGTAGGGTCGAAGGGTGGAGGTAATAATGGGTTAAGGAACTACCCTAGAGGGGTGCTCAAGAAAAAGTGGACAGACAGACATCAAAAAAGACAGAGAGACATACAGACAGGGAGAAAGACAGGGGGGAAAGGATGAGAGACCAGAAGAACCGAAGAACTTACCAAATCTAGAAGAATAACACGGAACCGTGGATGGTAATCTCGTCTGGAGATCTTGACGGCTTCTTCTTGTTCTTTTTCTTGCTCTGCGAAGGCTTCCGCCGAAAACGTCACCCGAACTTCAACGTAGTCCCTCCGCCAGCTCGTGCTCACGGTAGAATGCGCTGCAGGAGCCGATGTCTGGAAGCAAAATCCCGTACATGTACGCCGCCATCCAATTTACGCGCCGAATGGCGTGCGCTAGCCAGAATCGAAAAATAAGTTCGGACTCCTCGAAAATCCGGCTAAATTTGCCGATCCCCTCTCGTGCTCTGATGCTCCGCCAATTGCTCCAAAAAAGGGATGGGGCATCGTACAGGGGGAGAACCCCCGTGCGGAGAAGGAGCTCGAGAATGAGCTCGGCTTCCCCGGCTCGGGCAGCTTCAGTTTTTGGATGGCCCGGCAAATTAGCTGCTGCTGCGAGGGGGGACGGGTCGGTGGGAATCTGCCGAATGCATCACGGACCACCCAAAAAGCGGAAGCCCTCGAGCGGCAGTGAATTAGGAAATTAGGGGAGATTGACGGTGCGCTTTTGATTTTGGTGTTTTTAGCAGACAGAAATCGCACTTTTTCGCAAAATTGATGACAATCAGCAGTTTTAAAGGTGCAGTGACATCTCGGGCGAAAGTAGGAAGACCAAATCTCGGGAAGACCTTCAATTCCTATTTCTCGGGATTATTTCACCGCCATTCTATAGAGTGTCGAAAAATATTCGAACACTAATGTTTTTACTGCCAGCAAAATCATGTCAATCAAATTATTCAGGGAAAAAACAAAAATGACTTTTTTAAGTTTTTGAAAAGTTGGTTTATGACATTTTCGCTGTCGTTCGGCGTTTGCATTTTCATAAAGCTTGGAAAAAAATACGAAAATCCTCTTGGGGGCACGGGGTTGAAAAACTCACTTCCGGCCATTTCGTTGCTTTTCAATAATTTTAAACAATACATAATGCAACAAAACGTAAAATAATGTACTACATTTTTAATTTCAGCTGTTGTTCAAATAGTCCGGAAAATAGTCAAACACTAATTTAATTATTTTTTCATTCAGTAATTTTATTATTTTTTGCGATTTTGAGCTATAGCTGGGACCAGGAGCTACTGCTTGGCAGTCTTCAAAAAATTGGAATTTGCCGACCCGAGGGCATAAAGCGTTCTAGGGCGTTATTCACCCTAACAACTCAAAATAACATTAAGAAAAAAGACAAACAGCAACATTCGTGTCCTATACAACCTTTGTCGCTTTGTAAAATTGGTACCAAGGGTTAGACGACAGAAAAACATTAGGAAAAACAAAGCGCAATCCGCTAGGCATCCAAATAAATGTTTATGAAATTTAAAAATAGTGAGATTGCGGATTAGACGATTTTCAATCATTCAAATGAAACCTGAGACAATGATCGAAGTTTTGTCCTCAAATACCCCCAAGTACCCCGGCTATACCATAATTTTCATAGTCGCCGTGCCATTGGAACCGGCATCCCGATGGCTAGCCAAGCTTACGAGCGATCAAGCGGAGATTAAGTTCCTGCTCCCCTGCCAAAGATCGACTCCCGGCTTCGGGGGAAAAACTGGGCAGACGGCAAAGCGCGGCAAACACGATCCGGCTGGGAGAACAGGAAGTGCTCCCCGGTTGATGATAGCGGGGCAGAAATCTCGTTAGCTGGGTGATTAAATACGGAATTAATGTCTGCCGAGGAACTTCTTGAGCTTGCGGAGCGACGAACTTGCTATCGGACGAGCTCAGGAAGCAGTTCAGCGGGATCAAAAGATACGAAAACATTACGGCGACGCTCTGGCTGGGCAAAGGAAGTTCTGGCAAGAAAATAACTTGCTTAAAAAAAGCCCGGTCGTATGGTCGTTAAAGGACGGCTAGCTTTGCCGCTACGTGCGACGCATGAGACACGGGATCTGCTTCTCTACGCGAAGTGCCGGTGATCCATTACGCGATTCCCAGTCACCTGATCGAAAAATCGCCTGATCAAAAATCTCCTGATCGAAAATCGCCTGATCGAAAAATCGCCTGATCGAAAGTCCCCTGATCGAAAAGTCGCCTAATCAAAATTGCTGTAGCAAATCCTTATCAAAGTGGTTGCATATTTTCTGCTGCTAGTCGAGCGTCGTCCGGTCGCGTTTCTTCGGGCATGCGCGTATTCTCGGAGCTGTCTTAGCTTGACCCGGGTTTCGAGCTCGAACTTCTGAAGGTAGTTGAGGAATTTCCACATGGACGGGTGCTTGCAGCCAAAGTGTTGGTTGAGTGCGTTGTTGGTGCCTAAGCCTAAACCTAAGTCTAAGCCTAACCACGAAGCATTGTATCACAAATTACTTCCAGGTGCTGGGGCAATAATAATTTTATTTCACCTGGTGTGGTCCTTCAGCCCCGATAATTTTCGATCAGACGATTTTCGATCAGGTGATTTTTCGATCAGGCGATTTTCGATCAGACGATTTTCGATCAGGCGATTTTTCGATCAGGCGATTTTCGATCAGGCGATTTTTCGATCAGGCGATTTTTCGATCAGGCGATTTTCGATCAGGCGATTTTCCCTCAGGCGATTTTTCGATCAGGCGATTTTCGATCAGGCGATTTTCGATCAGGTGTTTTTCGATCAGACGACTGCCAACCCCATTACGCTATGAAAAATCGTACCAGCGTGGCGTGTCGCGTAAAAAACGTCTAGTGAGTCTGTAGGAATTTTATAGCTAAAAACCTCAAAGTAAAATTAGTTGAAGATTTTTGTCGCCACGCGACACGCGACGCGCAAGACAATAGCTATACTGCCGTATTCCTTTACGCAATGAAAAATGAGACGTGCATTGCGTGTCGCATTTACGGCAAAAACCTTAGAGGATCTGTAGGAATTTTATAGCTAAAAGCTTCAAAGTAAAACGAGCTGAAGATTTTTGTTGCGACGCGACACGCGACGCACAGGCTAATAGCGATATAGTGGTGATCGATGACGCCATGAAAATGAAACGGGCGTTTTGTGTCGCACCTTAGCGAATCAGTAGCTGCCGCCTAGCGAATCTACAGTCTTGCCTTGCCGACCCCTTTAAAAAGCGATAGTTACTGGATTCTAGAGCCATAAAATCTTAAAATCAAATATTGGCCAATCTTTAATTGTTTAAAATAACAACAAAATAAATTAATTAAAAAAATTGTTACTATTACACGGCAACTCCAGCTATTCCCCTTAAGAGCGCAGGCGGCGCGTCGCGTGTCGCGGGCCGGGCTGACCTTGATGGGAGTCCAAAAGCAAGCAAATGGTTGGCTTCTTGCAAGTTTTTTTAAAGAGACCCAGAAGTCTGAAAAATAAAAGCAACTAAAAAATTAAGTAATCAGAAAACCTAGAGCAGAAAAAATAAAACTTTTGAATGTAAGATCAGACTCGAGAGAAAAAAGGTATCGCTGTTAATTTGGTGATGTTTTATTTCCTTAAATAGTGTAGGGAACTTGACTCAATCAGACTCAGCTACCATTAAATGTTTCTAAAAACCCGGCGAAACGACAAGTTCGTACGTGCCGAATGAGTCTTAAGAACATCTTTGCTACCCCGGGGCAGCCAGACGGTCTTGCGCGCTCAAAAAAAACATATAGTCCAAGGAAGTGCGACCGGTGGGTGGAATAATGCGCCGGATTGCCGGCTTTTCCGAATGCACCCTAAGGGGATGCAATTTCGATCCTTTTATCCCGATAGTGCCCATTTTACCACCGCCGGGTCTAGCCGCCCGCGCTGGTGATAAATCCCGCCAGGGTGAGACCGCCTTGAGAAAAAGGAAGAGACCGGGGTACGGTAGCTGGCCGATTGGGAAGTTCCGCTTTTTTTTTGTTTTTCTAGCAGGACTGAATCGTGTTGACTACCCGACACTGAAACAAAAACATTAACGTAACAAAACATGACTTACGCTAAAAATCATTTAAAGGAAAACCGCAAATTCAGCGAACTTAAGCCCCGCACTCAACAAGTCAAACTTATTTTATCTGGAAATATCGAAAAATTAAAATTAAATTAATTTTGATTTTGTTGTAAGCGTACGAAAAAAAATTGGACCTCTACGCGTTTTGGACTGAATTTTTATTTTTTTTATGGGTGGCTGCGGCAAAAGTTAACAGAGGGAAGTCAAAAATTGAAAAAATTGCGCAAAAATCCTTTTTTAAAATTCTTATTTTTACAATTAAACCAGGAGAATCGGAACTCCGTAAAAAACCAATGTGAAAAATAACATGCAAGTTGCTAGGGTTGCAAATGCGAACGAAAAATAGTAGAAAGCAATAATTTATGAAAATTTAGCTTGCTCAAAAATTCGCAAAATCAGCTCTTGGAAAAAGCTCGCAAAGAACGTGCATAACCTCTAAAAGCCGCAGCCTCGAGGTTGTTTCAATGTTCAGATTGACCGTAGCTAGTCGTAGCCGCTATGCAAAAAGTTCACTTGCTTGAGCTTAACGAGCAGACCACAAAAGTGGTCTGCTCGTTAAGCTCAAGCCTATTCTCGGTCAAAAAACCTCTGTACAAAAGTCGTTCTTTTCATTGCGTGTATGTGCTCTTTGGAATTCTTTGCCCCAATCTGCCTTCGATAGTTCTTCAACTAAGGTATTTAAAAAGCAGGTTTCCCGATTAGTACCTATTTCATCCATTCTTTAATTAATCATGTCCATTTAGCGCCTTAGTGCTTCCTTACCCCCTTTTTTCTTTTTCTTCAACAAACTTCCAACCTTACCTCCACTAATAAGTGTTTACTTGTAAACCTAAGTGCGAGAAATAAATTATTATACGGCTTGTGCTTGTTCTCAAGACGTTCCAGGCTTCTAGCAGCTCGCGAAGCCCCTGAAACGATCTCAAAAAGTCGAGCACCATAAATCATCCGGTGGGGCGGGAATGAGGCGCGTGCAGGTAGCTAGTTGGGACTCATCGCCGAGGAAATCCGCCTTTTTCCGGTTGTCATCGCGCTCCCCAGCTGGGCGGGTGTTCCGCCCTATAACTCACTTCTTCCCGGAAATCCCGGAATGCCCGGATCGGAATTGTGACATCACGAGGAGCGGTGGCAGCGGATTTGATTTGTTCGGTTTGGTACGGGAAATCGGGTGATGGATTTGCTCCAAATGGACAAAAATAGCGGATCAAACGAGTTTTTAGTCTAGTTTTTTAAAAAATTTTACTCCTAC